GACCGAATTTTTTGGCTTTTTCTCCCCGGAGTGTCACTTAACGGTCTGTTTCTCTCCGGAGTGTCACTTAACGGCATGGCCTCAGTTTTTATCGGCCGCCCGCCCGCGCGCCGCCGCCGCATTTTATTTCTCGCAGTCGGATTCCCAGGACAAGCTGCCCACACCCGCCCGGCCAACGAGAGGCCGCCGTTGCGTGATGCCTGGCCGCGCCGGGCCCGCCGGGGCGAGTGCGAGGGCGAGGGCGTTCCCAGTTCCGCGTCTGGCTGCGCGGGTGTCGCGGCGCCCCGTGGCGGTGGTGAAGCACTTGAAGATGGTGGTGGTGGTCAGGGAGGGGGGCACGGGGATCCCCCTTCTCGCAGAAGCAGGGAGGAAGGAGGAGAATCTCCCCTCTCTCGTGGAATGGGCAGGGCACGGCAGCAGCAGCAGCAGCAGCAGAGTCGACAATGATGCTGCCGTGCATGTTCGTCTGCCCGGGCAGCTCCTCCGGGGCCGTCTGCCACCTCACGGGCGTCCCGCTTCCAGATGCGGCCAAGAGCCCCAGGGCGCATCGCCGTCACGGCCTCCGACTTGCTCTGGCGTCTTGGCCCCCCTCCGGGGTCGCATCCAGGGCCCGACAGGCGCGGCCGGGTAGGTCTGCGAGTCGGCGGCGGCACTGGATTTAATTAGCATCGACGCACCGCAAACGCCTGGTACCGAGACGGGGTCGAGGCTCGGGGGATCGGTCCAGCGCCGACGGACGGGCACAACTGCGCAGCACAGCGGTACGCCACATTTCGCATCGGAAACCCATTGCACGCCAGTCGGCTGCGTCTCGCCGCGTGACACGCTGACCACTGCAAAGCCCGTCAGCGTCGGGATTGCGCGCATCCTCAGCCCTGCGCCGGAACGAGTGCTGCACGTACGTCAGTCCGGCAGAGGTTCTGCCGCGAGATAAGGGCACCTAGGTAAGCTCAGCGCAGGCACCGACCACCTCTCGCACCGCCATTCGCCATCGCCCTTGGCCAGCCGACCGCTACCTCACTGAAGGTAAGTACCTAGGTTCTCACTGCCAGCAACGATCCCCCGTCTTCGCTGCAACCCGCCATCCCGTCCCCTGACCTGGCTTGACCTGCGGCGTCCAGCGCCCGGGCGCCGCCCACGAGCAGCCCGCCGGGGGCATGGATCCCGTCCGACCCGACCCCATCGTCGGTGCGAGCGGAATCAACTTTAGGGGAAGCCAGCGCCGAGAAGGGCCCCCTCCCCCCCCCTTGTCCCGCCGCCATTGATGCCCCGCCGCCGGCCCTGTCTCGACTCAGCGAAACCTGGAACCCCATCGTCGTCATCGCGTCCTCCCCCGGCGGTGGTCATGCGTCGCTCCCGAAAGCCGGCGCTACCCACCAACACGCCCCGGCCAAGCCCCAGGCTGCATGCCGTACCGGCTTTCCTTCGGGGTCCTGTTAGGTAATTGTGCAAGCCCCCGGTGTTGCTGGAGTCGGGGCCGTCCGAGGCCCTGCAACATCTGGACGTGCAGTGAGAGGGGATGCCTGGGACGAATACCCAAGTCATAGCCTTGGCAGTAGCACGAGGAGATGATCGCAGCTGCATGTTCGCATCATGAAGCGGGACTTTGGAGAGATTGATATGCCGTCATCCGCGCCGTCTGACACTCGTCGAGCACACATGATGTCGGTGCAGTAAGCGTCGCCTCCATGTCGAGGCTCGCTCGCTGAGCAACGTGCAGCCAGGGTGTAGGGCCGCATCCTCCACATCCACCCCTTCTACCACATGGACGCCATCGTCTTCCAGTCTCTGAGCGGACAGCCCATCGTCATTCCCAGTCAAAGAAGCCCAACAACCACTCACAACCTGCCCCGTAGCGTCGCTGGAATGGTTCCCATCCTGACTACATACGAGCATCCGTACGTGTCCCGATGCAACGCAACAGCTCGGGCTCTGATACTCACCCCTCTTGCGACTCCTACGTTCGTTGCAACTTGCACCCTGCGCCGAGGCCGCACATCACTGACACATGCATGCATTTGGCCCGACCTCCCTACATATACGCTTCCAGACCTCCCACCTACCCTCTTGGCCATCCACACTGCAACCCCCAGCTTCATCTCCCAAGGCCGCGAGCGAGACCCTCCCGACACTGCAGCCCACGGCCGGCCCCCGCGTCGACATTGTCGCCTCGATGGGCTCATCGTGACGTTTCCGCCGTGTCACCCTCTGTCCATGCAAACGACTGTACTCGAACCGCGTGACAAGTTGGCCGCGGCGCCCTCCCGGGCAGTCAGCAGCGTCTCGCGGGCGGTCGTGGCGAGCCAGAGTCCATGTCCGCAGCACCGACCCGGGCCTTCTCGGAGCCGAAGAGCACTAGCTACGTATTGTGTGCCTGGATCGCACTCTCGAACCGGCGGGCGGGCCTAGTCGATCGAGACCAAAGGCGATGGGGCATCCTCGGTCGTTGTTTGTGGAGCCTCGGTGCGTGATTAACAGGATCTGATAAGACAAGAACCCGAGCCGTTATTGCTGTCGCGCCGGCTCTCTTGGCATTCTTCTCTGCCGGCGGAGTCAAGAGTAATAATACGTACATCTGCTCGTGCAAGACAGAGGTCTACTTGTATTAATGCCGACACAAACATGATAACGGTGTGCCACTGTGCCTGAACGATTCTTCCAACGAACGAGCACTATCATGTACGCAATGCGGTTTAACAGCGGCGTCGGTTCAAAACGCATAAAGCAACGTTCTATGTCGGTCTATCGCACGATCCAAAAATAAGCCACGTGAGATCCTGTACAGGCGCCCGTCGCCGGCATGTTGCTGCAGTCGACTGGGCGCCCGCCCCACGCCTCCAACTAACTAGTCGTCGAGAAAAGTACTATGTGCAACAGCGTCAAGCCAAAAAGCAGTGGTCTATCAGGTATCGCGACGAAAGAGACAGCCGGCCCGCCCCTCCCCTTCCGTAGCACAAGCGAGGTAGCGCCGCCCTTGCGTCGGCGCGTCTATAAGATGCCGCCATCCTCCCAAAACCGCTCCCGTACGCACACACCGTCAAAAGCATTTCTTTTTTGTTCAATGTCAATGTCAACGTCAATGCCAATGTCATGTCATGTCATGTCATGGTCCCGACACCTCGAGAATCGCGGGGCCTGTCGGCGGAAATGAAAATGTCAAGAGGGGGGCGACAGGATTTGCTCGCCGCCCCCATGTGCGCAAACAGTCATGTCTTCGTCGTCGGCGTGCGTTTCGTCATCAAGTCGTTTGCTCCCTCCCCTTTCAGCTCGTCGACTCCACCTCCATAATCTCCATGGTGTAGTAGGGCAGCTCCCGCGCGAGCGAGTTCACCGCCGCGTAGCCGTCGTCGTCCTCGCTCGAGTCGGGCTCCTCGAGCTCGTCGATGCGCGGCTCCGGCGGGTCTTGGAACAGCAGGCTCCCGCGGTGCAGCCGCTTGCGCATGCGCCGCGCGCTGGAGCCCACGTCGTTGACGTCGAGCGGGCCGTCGTCGTTGTCCGAGTCGCTGCTCAGCTCGCTGTGCGTCCGCTTGCCGAAGCTGCTCGACATGCTCACCCTGCGGAACCGCCGCAGCTCCTGCCGTCGCTGATAAAAGGCCTCTTCGTCGTCCTCGGGCGGGCTGGTGCTCTCGTCGTCCGACGCCTCGTTGCTGCAGTTGAGGTTGCGCAGGTTCTGCATCATGCCCTTGTCGAGGTCCTTGTGGCGGGACCTCGACCGGCTGCGGTTCGACTCGATCTCGGTCGGGTGCAGCACGTCCAGCCCCTCGCATTCACTGTCCATCGGGTCAATGTCCTCGATGATGAAGTCGCACTCTACCGTGGTGCGCGAAACGTATATGGGCCCGTGGGCGACCGAGTCGTCTGCGTCCGAGCTCGACTCTGACGCCGACGGGGCAGACTGCGATCTCCTGTCTGACCGCCGCGCCGGCTCGTCGTCCGGGTCGCCGTCGCCCTCGGAATCGTCCGGCCCGGAGTCGTCTCCGTCGTCCGCCTCATCTGAAGAAGCGGCGTCGGAAGCGGCGTCGGCGCCGGGCGAGTTCGCCAAGCTATGGGACTCGATACCCTGCTCCGGCAGCTCAATGTCCGAGTCAGAGTCCTCGGCAGCCGCGTCGGACGAGCTCGAGGACGAGGCCGAAGACCTGGGGCTCAATTGGGGCGGGCCGACCCTGGGCCGGTAGCTGAACTGGTGGCCGTTGCCGACGGGCTTGATGTTGGGATCCTGGGCCAGCGGACGCGAGAAGCGGTAAAAGGCCGCCTGCTGGAGCGGGTTCTTGCGGGCCAGCAGCGGCGACGCCATGGGCGTGTCTGGTGGCGACGTTGGGTCGCCGGTGGTGGCGCCGTGAGGACGGAGTCCGTCCCAGCTAAGTTTGAGATCCGCTGGCGTGGACGGGCCGCGCCGGCCAGGGCCGCTTTTGAGCTTGGCCATTGGAACAGTGAGTCGCCCAACTAAGAAATAGTTGGGCCAGCCACTCGCGGGCGAGTCGCTAATGACAAGCGTAAAACGTATGTGTGCGTGTGTGTGTGTGTCTGTGTGCGCGTGCAAATGGAGTGGAGTTGCTCCCGTTGCCGCTGCTCGACTCGTTCGTCACCTGTCTCTGCCCGGCTCGCCGGGGCAAAGGAGGAAAAAGTAACGAGTCGCAAGAAACGTATTGGAATTGGAGAGTCGGACTCTCCCAGGTCTGTCTGCAGCAACAGGCGGTGATCCTATCAGAGACGAAGCCGCCTGCAGCGTGTGGGGTAAAAAGAGCGGAAGGGCAGGGCGCAAAAAAAGAGCGCTGAGGTGCGTGTGTGCGGGGGAGTTGGACTGGATGGAGGGATGCGTGGTGTGTGCTGGCACAATGCAGATGGGAAGCGGCAGGGCATCGGACGATGCGACGCACAGCCGGGGGGCCTTTTGCTCGATCAACCCAAAGCCGTGGGTGCCGCGTCGACGAGGCGACTGAGACGGAGAGAAGAGTCGGGTCGTAACGCGCTCTGCGGGTTGCCAGCAGGTCAAGAGGGCAGTGTCCAGGACGGTCAGGGAGTCAGAACCCAAAGGAGAAACCTCCAGCAAGGAGACGAAGATATTCTGCTAGCGTTTGGGGTCATGATAAACTTGGGCGGAGCTGCTGCTGCTGCTGCTGCGGATGATACGGCGGCCGTGGATCGCCAGCAACTTGCCGTCCGACCTCTGCGTCTCGTTTGAGGCGTGGTGCTGGAGACGAGCCTCGGGAGACGTTGCGGATAGGGTCTCTCGTGAGAAGGGGAGAGTGAAGGAGACAGGCGAGAGAGAGGACGGATGAGGCGATCGAGCAAGAAGGTGGTGGAAGACGGACGGGCGGCGGCGCGGTGGCGGCGGCGGCAGGCGGCTGACTTGGTGCAGGCCCGAGGTGGATGGATGGATGGATGGCAATATGCAAGAAAAGACGGTGGTTTGTCAGAGATCTGCGGCCCGCTGCGCTGCGTCGCGCTCCGGGCAGGTTCTGGCTGCGTGCGTGTCCAAGCCGACGCTGGCTGGCGTGCTGATGTGCTGCTGCTGCTCGACGGGACCGTTTGCCCGTCACGTCGCGGTCGACCGTGGCGCTCGGACAGCGCTGTGTCGGGCAAGAAAGAAGAAAGGACGACAACGGCGACGAAGCCGGCGATACGGGGAGATCAATGCACGGGGGGAGGAGCCGAGACTCGTTTGCCTCGCGTCTCGGTTGCGCCGTGACGGCGGCGCACGTGTAAGAATAGCTATACTCGGTGGCAGGCCAGGCTCAAGCGTCAATGCTGAGACGTCGATCCGCCGAGCACAAACTCGTGAAAGAGACGGCTGAATGGCGACTGTCAGTCAGGTAGCCGCCTAGCTGATGCGTCGCGAGCGCCGCGTGTCGGCGACGGGAGCGCAGCAACAATGCGACTCGGCCTCGGGCGTTTAGACTGTTTCAGACACACTGCCGGATCGCTCGAATGCGCTCAATGCGGCAGACGCACGGCCAAGACCCGGGTCTCGCTGTCGGCACGCCCAACCAGGCACCGGACACACAAAGAAGCAAGCACGCAAGGAAGCAAGCAACGGCGGCGGCGGCGGGTTCGCTGGCAGCCGGGCGGGATGGGGTGTTGGTGACTTGGTAGGCCCGCGCGTTGCAACAGCCGAGGCAGCAGTGGTCGTCAGCGACCGGGACGGGACGAGACGAGGCGCGCGCGGCGTTGCTGTCGTCGTCGCTCGCTGTCCGTGGCGGCGTTGTTCGGGGCGTGGTTATGGTGCGGTGTGGCGTGCCGTGGTGGTTGCCAACGCCTGGTGGGCAAGGACTATGGATTTGGCACTCTGCGAGTCTGTGGATGGTGGTGTGGTGATATAATTGTGCGGCCTGGCGGCGGTGGCTCGAGATCGCAGCCGACTCCAGATCGCAACCTGCTGGTCTGGAATCCGGGATGGCAGCTGGTGGTGGTGGTGTGCTCGGCTGTCAGCCAGATCAACGACTGAAGGGAAACTAAATTTGGGCCTCGTCGCTCCGGGCAGGCAAAACCTGAGGCGTGGTGGTGAGTGGCTGTCGCGGAGAATTGGGATGCATCCATCAAGCGCCTCGTCCCTCGACATGGCCCTCCGTGACTCGCCGGGAGCTGCGGCACCGTCCGTCTTATACCTCTGCCACGCACATGCGGCGTCATCGATAAGCTCGCATACGAGGCCCTCGCCGGCGACAAGACATGTCACTATTACCAGCCAGAGCGGCTGCCACCAACGACGACAACGCCGCAGCCCCCCCCCAGTGCACCACCACCACCACCACCACCACCACCATTCCTCCAGCTGCAACTGCGGGCGAGCCGCCCATCGCGACGGCGCGCCGTGCGCATTCAGGCAGGGAGAAGCCGACCGAGCTGGTAGGAAAAGTACCGCCCTGGCTCGCCCCGACCCTCGCTTCCCGGTTCACCTACGTACTCCCCGCAGGGCGTCTGCTCCATCCCTTCATGTTGGGCATCAACGCTCCGGCCCACGAGGCCCTCTGGACCCTTTTCCATGCAGTGACCCCCCAACCCGCTCATTAGAAAGCCCGTCTCGCCCTCCAGTAATAACGCATCCTGGCAAAAGAGTCACCCGCAATCTGCGACCGGAAAATTTTTCGATGCCATGTTTTGGCTGGGCTCAAATCGCGCGCGTCGAGCTGCCCCGGATGCCATGCCGCGCAGAGTCGCAGACGCCTCTCATCAACAGCGCTCGCAGAGTCCCCAGTGCCCACCACGTCCGCCCCTCGTGCGGCACGAGCCAAGGCTTCCCAGAGACTGCCAGTCAGAGCTCAACTCAGCCCGTTATAAAGAGACTCAGCCCTGCACTGCATTTGTGACCAAGTCGGCCGGTAGCTAAAGCTGCATTCGAGGTCCTTGTCTGCGCTGTTGTCAAGTCAGCCATGCTCTGCCTGAAGTCTCTTCCGTACCAGGCACTTCATTGTGATGTGAAACGTAACCTCGAAGAGGAAGGTGGGCGGGCATCCCCCTGGTATATGCGCAGACAAGGATTGCCGTCTGCCATGTGCGCGTACTGGTGGGATGGTTCACTGTTGTCCAGCAATACCAAGCGGCTTGGGCCGCGGAACAAGTAGAGACGCAACGTTCCTCGTCGATCAGGCACAAATGGCTGGTGAGCTGCGTACTACCTTGTACGCTGCGCCTATTCTTCCCTGGGCTCGCCGGTCTACATGTGCTGGTACAGTATTATGACGGTGCTGGGGACACAGGGTGAACGGCGAACCAGGGCCATACACGCTTGACGGCTTTCTCGATACCCCTGGAAGCAGATGCACATCCAACGTGGCCCACGCCGACAAATGCCGTGCAGCAATATGTGTCATGTGTTCCGCAGCAGCTCCAGTTTCGATTTAGTTTCTAGAAGTTGGGGCAGCATGACTGATCCATTGGCCGAGGTACCGGACAGTTGATGAGGTGTACAGGTGTACAATGTAGGCCACCCACAACCAAGGACGACTGAGGTACAAAGTGAGCATCAGGCCAGCAATGCTAGCATTTACAGCTCACATTAGTATTTATTGCTTTCCTGTCTTGAATCAGCAGGGGAGAGTCGTGTCAAAAACACCTTCACCAACGTGTTAATCTGCTCAATGTCAACAACATGCAGTCGTCGAGCAGTCCCCATCTTCATACGGCCCAATTGAGCATTTTGACTCACATCGAGCCACAATAAAGAGAGCCCACCAGCGTAACATCACACAGATGTTCCTGAGATGACAAACAACGTCAGCATGCTCGCTTCTTCCAAGCTGGGTTGTCACCAGTGTAGAGGAATCCGCGTTATAGGGTAGGCAGAATTGATGCTGGTCTACCTGCCGTTTCTCTCTTAGTCATCAGACCTTTTGGCTGCCTGCCAGGCGCCGTAGATTTTCCGGGTCCTGTGCCGCGACTCCAGGCCCATGCACAACAACCCTCCCCCGTCGACGGCGCAATCAACGACGTCGACGACTCCATCTCACGCGACCCTCGGCTCAGCAAACCGTTGCGCGACAACCCAGCGCACCCTGTATACCCCCCTTGGTCGCGTCGACATCCTCTTATACGGGTGCTAGCCAGTCTAGTGCTCGTCTACGGCCGTCGCTATCCAGCTGCAATTGCCCGGGGGCCATCCTCAACCTTTGCGTCCATTCACCTGCGGATTCGTCAACCGCCCATCATGAATCCCGCCCAGGGCCAGCAAGGCCAGCCGCAAGGCCAGCCTGGCGCGGCTCCACAGCAGCAGCAGCAGCAACAGCCGCAGCGGCCCGCCATGTATCAACCGCAGCAGATCAGGAATCTGCCCATGCTGAGCGAGGACGAGAAGAACAAATACGAGCAAGGCCTGAGGGGGCTGTGGAACAAGGCCAACAGCTCCCCGGCCGGGAGCGCCGACCAGAACGCCGCCAGGATGAAGATCATCGAGTTCTCCCGGATGCTGATATCGAAGATCCAGCAGCGTCGCCAGGCTCAGCAGCACCAGCAGCAGCAACACATGGCCCAGCCGGGCCAGCAGCAGCAGCAACCGGGCCAAACACCTGTCCGGCCGCCGTCGGCGCCGCAGCAGCCACAACAGCAGCAGCAGCAGCCGCGTCCCCAGCCGCCACAGGTACAGCCAGCCCAACAGCAACAGGCACAAGCACAGGCTCAGGCCCAGGCCCAGGCGCAGTCCCAAGCCCAGCAGCAGCAGCAAGTGAAACAGGATCAGTCTGCGGCGGCGAATGCCAACGCTGGCCAGAGCGGAGGCACCGCGGCCGCGGCTCCCACCCCGGCGCAGGCTGCAGCTGCCCCTGCGAATGCCGCCCCGGCCCCCGCGCAGCGATTAAAGTTTCCCGACCACATTTTGCAACACATGAATAAGCTAAACATCCGAACGCCGCCAAGCTTGGCAGGGAAGTCGCCGGCAGACATAGCCAAGTGGACAGAGGAAATGAAGGAGAGATACGGACGAGCGCTGTGGACCATGGAGAGCGGTAAAACCAAAATGGGCCAAATCGAGAAGCATATCAAGGATAGAGCCGCCTCGAACAACCCTCTGAAGGAGGAGGAGGTCCGGCAGCTGCAGCAGCGCAAGGAGCAGCAGGCCAAGCTCTATACGGATGCACTCAAGTGGGTGGACAGCTTCAGGAAATCTCAAGAGGCTCTCCAGGCCAATGCCCAAGGAGGCCAGAGCGGTGCTGCGGGAGCTGCCGCGGTTCCTGCCGGACAACAAGGGGTCGCCGCCCAGGCTACGCCGACAGGTGCAGCCCCAAACAGGCCCCAGCCGCCGCACCAAGGATCCGCTGGGACGCCCGCGAATGCCGCGCTCGAGGCAGCGAAGAATCAACAACAGATGAATGCCGCAAACCGAGCCTCTCCAGCCAACGGAGCTCCCGCGCCACCGCAGGCGCAGGGCCAGCCCCGGCCCGCGCCCCCAAATGCTGCCCAGCCTGCCCAGCAGCAGCAGCAGCAGCAAGGTCAACCGCAGGCACAGAAGACGGAGCAGGCGCACCCGCCTCCCGTGAACACTGCCCTGGCGTCGACGATGGCTGCGCAGGCGCAAGCGCAGGCACAGGCACAGGCGCAGGCGCAAACGCCCGGGTCGCAGCCGCAAGGAGCTACGCGAGTTCAGACGCCGCAGTCGTCGACACCAGTCACGGCCGCCGGGCCGACGCGAGCGCTCAGTCACTCTGCCGCCATGTCGCTCGCAAACCAGAGAGCCGCCGGAGGCACTCCGGGCAGCGCGCCTGTTCAAGGCCAGCAGCAGCAGCAGCCTGGAGTCGGCACGCCGACCTCCGGGACTGGACCTATGAATGCCAGCGCCGTGCAGCAACAAGGCCACCCCCACGCACACCCAACGCAACAGGCAGGCATCCAAGCCAAGATGCCGATCCCCAAGCAGCTCCCCGAGAAGGCCACGGCCGTTCCCCAGGGCGTGACCCTGGGAGGCGGAGTCAGCGCGGGGCGACCTACCATGTCGCAGGGAACGGGCACGCTCGGCGGCGTGATGAACCAGCCGCCCGTGGCTCGCGTCCCGGCCTACAACCACGACGCCGAAGGCGATCACGTCCTCAGCAAGAAGAAGCTCGACGAGCTGGTCCGACAGGTTTGCGGGGGAACGGGCGAGGGCCAAGAGGGCAACCTCTTGTCTCCGGATGTTGAAGAGGTATAACACGCTCCTCTTCCCCAGGTGATTCCAGACGGTTACTGACATGTCCTCGCGACAGAACATCCTCAACATGGCCGACTCGTTCGTGGACAACGTGCTCCACTCGGCCTGCCGCAACGCCAAAGAGCGCGGCTCCAAAGTGCTGGAGATTCGCGACATCCAGCTGATCCTGGAGCGCACGTACAACATCCGTGTCCCGGGCTACTCTTCGGATGAGCTTCGCACGGTGCGCAAGGTGCAGCCGTCGCCAGGCTGGATTGCAAAGATGAGCGCCGTGCAGGCGGCTAAGGTGATGCCGGGCAAGGGAGAGCTCTAAAGCAGGATCTGGCCATGCGATTGTGTTTTTGGGGGCGGCGTTGACGGATGGCTTCGGGACGGTTTGCCATGCAGAACATGACCCGATGACAAGTCGGAGACGGGCGTTTGGAGCGGGACTTGAGAGCCCAACTCGTTTTGAGGTTCTACGACAACGGGTGGGACGGCGTTGAGGCTGTTCTAGATTGGCAGAGGCGAGTCACTAGGGAGTCTACGAAGCCGACGTTGATTTTGAGATGTCGAGAAGCGTGCGTGCCTTTGACTGGTCACCCTGGGAGACGTTGTTTTGCACGTTGGCTGGCAAAAGTATCGAGAGCGGCAGCGCTGCACCAACAACATGCCTTGTAGATGCGTAGGCGAGATGCTGTACCGAGGCTAGCGGCGTCCAGATGCGCATTGATTGCGGCTTGTGTCTGTGGCCTGCATGAGGTGCCCAAAGCCAGGCACGCGGGCATCTCGTGACGAAGGCGGTAGTGGCGCGCGTGGTGCTGCGCACCTGACGATGCCTGATGGGCGGCCGGGGCGCTGGCGATTGGCGACGGGACTCACCGCACCGCTCGACTTGTCGCGGCGGGATTGGGCGTCTGGACGATAATAAAGCGCGGCCGATGCCCGCCGGCAGCCGGTGAAGATGTGTATACGCGAGGGACGGGTGAGTGACGACGACGCCGACGACGGATGCGGCCCCAAGACGAGACGACGTTGCTGCCCTCGCGCGCAGCACTACCTACAGTTGCGGACCCAAAGTTTGGCCAACGGCTGGGGCCCACGATTTGTTACCTGGCGGCGACGACCTGAGGCACTGGCTCATCGCTGCATGTGAGAGCCTGCCTTACTAACGGCGCTGCTGCGTGGTGCTGATAAGCGCACCTCGTCACGGCCTCGAGCCCAAACAGCGGGCCTCTGTCGCTGCGAATGTGCTGCTGCTGGCCGTGCCTCCTCGGGCGCTTCAGGCGGCGGCCGCAGGCAACAGGGTCGACAACGTCACTCTGTCGTGGGCCCACCCTCAGGTCGCTCAGCTGCTGCTGCTGGCCACTGGCTGAGCCCGCGTCGCCGCCCAGGTCGCCTCCCGGCGCTCCGTTGGGACGCGGTACGTGGCAGGTACACCGCGGCACGTGCGACCCGCCGCCACGCGCAAGGTACCTCGCCCGTGCAGCGTCCCAGCTGGCCCGTGCTCCGCGACGCCAAGGTGCTTCCGGTTCTCAATCTGAGCTCGAACCTTCCCTGCACCTCTTCCTCCAAGGCGTCCACCCGACATCAGCATCAGCATCACCACCACCACCACCACCACCAGACGTCCAGCACTCGCGGCAGGACCACCCATCGCACGCCTCCCTCGCACCTCCACGGCCGCCGTCTCCTCGCGTTTCCTGCACCCGGCACCCGCCGTCCCCATCCTGCCGAGCGGGCTGCCCCTGGAGCGAGCGGGCCACGCAGACGCACCAGCAGCAGCAGCGCCAGCACGCGGCCGCACGCGCGATCGGACCGGATCGCCACGGAAGCCTCTTCTGTCATCCCCATCACCCGCAACCGCCCTCATCATCAACGCATCCCCGTCACTCCTCTTCCGTCGACCCGCACATCCTTCAGGCCGCCATGCCCGGCAAAACGCCCCAGAGCAACGGCAACGAGCCCGTCGAGAACGGCGTTAGGAACACCGATGTCGAGATGAAGGACGCAAAGAACAAGGGCAAGAAGGGCGCCAAGGACGCCGACGACGAGATGACCGTCGTCGTCCCGCCCTCCAAGGCCTCGAAGCAGCCGCACAAGTCCCAAGACGGCGACGGCGACGTGTCCATGACCGAAGGCGACGCTGCCGACGGCGGCGAGGTCAAGGTCGACCCGGTGGTGCAGACTGTCACAGGTAAGCGACATCGCCCGCGCCATCCACCAATGTCCCACGGCTGCGCGGCAGGCCGTGCGAGCCGAGTGCGGATGACGCTGACACTCAATTCCTCCATTCTGCAGACATCAAGAGCAATTTTGCCTTACTAGACCGCGCCGTTGCCCTCTTCGACGCCAGGTTTTCGCTGCGAGCCCTGCGATCCATCTCCGTCATCCGCAAGCGGTTGACGCCCGACATCATCGGCCAGGCCATTGTCGACACCTTCCCCGCCACCGTCACGTCCGGCAACATCGCCAAGAACCTCTTGGTCGCCATTGGGCGCGAGAGCATGCCGCTGGGCCGCCAGGCGGGTCCCGAGATGGAGGTGGACAGCGACAACAAGCCCGCAAAGAACGGCGCCAAGAAGGAGGCCAAGGACATCATCCCCGAAATTGACATCTTCCTCGGCATCCTGATCCAGGTGTACCTGTTCGACAGCAAGGCCTACAGCAAGGGCGCCGAGTTCTCGCAGTACCTGTCGGAGCGCATCCAGGCCCTCAACCGCCGAACGCTCGACTCCCTCTCTGCCAAGGTGTACTTTTACTACTCCCTCTTTTGCGAGCACATTGCGCCGCTGCCGCCGTCTCCCGAGTCGCCCATCGTCGCGCTCCGGCCGACGCTGCTCGCGGCCCTGCGGACCGCCGTCCTGCGCAAGGACATTGACACGCAGGCCTCGGTCATTGTCCTGCTCCTCCGAAACTACCTCTTGACGTCGCACATCAGCCAGGCCGACCTGCTCGTCTCCCACACCCAGTTCCCCGAGAACGCCGTCAACAACCAGGTGGCGCGATTCCTATACTACCTGGGGCGGATCCGGGCGATCCAGCTGCGATATACCGAGGCGCACGAGCACCTCACGGCGGCCACCCGCAAGGCCCCGTCGAGCAGCTGCGCCGTGGGCTTCTCGCAGACGGCGACCAAGCTCCTCATGGTCGTCGAGCTGCTGATGGGCGACATCCCCGACCGCGCCACGTTCCGCCTGCCGTCGCTGGAGGACGCGCTGCACCCGTACTTTTTGCTGGTGCAGGCCGTCCGCGTGGGCAACCTGGAGGACTTTGAGACGACGATTGCCGACCACGCCGACACGTTCCGACGGGACGGCACCTACTCGCTCATCCTGCGCCTGCGGCAGAACGTCATCAAGACGGGCATCCGCATGATGTCCCTGTCCTACTCGCGCATCTCGCTGCGGGACATTTGCATCCGCCTGCATCTCGGCAGCGAGGAGTCGGCCGAGTACATTGTGGCCAAGGCCATTAGAGATGGCGTGATCGAGGCCACGCTGGACAGGGAGCGGGGCTTCATGAAGAGCAAGGAGGTGGGCGACGTGTACGCCACAAGAGAACCCGGCGAGGCCTTTCACGACCGCATCCGCGCGTGTCTCGCGCTGCACGACGAGAGCGTCAAGGTATGACGATGCAGAGCTGTCGCTTCCCCCCCCCGACATGTGCTAACTAGTGTGCCTAGGCTATGCGTTTCCCCATGAACCAGCATCGCCTCGAGCTCAAGAATGCGCAAGAGGCGCGCGAGCGCGAGCGTGAAATGGCCAAGGAGATCCAGGAGGGCGACCTGGACGAGGACGACCTCGGGGGTGACTTCGAGGGCATGTAAGGACTTGTTTGTGTTAGTATCCCGCTACGACGACATTACCACATCGACAGCAACATTGGACGCTTCTTTCGGGGGCAGACTTGTGTATACATGTCGGCATATTGCCACCGGTGCGAGGGTCAGGATCGTTTTCGACTGGATGCGCGGCTCATCACTCTCTCCGTCGCTAGCGACGTTTCGCGGGCGGCCGGGCTACGGGAGGGGGGACGGGGCAGGGCGCTATAGAGGTCGTCGGCGGAGGTGGCACGGCTGGCGGCGGCGGCGTAATGGCGGGCGTGCCGTTGTGTATTAGATACTGAGGGTGAGGATATGCGAGAAATGCACGTGGTTTTCATTCATGGGCGGTTGGTGGCTGCGAAGTGACGTTTGCGATGTGATGTTTGCGATGTGATGTTTGCGATGTGATGTTTGCGATGTGATGCTTTGGACTCGGCGGCTCAAGTATGTTGTGTTGACATTACGGGACAATGTCCGCCTCCATGTCGTCAAGAGCCAGCAAAGCGCTCACGGCAGCCGTGCTCTGGCTCCGTGGCAGCATCCGTGGACCGTGGCGGCGACAGCTCTGAGGCTGGCCGACGTTGGTTGAAGAGTGAGTCAGCCCGTCTGTCAAGTGTCGTGGGCGCCCTTCGATCTGGTCCCTGCGCTGGCGCCCCTCCACTTCGACATTCGGTGCACTTCCACCACTCCACAACCCGGCCCCCAAGACCACATCGCATCAAACCAAAACACATCGCGATGCTGCAGGGCCCCTCGACTTGAGTCACAGCCCGCGCAGGGATCTCCAGGCTGGGCCGTGCCGGACGACAGCGGGCGCCAAGGCGGCTGGCCACGACGCGCGCGCCCTTTGCCCTACAGCATGTCCATCTTGCATCGTGCATGCGGCTGCGGCTCATGTGCGAGTGCCGATCCGGATGGGGCGCGGGGCTGGAGGCCGATGGCTTGAGCTCGTGTGCCTGGATGCTCAGCTGGGGAGCCTTGTAAGTTGTGACTGATGCGCGGTGTACCGGTGGGATGTATAAAGGGCTCTTAAACTGACGACCGTTGCAGGTGTGACTGACAGAGATCAGACAGCTATCAAGAAATCAACATGGCGGGAGCGACCCAAGCCCAGGTCGACCACAAAGACACACCATCTCCGCCGGCTCTGAACCCTCGCGACATGTCGTCAAACACATCACCGCCGTCAAATGACGACGGCCAACTGCAGGACGAGGCCATCCGCCTCGCAGCCCTCACCCGCCGTGCTCTCGCCGCCCTCCACAGCAACCTCCCGGGCTTCAACCCCTCGCAGCCCCTGACCGCCGACGAGATCCTCGCGCTGCCGCTCGCCGCCCACCGCGTCGACGACGAGCTGCACGGCCTCCCCCGCCGCCGGTCCTCGCGCGCCGCCCTCGCGCAGCTCATCGCGCCGCTGCTGTACCCCGTCCACGACGGCTCCCTCACGGCCATCATCCGGTACGAGGCCGACCGCGTGCGCGTCCGCGGCTGGGTCGTCCTCCAGCGCAAGTTCGACCTCTTGCGCGCCACGAAGCGCAACGGCCGCAGCGCCGCGGGTCTGTCGGGCGGCGCGGGGCCCGGCGTGCAGACCCCCGTGTGGTCGAGCCGCATCGTGAACCAGGGGCCCTGGGACGAGGGGAGGACGCCCGTCTCCCGCGCCGGCGTCCCCGCGGTGCCGATGCCCGTTAAAGTCGCACACGAGAAGCACCTCGCGCCGTTCTTCGCACACCTGCGCAACCAGGGCACGCACGTGCTCGTCAACGGCGAGCGCGACGGCGGGATGGAGCTCGACGGCGGCAGGGGTGAGCCGTACTACGGCGTCCAGGGCGCCGAGTTCGAGAGGGGCGTCGTGTACGAGGACGGGCGGATGGACCTGTGCAAAATGGTCGTGGGACCGGACCACATCTGGCGGCTCATGGACAGCCTCCGCGACAACGCCTTTGTGCGGCACTTCCTGCTCGGGAACAACATCATCGGCCCGTCGGGCGCGCAGGCCATTGCTGCTTTCATCGACGAGCTGCCGGAGCGCATGGAGACGTGGTACCTCGCGGGCAACTGCATCGACGGCGCCAGCTTCACGGGCCTCGTCGACGCCATGGTCGAGTCCCCGGCCATCACCAACGTGTGGCTGAAGCGCAACCCGCTGGGCCGGCTCGCCGCCGACGACCTCTTCCGCCTCATCACGCAGACGCCCAACCTGCGCACCCTGGACCTGGACCAGACGGAGCTAGGCGACGCCGGCGCGGCGCACCTCTTCACCCGCCTGGCCGCGCACTCGGCGCCCGGGGGCCACAAGCTACCCCTGCGCAACCTCTACATGAACGGCAACGGCATCTCCGCCGACGGGGCGCGCGCCATCGCCAGCTTCCTCGCCAGCCCGCACTGCGCCCTCGCCTCACTCTACATGTCGTGCAACCCGCTCGGGGACGCAGGCGCCGAGGCCCTCGCGGCGGCACTGCCCGCGGCACCGCATCTGACACGCCTGCTCTTACAGTCAGTCGGGGTCAGCACCCAAGGTGCCGTGGCGCTCTGCCGCGCCGTGACGTCCCCCCGCGCCGGCATCCGCACCCTCGACCTCGGCCAGGCGTTTGCGACCGAGGACCTGGCCCAGGCGTACAACTACATCGACGACGCGGCCGTGCCCGCCATCAAGGCGATGCTCACGCACGGCCAGCTCGAGTACTTTAGCCTCGGCCACTGCCCCGTCTCGCACGCCGCCCTCGTCGAGCTGTCCGCCGCCATCGCCGAGTGCGAGTCCTCGTCGCTGCTCTACTACGCCGCCTCGTCCATCCTGCGCCGGCCCCCCGCCGCGTCCTTTGTCCCCTCGCGCGACACCCCGCTGCCGCACCCGGACGCCCCGCCCCGCGCCGACATCGAGGCCGAGAAGCTGCTGCGCGCGCGGCTCGAGGCCAACGTGGCGGCGCGCTTCGCCGACGCGCACACGGACGCGGGCATGACGTACCTGCGCTTCCTCGCCGAGGAGAAGCGCTGGCTCGTCAGCGACAGGGAGGACGTGCGCAAAATCGACAGCGTGTACCGCAATCGCGACGCCGGCATGGCGCGCAGAGGGCTCGTCACGCTCGTCAAGCAGTGGGGGGAGGGGGACGACACCCTCCAGAGGGTCGGCAACGCGCAGGGCCCTGTGCGCGTGCTGCGAGACGGCATTGCTGCGTAGTATTGATGGTTTGCTTCTGTTGATCGTGTGCGTGTCCGCTGCTTTCACTCAGCCACTCGTTCTCGAGCTCGTTTAAGTACGCTCAAATCAAAGCTTGAGTTGCCACTGTCTCTATAGTTCTACCGCAAGATAGTAAATACTCTGAAAACTCAGAGTGCCGTGTCCATCTACCGCCCAGCCGTGCCATCCGCATGCGTCACCACCAAAAAGCACAACTTCCGCAACCCCTTTTCCTCCCCATCACGCCTCCCCCTCCCCCTCCCCGCCCTCTCCAAGTCGCGCTCGTACTCCCTCTCCACTTTCTCCCTCCTGCGCTGCACCCGCCGCAGGTCCGCCTCGCTGTCCCTCCCGCGGGCCCTGCCCTCCTCGCGGTCCAGCTTCTGCGTCTCGCGCGCGTGCTCCCTCGCCAGCTTGGCCTGCTCGCTGGTCCACTTGTCGTGCGCCTTGCGCCGCGACGAGAGCAGCTTGGCTTCTTCCTTGCGGCGCTGGCGGTCGCTTGCTGCGGCGTGCATCTTGCTGAGCGGGTTGCTGGAGGAGGAGGAGGAGGTGGTGGTGGTGGGTGATGGTGCGGAGGAGGGGGCGGGATGGTCGTCGATGTCGAGGGGTGAGAGCCACGGCTGCAGGGCGTGTAGACGACGCTGCTGCACCGACTGCGTCCGGATATCGTCGTCTGTGATCCCCGGAGTGCTCCCGTGGTCGCCCCCCTGGCTCTCATCATCCGCCCCAAACGGCCGCAGCACCACCGCATCCTTATCAATCTCCCCCCGCGCGTCCACAAACGGCATACCCGCCAGGAGCGCCACGTCCCGAAACCCGACGACCCCGACCCTCAGCCCGCGCGGCCCAAACACGTCGCTGTTGGCGCCGCGCAGCAGCGCCGCGACACGGGCCTTGCTCACGGCGATGGTGGCCACCGTGGCGGCCGCGTTGACGGCCCCGCCAACAACCTGCGCCGTGTGCAGGGGCACCATGCCGACGACGTTGCCCGCGAGGCGGAGGGCCTGCACGGGGGGCGAGGCGACGGACGCGCGGTTGAGAGCGTCGATGAATGCGAGGAAGGGGGCGGGTGGGAGGNGGGTGGGAGGGCGAAAGGTGAGAGGGCGGGAGGGTAGGCGCGCAGAAAGGGTGAGCCAGGGGTGGCGTCGGTGGCGGGGATGGCGATGAGCTTGGAGAGTCGGGGCGGAGAAGATGGCGATGGCGATGCTACTCCTGGTAAAGATGGAGAGGGGCGTGGCGCATTCGAGGGATGCGGAAATGCGTATAGGGATTCGTGTGAGGCAGTGGACTCAGAGTACGCGGGCGGAAGAACGTCGTTTGTGAGTGCCTGCACGGGAACCTCGCGGATCCCCCGACGATATGGTGCGGTCTTGCATACAGCAGCGCCGTCTGCTTCAGCGTGCGAATAGCCGGCTGCGCCATCAAAACATGACTGATATCGGACTTGATGCGCTTGGGGAGTAGGCATCTGGTCACGGCCGAAACTGTCTGCCTCGACGCCGTTCTCATCAGGCGCACAAGGAAGCCCAAAAGCCTTCCTTTGGTGCTCATTCTGCCGAGATCGGTGGTAGGGATTCGCCATAATGAGGCGGGCATCGAACGATTCGGCGTCTTGCCGATATGGATATGGTTTGGTGTAAGCCATTGTGGTCTCTGGTTGTCGTGAGAGGCCTGTACTGCAGCTCTCAAGCTCCTCGAGTCTCGCTCTCTTCATCGGTAGAAGTTTTCCAGACATTTGAAATTTCCTTGGCCATGTTGCCGTCTTTATAACATGCGAGTGCCCGCGTCGAGCTTGCGTACCTGACAATCCCGTGATCCCCGTCCCTGGGCGCCGTATTTGAACCACAGCGAGATCCATCACTGTTTCGGTCAGGCTCGCGCAAAGTCTCCGAATCAGGAAAGGAGCCATCAGAACCGAGTCCAAGGCGCCGTACCCTAGGGAGCATGTCCTCGGACTATGGTTAAACGGATGGGATAATGGGCTCGTCAGGCTGCTGGCAGGGCTGGCAGCCACGCGGTGCGGCGGCGGCGCGACGATCGTCGGCAGTCCCTCAGATCTAAAAACGAGGCTCCCCACTGCCGAAGGAATGGCCCCGTCGCCGTGCGATTCCCGTTTGGGACATCCGGTGCGAGGTGAGACTCTAGATGGCCTAGCCGTCTCGGGTCCCGCACTGCCGGGCGGCTTATTACCGACGTCAACTAACGATGCTCGTCAGAGGGCAGAGCGGCCATGGCGAGCGTCGGCGGCCCCCAAAGGGGAGATGATATACTCGCACCTCGCGCTGGCTGGCTCCCTTGGGAAGAGGCCCCGAACCTTGCTTACCCGGACCAGCTCTCTCAACAAGCCTCTCGCGCAACGGGCATCCCTGACGACACCCATTCAGCCTGCAAACGTGAAAGCCAAGCCCCGCGCCATGGCCACCTTTTCATTCTTCTCGAGCGGGCCGGGAGATGCCCGCGGCCGTCGCAGCAAGGGCTGCCTGACGTGCCGAAAGCGCAAGGTCAAGTGCGGTATGGATGCCGCCATTGTTGTCTACAGAGTATGTGTCTGACGTCCTGGCATAGACGAGCGCCGCCCGACATGTGAGCGGTGCGAAAAGGGATACCATCACTGCCTGGGCTACGACCAGCCACTCATCTTTGTGAACAAGGGCGTGGGTGTGGCGCCTCCACCCCAGGGCCCGCGGAACAGGAAGCTCTCGCCTGACACGGGCTCGTCTGGGTCGGCCAGCGACAGCGAGACCTCGTTTGCGATCATCACCAGACCGTCCAGCAGCGTTGGATACGTCAAACCCATGCTGAAGCTGGACGGGTTCAAGGATGACATTGTAATTTCCCACCTCATCACCAAGCTCGCAGCTGTGGGACACCAGTTCTCCAAGGGCACTGATGCCCCGACACTGGCAGGGGTACTCACTGCCAGCAACGGCAAGTCGGTTGCGTACATTGCGGGCCTGAGCCTCGCCGAGGCCTTCTTCGGTCGCATACACAGAGTCCAGGGCATGCTGGACCACTCGGCCACTTTATATGGCCGGGCCTTGCGGAGCCTCAGGGAGGATCTCGTGCTGCTTGACCGCGGTGCGGGACTGTCGAGGGCATACATGAACCTGTGGAGCACCATCTTCCTTGGCATGTACGAGATGGTGTCCAACTGCGGCTCGTCCAACTGGTTGGAGCATAGCCGTGGCGTCTCGGCTCTTGTAAGTTACATGCGGCCGGCGATCCGCATGCGCGGGCGAGTGAGTGTGTGAGGCTAACACCCCACAGACACATGCACTCGGGCCGCATGCCTTTCAAAACCCATCGGCGAATACAATTCTTTCGTTCAACAGGTCCTACATGGTAAGAAGTCCTAAGCATGGAAACGGTGCCCCCCGGCTGGCGGCTGACGCTGCGCGTCCACACAGGCGATTGGTCACATAGCACAGCGAAAGCGATGCTTTCTAGGAGAGCCCGAGTGGCAGACGATCCCCTGGGCGTTGCAGGAGACGGAGCGGCCGATAGGTTCCAAAATCATAGACGTCCTTTGCGAGATCCCGGGGCTCATGGCCGAGAGGGACATGCTCGCTGGCCGCGCGGCCAAAGTCAACGACGTCGAGGCGGCAATGGAAGCGCTGCAGGACCGGGTGCTGGACGCCATCCGCAGACTGGGCGAGTACCGGTGGCAGTGGGAGGCCGCCTATCCGAGGGCAAGCCGGGAGAGGCTGGTCAACATGGCGACGTCGGTCTCGCTGGACGAGCACGGGCGCCCGCTCTTCGACACGGTCCTCGACTTTGACGACATGGAGCGGGCCATTGACGTGGTGTACTTCAACACCATCCGGCTCATGCTCTACGGGCTGTCCGACGACACGGGCCTGTCGGAGCTGCTGATGGCCTCGTCGGGGGGAGGCTGCCTGTATCAGGGGCCCAGCTCGAACGCGCTGCTGCTCCCCGGCCAAGGGACCAACGTGTCCAACGCGCTCGAGATTTGCCGCACCGTCGACTACTTTATGCAGCACAGCCGGGACAGCCAGGGGACGCTGGTGCTGCTGTTTCCGCTGCGCGTGGCCTACGGACACCTGCGCCGCGTGCCTCTGGTGTCGCCGTGGATACGGCGGATTCTGGTCGACCTGTCAACCTCCAAGGGCTTCCAGATTGGCGAGCACATACTGAACATGGGGATGCAGACGACGGATTCTCCGTAGGCGGCGCGTCTCTTTGGTGTGATGGAGGCATGGCGAGCAGCTGCGGTGGGTGAACCGGTTACAACCGCCAGCAAAGAAAGCGATGCATTGTTGGATGAATTGGCCTCTGTCGTGATGCGGCGCCGGGCTTTAGACTTCGTCGCGGCCAAAGTCAACACCACGCACGTGACCGGCCACCTCGTGCCTGCCCATGTACAGGCGCGTTCCTGCCGAGATGATTCAAGGCAGGTAAATCGCTCTCCGGCAACAACAGCAGAATAGCCGTCGCCTCTCCGCGAGCATCATTCAACAACGACACCCCCGGCAGCTCGCGCGCATGCGCCACGGCCTCCGCGACGGATCCAGCACCAACAGCGCAGCAGCGGCAGCAGCAGGTGGCATGTCCTCGGCGAGAGCTTATCCACAGCTCCGGCGGCCCAGTCCAGCGCCCGTGGGAGGGACGCCCGCGACGGCAAAAGCAACCTGAGGACGGCGCGCTCTTCTCGCTCGCCCCCTTTTGTCGCCCGCGCCGCGGGAGCCATGGCGCCGAAGCGCAAACGAGCAACGGATCCAGCGCCCGCGCCTGGAGTCGACCCCCAGCCGGCCGCAACGCGTCGTGCGACGCGTCAAACGCCCGTCCTACCCCCGCTGCCCCCGAGCGCCGCAGCGCCCGCCCGCGGTGCCAGGGCGGCGAGGACGGCGGCCGCGGCGGCGTCTGCTCCAGGGGCTCCAGGGGGCGCGGCGGCGGCCACAGCACCACTGCCACAGGGACCACGGGGACCACATGCACCACCAACACCGCAACCACCGCAACCACCAATGCCTCCCGCCGCCCACGAAACACCTGTCCCGATCCCAACACCGCCGGCCGTCCAGCGCAGGGCAGCTGCAACAAGACGCAACGACCGCGGACGCGTCCAGCAGCAGCCAATTGACAAGCCATCATCAACACACGAAACCCCGGTGCCCGTGCCATTTCCAGCAGTCGCCGCCGTCGGCCACGGCCCTGCCACGAGCTCTGCTGCGAGCCCCGCCGGCACGACCTCTGCAGCGTCGAAAACTCCGATGCCACCGCCGCCGACACGCACGCTCGCTCCGGCCGCCACGCGAGACAACATGATTGCCAGCACCGCCATCAAGGAAAACATCCGGCCGTCCGACCTCGTGGCACCCGAAATCACATACCACGTGCCACAGCCGCATCAGCCCGGCCGCCTGCAATCGTCCCTCGTCCGTCCTCACGGCCCTTCGGCGCACCCGCCCCGCCTCGACAGGCCTCCGCCGCCCGTCGTGACGCCCGTCCCGCCCCCCAAGCCTCCGACGCTGCCCGTCTCCGACCGCGGCCCTCCGAGGACGGACCGCAACATCGATAAGGTCGTGTTGGGGAACCTCTGCTTTCGGACCTGGTACCCCAGCTACTACGGCAAGGAGGTGCTCGGGGACACGTCCGGCAATGCCTCCAAGGGCGGCAGCAAGGACGGCGGCAAGGACCAGGGCGGCAAGGCGTCGTCCAAGAAGGACAAGGACCAGCAGCCAATGCTAGAGAGGCTATACGTCTGCCCCAGCTGCTTCAAGTATGCGCGGGAGCTGGTGGCGTGGAGGGGACATGTTCGCCTGTGCGAGCGACAGGGACACGTACCTGGTGAAAAGATTTACGCCCATCCCAAGGGCAGACGAAGGGTCCTTGTTGCCTACGACGGCAAGGCCCCGGGCCCCAAGCGAAGGCGTGGTGAGGGGCCCCCGCGTTATGTCGAAGAAATTGTGCAAGACGAGGGAGAATGGAGCATATGGGAGGTCGACGGCGAAAAGGACGGGGTAAGTCCAGACCATCCCGGCATGGCTTCCGCAGTTGAGCACTAACCTATTGCAGCTCTTTTGCCAGAACCTGTCGCTGTTTGCCAAGCTCTTCCTCGACAACAAGTCAGTCTTTTTCGACGTCACAGGCTTCAACTATTTCCTGTTGGTGTACACGCCCCCCGTGAAGCCGACAGCGCCCGGCGCGGAGCCTGCTCCCAGACTACCGCCGCAGGTGACGGGGTTCTTTTCGAAGGAGAAGATGTCCTGGGACAACAACAACCTGGCGTGCATCTTGGTGTTTCCGCCGTGGCAGCGCAAGGGCCTGGGCGCGCTTCTGATGGGGGCATCGTACGAGATATCACGACGCGAGGGTATCCTGGGCGGGCCCGAGAAGCCCATCTCCGACCTGGGCAGAAAGGGGTATCGGCGGTTCTGGTCCGGCGAGATTGCCCGGTGGCTGCTGAGCCTCGACTTGGGCCCGCGGGACGCCGCCGGTCAGGAGACGCTCGTGGACGTCGAAGATGTCAGCCAGGGCACGTGGATCTCACCCGAAGACTGCCTCTCGGTTCTGCGCGACATGGGCGTCGTCGAGGACGCCGGCATCGGACCCGGCAAGGTCGAGAAGAAGGAGCCCGAGGCGCGGAACGAAAACGAGGACGGCGACGCGGACGGCGGCAAGGCACTGGAGTCTACCGCCGCCAAGAGCGAGGAGAGGAAGACGCCGGCGCCGGCGAAGCAGGTGCACCGCGTGTGGCTCGACAAGGAGGCGGTGCGGCGGTTCGTGGCGACACACCGCATCAGCCTCGAGAGGACGTGCGACCCCAACGGCTTCGTCGAGGGCTACGCGATGAAGGCGCAGGGAGCGGTGGACGAGGACACGGATGGGGGCAGCGCCGAGGCGTAGACGTACATGCGGGAACGCATCGCGGGCCTCTGCTTTAAACGACTGGAACGATATGGATGATACCCCTGGGACCCTGATGGCTGTTCGTTTTGTTTTTCTTCCTTGATTTTATTACCGAAACAGCGTGGCTTGTTGCTGTATTCGAATTGAGCTGCAGTGTATTGAATCGGATTATTCCAGGAGACGAGAGTGGTTCTTGGCGACTTCCGCATGTACTAATCCCACAACAATGGCAAATGAACTTGTCGCAACTCAGTGCGGCTCGGCTGCTTCGGCCGATACCGCGCCGTGGCCGATGAGCAGGGCTCATGTGAAATGATTGTCTCAATGTCTAACTAGTTGCTCGATATACCATTTGCGATCCGGTAAAGAAGACGAGTCAGCTCGGCTGGTGGCATCAAAGAATAACCACAGCTACATGGTCATCCATGAACTGCGTGATGTCCTCGACAAAGAAACTTGCGACAACTGAGGCCTCGCCAAAAGCGATGCTGCAGTACTATACCCATGGGTAAGCGTCAGCATATGCCTCTTGACCGGCAGTTACCACCTGCTGCCAGAGGGTGACGTTTCCATTGCTACCCGGCAGCTCCAGTATGGCTTGTGTCAACGAAGCCGATGTGAGGTCAATGGCTGCCTTGATAGTTTCGGGGTCCTTGACTCCACCAACGACCATTGCCGTCCCAACGCGATCAATTAGCATGGGAGTCAACTTGGACACTAGAACGTTGTAATAAATTGCGTAACCAATGGCGCCTCCAACGACTCGGATGGATAGAGAAAGAGCAGTTATCGTCGCAATCACCTCGTCCCGGCAGATGATGGTGGTTATGACGCTCACGGGTATGACCATGCCGCCAACGCCGAGGCCGGCGATGACCAAGATTGCGTAGACGACCGATTCGTTGGCCGTGCTGAGGGCGGCCATGCTGCCACATCCTGCAGTCATGACGCAGGATGCGATGAGAAGGATGATTCTGGTGTTGGCTCCCCGAAAGTAGGTCAAAAGAGTCAACGTGATGACGCAGCCTGTCATCACCCCAAGGCCAAACGGGAGGCCACGGAGTCCCACTGCCACGGGATCATGGCCATATACGTTGTAGGCTTGAGTGGGCCACAGCATGAGCACCGAGAAGAAGTTGGCACCGGAGATGAAGCTGATGACGAGGACGAGGACTAAGGTCCGTGGCGGCCGACCAAGGTCCTTTGGAAACATTGGGTATTTCGTTCCCCACGCCTCCCAAGAGACGAACATGGCGAGGATCGAGACGCCGAGGATCAACGGAACGAGTGCGTGGGCACTGTTCCAGGGATACTGCACCAAGTCAGCACCGCTCCTACGGCTGTAGCGGTTTTGCAAAGTAGTATCGTACCATGTATCCTCCAAGATCCCGCCGACGTAGTCGATGCGCCGAACCATGTCCCCCGTACTCAACGTCACGGAATTGGAACGCGGAGGCGGGGCGTAGAACACGATTGTGATGATAAGCCCAACGGCCGTATATCCACAGATCATCACACCGATGTACCGCCAGTGCGCATTCGTAGCAATAAGTTGACCCCAAAGGACAGAAGGGCACTATGAGAGAAGAGTGACGATCGGACCGGAGACGTATAGGCCGCGTTGACCTATGCTCAATGTGTTTCTGGATGCGCCGTACATCGTTCCCTAGTTGTCTTTGGGCAGAGCATGATGCGCCAATCTCGACAAAGGAACACAGGCGCGGCGTGCTTCATAGCTTCCGGTAATAAACTGCCAGCTGACGCTGAACTCGTCTTTGTAAAAAATCTGGCCAGCCCCGAATTTAGAACACTTTCCATCCTTATCCCGCATAAGTCGTTCCCAGCCGTCTGTAATAGGCCTCCAGTGCTTAAACTTCAAGGGCGTCTTGGTCTTCGTGCTTGTCAGTTTCGGCGGCTAGGAAACAGGAAAGGGTGAATAGAAGATAAACCTACATTATTGCAAAGCCTCAGCAGCCCATGGTTGGAGCAGTAAACTATCTTACACTGACCCGGGTCTACGCTTGGGGGAGGCGTGTCTCTCACTGATCTGAGGTGAAAGAGACACGATACCCCGAGGTCCAGGTACAGGTATTCCCAGTACTTTGGTCGGGGAAAGGGGCGGAGCTTGTCGCACGCTATCTTCGCGTTTGGTCCGAAAGTCCTTTCTTCGTTCAAGCGGAAAACATCTTCCCGCGAGCTCCCAATATCACGACGACTACCAAGAGCCCGCCTGTGCAAGTCCCTGTCATGAGGGTCGCCGCCAAGGGTAGACGTTTCGTATGGTGGATCCAGATGACCCGAAAAGGCCCTGGCGACATCTCCGTGGCCGCGAGAAGAACCGAGAGGGGCAGTGTCATGGCGAGGCTTGACATGACCGAGCACCCGCTGCGTAGCGGTCAGGGAAAGCGGGCGATGAGGAGGGCTGCAACGTTCTCAATTCACATCATTTCCGATCCGATTCTTCTTTGGCGTTGGGACATGGGCAAAGCAGCGTAGAGAGCCGAAATCGCATGCGCAGTGTTTGGCTCTCCATCGTCGAGCTGAAGCTCAACTACCAGGCAAACGCATTCCAACAACCTAGCCGCTGATGGCCAAACACGCGCAATCACCAACATCGACTTGCACGCCAGGGCACGGCACCTGGGCTCTGCCCCAGTGCGCGTTTCGGCACTCTCACGCGTCTGAGGACCTGAGGTGCCCGCTGGGCTGGGGCCTGAGCCTCCCCTCCGAGGTGCACTCGCATGCGGCGCCACGCTGCCCGGGCAACCCGCCCGCGGGGGGGGGGGGGGGCGCCCACCCGACCGCTGAAACTCCCCCGGGCCTCCGGGCAGGTTGGGGCTGGGGTACCTGCCACCCCGGGCCTGCACCAGGTCCAGGTCCAGGTCCAGATCCACCTCATGATGTGGACCTAGGTAGGTACCTACCTGCTGACGCCCCTGGCGCCCCTGGGCGCGACACCTCGGGCGACCTGATGCCAGGCGGGCACCAGCTGTGAGAAGGAGCCTCCACCACTGGAACCTCCCCAACTCCACAGGACCTCGGGAGCCGCATCGCGCCGCCGCCACGGGCCAGCTGGTCGACTTCCTCAGCCCACAAAAGACGAGCCCACGCTCCTTTCAATCGTGCGCATCACTGCCCGCCTGCCCGCCTGCCCGCCTGCCCGCCTGCCCGCCCCCCTGCCTCTCTGTTCCAGTGCATGTTTCGACCCGTTTCAACAACAACATCCACCCGCTGCTGGGCCACCGCGCAACCCAAGACAGACAGACAGCTGCTTCACACCACGCGCAGCTCCAGCGCGCCACTCCCATCGCCACGTCGCTGCCCACCTCACCCGCCGACCACGAACCCGAACCGCGCGCCTCTGTCCTCTCGGCGCCATCTGTTGACTCCGTTACGGTGCCAGGCGGGCCATTCACCTCAAGATGCGCCATGGCCGACGATGAGACGCACAGCAGCCACCAGCCGAGCCTCGATCCCCAGTCACGGCCCTCGACGGCCATGCGCGTGCCGGACGAGCCTGCGACGGCGGGCACCCAGCCGCGCGACGGCGCCGGTGCCCATGCAGACGCGCCCGACCCTACGACGACGAATCACGACGACTCGCTCCTCCACCCGCTGCCGTCAAACGCCGGCCCGGGATCCCAGAGCGCGGCGTCGCCCGGCGCGACCCGTGCCGAGAGCAGCTTCATAGAAACCACGGCCATCGACCAGACGCGCGCCCCCGACGAGACCATGACCGAGGAGGCCGTCCGCCGGCACCTCCAAGACGTCGAGTCGAGCTTCCTCCCCACGCTGTCCCCCATCGCCACGGGCTTGACGAATGGCGGTGAGGGCGGCGTCGACGACTCGTTTCTCTTTGACTCGCCCGACAAGGCTGCGGCTCGTCCTCTCCCGCAGCAGCAGGGCGACGACGACGACCACGACGACGCCACGGCCGCGAGCAACACCACGTCCAACCTCGAGACCCTCGACTCGTCGCCGACCGCCGCGGCAGCCGCGCGCACCATCTCTCGCGCCGTCAGCATGGCCACGAACCCCCAGGCCTCCGCCGTGGCCGAGGACGACAGCACCACCACGAGCGACCGCGACAACCCCTTCCTCTCGGCCGACGACGCCGCCTCCTCGCTGTCGCAGTCCGTCTCCGGAAAGCTGGACGCGGGCAGCACGCCGGGCAACTCGTTACGCGTGAGCAAGCGGCCCAAGTACCTCCGCAGCCGCTTCGGCAGCCAGCGCTCCTCGACGTCGTCCTTTGTGACCAACCCAGACTCCCACGACGGCAGCGACGCGACCGTCGGGCACGGCCTCGACTACGCCTTGCACTCTGGCGGCGCGGTGCCCGCCTCGGGCATGCCCCGCGGTCCGAGTGTCGGGCTTCCTCGATCCATCAGCTTCGGCAGCGTCGCCTCGGGCGTCGGCACCGACGACTACGACGCGCCGGGCCACCAGCTCGAGCCCCTGGCCGAAATCGACAGCCCACCGCAGACGCGCCACCCCGACTTGATGAGCACGCCGAAGCCGTCCAGGGAGAATCTCAACGCCGCGCCGACCGATACCGTCATCGCGCAGCACGTCAGGAACGTGCACGTGCCGGAGTCTCTGGCCAAGGAGTACAGGTTTAAGAACGGGCTCCAGACGCCGCGGCGCCCGTCGGCCTTGACGGCGAGCACCGGGACCGTCGGGCGGTCGGGCAAGAACCTGACGCTCAAGGAGCAGAGCAGCACCATCGAGCGCCTGTCCAAGGAGAACTTTGACCTGAAGCTCAAGGTCATGTTCTTGAGCGACCGGCTCGACAAGCTCTCCGAGGAGGGCATCAAGGAGATGATTTCCGAAAACGTCAGCCTCAAGACCAGCTACGCCGTCCTCCAGCGCGACAACAAGATGCTCAGGAAGAGGGTCAAGGAGCTGGAGCGGCAGGCCAGGGAGGAGGACAACCGCCCGAGCACGGCCCGCAGCGGCACGGACTCGACGGACCACACGCCGCGGATAGACGAGGAGGAGGCCCAGGAGCGGGAGGTGGAGCTTCTCTACCTGCGCGAGCGCGTGGAAGAATACGCCGCGGAGATTGAGCGGCTGCGCAACGAGGGCGTGCACCGCGAAAACGAGAAGCGCAAGCTGGCGGAATTTGTCAAGTCCATGGGCGACCGCCCGGGAGAGAGCCTCGGGCGGCAAGAGGAAGCCGACGTCTGGAAGGACCTGCTGGAGCAGGAGACGGCGCGCAGGGAGCAGGCCGACGAGGACAACGGCAAGCTGCGCGACGAGGTGTTTCGGCTCCGGCGCGAGCTGTCCGCCGGACAGGGCACCATGCACCACACGACCAACATCTACAACATCACCAAGAAGCACAGGGACCCGAACGCGTCGCCCACGCGCCCCACGTCCGGCCTGTCCGGCGACGTCGAGGAATCCAACGCAAACTTTAGCGCGGCCACGACCCTCGTCGAGGAGCTCAGGCGGGAGAGCGAGCAGCTGCGCCACGAAAACGCCGAGCTGCGCCGCGAGGTCGGCGCCCAGACGTCGATGCTGGTGTCGAGGAACCGCGAAAAGGACCGCCTGTACAGCGAGATTGAAGAGCTCAAGATGGCCCAGCGGCGGACCGGCGGCGGCGGCGGCGGCGTGGCGGCGTCGACGGTCGACAGCATCCTCGAGCGATCGGCGTCGCGAGCCGGCGGGGGCCACGAGCGACCAAGCTCGCGAGGGAGCGCCAGGACCCGCCAGACCTTTGCCGAAGACGAGGCCGAGCGAGAGGAGCTCGAGAACAAGCTCGCCGAGGTCCGCGACAAGCTCAGCGAGGCCAAGCTGCAGAACCAGGAGCTGCAGCGCGAGCTCGAGGCGTGCATGCAAGACTTTGAGGCCGCCGTCGAGGACAAGCGCCAGGTCGAGGAGACGGCGCTGACGCTGCAGGAGGACCTCGAGAACGCCATGAACGACCTGGTGGCGATCCAGGCCGAGCGGGACGAAGCCCTCCGAGAGCAGGGCGACATGGAAGCCGAGTTCGAGGCGCTTCGCCGGGAGGCGCAGGACGAGATCGACGCGCTCGAGTCCGAGGCCGACCAGCGCAACGAGGACGTCGAGCGCCTGCAGGCCGACCTGAGGGACCGGACCGAGAATTTCGACGCCTTGCAGGAAGAGATGCGAAAGATGAGCGAGGCCCTCATCGGCCTCGAGGACGACCAGGACGACAAGATGCGCCGCATCGCGCAGCTCGAGGAGGAGCTGGAGTCGTCCAACAAGGAGCTCGAGGAGCTGGAGCAGAAGCTCATCGAGGCCAACGACAAGAACCAGCGCCTCTCGGTGCAGCAGGAGTCGTCGCAGGGCGAGATCGCCTTCCTGCGCGAGGAGCAGGAGGCGGACAAGATCCGCATCGGGGACCTCGAGGCGGCGCTCGCCAACGCCGAGCAGGGCCTGCGCGACGAGCGGGACCGGGCCAAGGAGCTCGACGGCCGCCTGCAGCAGGAGCGCGTCCAGCGCGAGATGGTGGCCAACCGCGAAAAGGAGGAGGTGCAGCAGTTCGTCAACGAGCTGAACCGCGAGGCGTCGACGGCCAAGGACGAGGTGAGGCGGCTGCGCAAGAGCCTGTCGTCGCGCGAGGTCGAGGCCACCGAGTGGAAGGAGAGGCTGATTGAGCTGGAGAACAATCTGAGGGAGGCGCTGGGCGACCTCAACGGCACCCGCTCGTCTCTCCTCAAGGTAGGGTTCCGCCTGTTCCTCGACAAGCTGAGAGGCACTACTAACAGGGACAAGTCGATTGCCAAGATGCAGCGCGAGCTCGAGAACACGATCCGCGAGCTCGACAGCACCAAGGCGTCGGTCAACGAAAAGGACCGCATCATCAAGCAGCGCGACGCCCTGCTCGAGTCCCACGCGCTCGAGAGCCGCAAGGTCGCCGAGCTGCTGGACAAGGAGCGCGTCGCCCACCGCAACACCAAGTCGCAGTTTGACACGTTCCAAAAGACGCACAGCCACCTCTCCCAGACGGCCAGCACGCAGGACGTCCGGATCGCCGAGCTGGAGAGCACCCGCGGCCAGGACCGCCGACGGCTCGCGCAGCTGGAGCAGACGGCGCGCGAGCAGCTGCAGGAGCGCAACGAGCTGCTGCTGACGCTCTGGCAGCGGCTGAGCGCCCTGTGCGGCCGCGAGTGGCTCAACAACAACGCCCTCGTCGACCGCCAGGTCGTGCCCTCGGTCGAGGTCATCGCCAGCCGCCTGCCCGGCTTCTCCAAGAACCTGCTCGCCGCCATCAAGGCCATCGAGGGCATGGTGGGGTCCCTCCAGACCAAGATCAAGGCCGTGGAGCGCGACCTGCAGCGCGAGTACCAGGCCCTGGAGAACAACCTCGAGGTCCGCGTCAAGAAGCTCGACCGCCTGGAGACGATGGTGCGAAACTCGATAGCCTCGGGCTCGCTCGGCTCTCACGACGCGCACGGCCGCATGCAGCGCCTCGAGGACGCCTACCGCCAGCTCAAGGTCGAGAATGCCACCCTCAGGACCGCCCAGGACGTGCGCAGCCGCGCGTCCCAGGCCAACACCGCCGCCGACGGCACCCTCGCCTACGCCGGAGGCGGCTCGCCGTCGCCGGCCGTGCCCCGCGGGCCCGGAGACCGCGACAGGAGCAGGTCGTCCCGCCAGGACAGGAGCAGTAGGTCTGCCGGCTCCGGCCGCTCCGGCGCGACGAGCGGCATCCCGCGCCCGGCGACGTCTGCCGCGTACGGGGCCATGGACGTGGCGCTCGCCGGGGACGCCGACTCGGGCGGCGGCGGCGGCGCCAACAACGACAACCGCTGGCTGTTCCGCCTGCGGGACATGGAGTACAAGCTCAAGATGGAGCGCGAGGGCCGCAACCAGGATCGGCAGGCCGCGCGCCAGCGACTGGGCGGGCTGGAGATGGAGAACCGCGACCTGCGCGAGCGCGTGAGGCGCACAAACTCGGAGGCCGAGTAATAAATAGCCACGACGTGTGACGAGTCACGGGGAAAGCACATTGATGTCGCAGGCCCGTGTGCCATTTTGCGGCGCCTGGGCTTGCTTTGCGTTTGTACAATATGGAGGCCGGACATTGATGGTTTTTTACGCTGCTTTGCTACCATGAAGGTTTGCTGCTGTTCGGGCTTGGTGTTGATGGGTGGACGGCGCGAGGGACGTGCCGGCATAAAATCTACTTGCCGCTGGGTCGACGTGTAACATTAGCGCCGTGACTGAAGCCTGCCTTGCTAATTGAGAAACGTTTTACTTTGACGCATCCGCCGCCACAGGGTGGCTACTGTGCTCATGGTCTAGTACGTGTTGTGCTGCACCCCCTTGCCACATTCTGCGTGCTCTGCTCACGTCGCGTCTCAAGTCGTGGCTCAATATACTACGCCATGACGCATCTCTCTCTCCACAGGCTGCACGCTGTGCCCGTACACGAGCCCAAGGGCGCAGTCTAGTAGGCGCCTCCCTCGTTGCCGTTGATGGCCTTGACCTCGACCTTGACCTCGTCCTCGCCGATGCCTCGCCTGCGCGCCTCGTCGAGGATGGCCTGCGTCGCCGTGGCGCCCACCCTGGTGACGCCCAAGCTCATGACGTACAGCAGCTCGTCGAGGGTCCTCACGCCGCCGGCCGCCTTGATCTGCACCCCGGGCCCGGCGTGCTCGCGCATGAGCTTGAGGTGCGGCGCCGTGGCGCCCTTGTAGCTGTACATGCCGTTGGGCTGCTTGACGAAGCCGTAGCCGGTGCTCGTCTTGACGAAGGCGACGCCGAGGCGGGTGCAGAGCTCGCAGAGCCGGGCAATGTGCTCGTCGGCGAGGTAGTCGTTTTCGAAGATGACCTTGAGGAGGGCGCCCCTGCTGGTGACGAGGCGGTTCAGCGCCTCGACCTCGTGCTCGACGTAGGGCCACGCCCCGCCGAGGACCTTGCCGACGTTGACGACGACGTCGATCTCGGTCGCGCCGTCGCGCAGGGCGGCGTCTGCCTCGGCGAGCTTGATGGCGCTGGACGAGGTGCCGTGCGGGAAGCCGACGACGGCGCACACGGCCACGGGGGAGCCGGCGAGGGCGGCGGCCGCGAGGGGCACGGCGTAGGGGGGCACGCACGCCGACGCGCACGAGGCGGAGCGGGCGAGGGCGAGGCCCGCCGAGAGGTCGGCGTCTGTGAGGGTGGGGTGCAGCAGGGAGTGGTCGATGAGGCGGGCGAGCGCGGGGAGGGAGACGGTGACGGTCTTGGGCATGACGGCGGCGGCGGCGGTGGTGAGGGTGAGGGTGCGGAGGGGCGCAGGGTGAGCGGCGAAGCAATCGACTGATGAGGACGGGGGAGCAATGTACGACACACGAGAGGGGCTTGATGGCTTGGTTCAAGGGCCGTGAGCCGAAGAGAGCGAGACGCGAAGCACGCAGGTCTTCTTATACACCGGCTGAAGGGCGCGGCGGCGACGACGACGACGACGGCGGGAGGAGGGTCCTTGACGATGTCGGGCCGCGCACAGAGAGGCTCCGCAGGCACTTGGCACTGTCGACTCGAATCGGCACGGTGAGATCACTGCACCACAATCTTGAGCGGTCGGCTGAGTTGCGCAGATGGTGTGCCGTCGTCCATCGCCAGTGGTCAGTCGACGACGGTTGCCCTCCTGCGGACTTCCCGAAGCGGAAGCCCCGCGCCCACTTACACGGCTCTATCGAGAGTGCCGGCCAAGTTTAAAGAGCCCCGGGCTCGACTCCCCATGTCTCCGCCTCCCTGGCATTGCATTCTCCGCATCTTCTTCAGGAACCTCTACTCGTCTGATCTTGCGCTGTGTTGTGCCCCAAGAGCCCCCAAGATGCTTCGCCCGAGCGTGGCCAAGATACATGCGTCGACCAAGGCCGTCGTCAGCACGACGGGGCCGGCCCTCAGCCGGCCGGCGAGCGCCGTCGCCTCGGCGGCGACTGCACCCAGCAAGCCCTCCTCCTCCAAGAAAGAGGGCGACATCTCGGACGCGTTTGTGTCGCTGTCCGGAGCGAAGAGGGATCCCCTCCCGGACCGGTTCCGCCGGCTCAAGTGCGACCTCGTCCGCGGCAGGGAGGCCCGGGTCGTCGACAGCTGGACCCGCCTCCTGCGCCGGCTCCGGACGGAAAACGACCTCATCGCGGACAAGGGGTCCGACGTCATCCCGCAGGTCGAGTTTGCGGATCTCGAGGGCGGGTGCCGCAAGCTCCAGGGCGAGATCAAGAAGCGAGGCGCCCTCGTCGTCCGGGGCGTGATCCCCGAGGCCGAGGCGCGGGCGTACAAGGAAGAGGTGGAGGACTACGTGAGGAAGAACCCGCACACCCGGGGTAAGTCTGCCGCCCCGTTCCCGCGATAGCTTCCACAGCGAGGAGACGGGACTGACGCGGCGAAGCGTTCCCGCCCAACGACCCGCAAGTGTACGAGCTGTACTGGTCGGGCCCGCAGCTCAAGGCGCGGTCGCACCCGTCGCTGCTGCGCGTGCAGCGGCACCTCATGTCGTCGGTGTGGCACACGTCGGCGGCGGACGCGCGCATCTCGCTCGCCAACCCGCTCACGTACGCGGACCGGCTGCGGATCCGGCAGCCGGGGGACGCGAGCTTCGCGCTGGGCCCGCACATGGACGGCGGCAGCGTCGAGCGGTGGGAGCCCGGCGGCTACGGGCTGGGCGGCGTGTACGACCGCGTGCTGGCGGGCGACTGGGAGGGCTACGACCCGTGGGACGCGAGCGGGCGCGTCGCCGCTGTGAGCAACCTCTACGACGGGCTGGGCGCGTGCTCCATGTTCCGCATGTGGCAGGGCTGGATGAGCATGAGCCGCGCCGCGCCGGGCGAGGGCACGCTGCTGGTGAACCCGCTCATGCACATGGCCACGGCGTACGTGCTGCTGCGGCCCTTCTTCCGCGCCGTGGACCCGGCCAAGGAGGGCACGGCGCTGCTCGACGAGGCCAACTGGGCGTTTACCGGCGGCGACGACATGACGAGCGACCTGCAGGGGGCGTCGCCCGGCCACGGCCAGGAGCTGACCGAGGAGCTGCACCCGCACCTGGAGCTGGCGCGGACCATGGTGCACGTCCCGGAGATCAAGCCCGGCGATTTCGTCGCCTGGCACTGCGACAGTAAGTGACGTTGACTCTTCCGCGGACGGCCAGCCCTGGCCGCCGTCTACTTGGCAGTCATTCTACGAATTAGTTCGCCGCTGACAATGAGTCGCCTCGCAGCAATCCACTCGGTGGACAAGGTGCACGCCGGCTCGTCCGACTCGAGCGTGCTCTACATCCCCGTGTGCCCGGTGACGGACATCAACGCCGAGTACGCGGCGCGGCAGCGGGCGGCGTTCCGGGCGGGGACCCCGGGGCCCGACTTCCCCGGCGGCGAGGGCGAGAGCCGGCACGTCGGCCGGCCGTCCGAGGCGGCGCTCCGGGGGTGGACCGACGGCGCGGGCAGGCAGGCGTTTGGGCTGGAGCGGCTCGCGGCGAGGGAGGGCGCGCTGCCGGGCGAGCGCGAGGTCGTGGCGCGGGCGAATGCCATCCTGGGGTTTTGAGCCGCGGGCGTCGACGTGTGCAGCATGTATGAGGGTCTGGAGTGCGAGAGGGTGAGAGTCTAGCGCGTGAGAGGAGGGTGAGGGATTGTATGATGCCGGTGCGCGTCGCGTTCACGGCGCCACGCGAGGATATCGCATCCAAGATGGATGCCGTCGACGTGTGCAGCATGTATGAGAGTCTGGAGTGCGAGAGGGTAAGAGTCTCGAGTGTGAGAGGGTGAGGGATTGTATGATGCCCGTGTGCGTCGCGTTCACGGCGCCACGCGAGGATATCGCATCCAAGATGGATGTCCGGTGTGCCATCCGCCTCGCCCATTGGCGAGCATTGAGCAAGCTCGATTTTCACTTTCCGTCGGCTGCCTGCCATGGTGCGAATTCCGCCGTCTCGTGTTGTCGTGTTGCGCTGCGTCTTCCACGGAGGACTCGCGGTCTGTGCAGTCGCAGATCAGGTCGAGACGATGCGTGATGCACAGGGTTGCATCCGCGACTCTGACGGCTCACCTCGACACAGCACAGCTCGTCGCACCACGTTTCCACATTTGTAAGCGCCCCCTTCCGCCGACGCGAATCCCACGGAGATTGCACGGCGGCCGCGTCCAAACGGCTTGGCCCGCCATCGCAAGCGGCTGCGTCACAATGTCAACCTGTGCCTGTTTGTGAAAGTGGCATGGTGGGTTTTCTAGCCCCCCGTCATGTCGAGCGGAGGAGTCCACGACACGTTTTCATCTCCACTGGACCCCCCCGTGGTTGGCCGACGCGGGCGGTCGACAGCCCGACGGGCCGAGCAGCGGACGCCAGGCGTGTGCCGTCTCAAGGTCCCGAGGACGGTGACCAAGACGGTTGTTGCCGGCTGCTCTGCTGACCCTCAAGCGAGGCTGGCAGAGACACGTTGCGAATCCCGTCTCTGTACCATCCTGGTGCGTCGCCGCGTGTGCGCGTGAAGCGTGGTCGTGCCGTATCCCGTGTAAGTCGGCGCAACAAACTCCGCAGCCACGCCCAGCGCGGCCGTCATCTGCCAGCCTCCAGAGCTGAGCCCGCCAAAGTCCGTCTTTCCATTTTGTAATCAGCAACCATGGCGCGCGACGATCCGCCAGCCGGATCCTTGGACAGGGACAGCGTCTCAGCAAACACGGCCCCAGCCGCAGTCCGCCTGCCCGCCTGCCACGCAAAACCTCCCCCCATCATCGCATTCTTGCTCGCATTTCCAATTAGTCAGCCGCGGCGTGCCATGTCCCCGTCGTGTGATCCACCTGAGGCTGTCGAGGCCGCCCTGACGCCTGTCGTCGTGGAGTCGGACATGGGTTGACGGGGCGGGGCGCTAGCTCGGCGCCGGAGCCGCCCAGTCGAGGGGGGCCTGCGTGTCTCGCCGGCACCAAATCTGCATTAGTAAACACTGTCGAGGCGGTGGTGCTGCCGGGGCCGTGGGGAAGATGGCTGGGCTCCATGGCAAGCTGGCTTGCGTGGTGAGCGAGGGAAGGCGCTGTACCAAGTGGAGGGGACTCAGGGGAGGAGGGGCGCGGATGCGGCGTCGCCAGCCAGCCCCACGGCGTGGGACGAAAGACGACGAGCGGTGGATGATGCGCTCTTGCGCGTTGAGACGAGGCCCCTATATATAGTCGGGGGGCCCGGCGTCCCTCCCGGACGACATCCAGAGCAAGATAGCCAGACCCAATCACGCAATATCACGACATCTCTGTCCCTCCCCCCCGACATATCCGATCAACCACCGCCACCATGACCTACTCCATCTACGACGCCTCCATCGTCATCGCCAAGGACGCCCTCGCGTCCCTCGCCTCGGTCCTGAAAAAGGGCGAGGAGCACGCCAACGCCGCCAGCCTGCCCGAGGCGCGCATCGCCCCGGACATGCTGCCGCTGGCCTTCCAGGTCCACGTGGTGACGGACACGGCGTCCAAGATGTTTGCGCGCCTCTCGGGCGAGGAGCCCGCGGCCCTCGAGAACAACCTCAAGACGTTTGCCGACTTCAGCGCCCGCATCGCCCAGGTCGAGGCCATCCTCGCCAAGGCCGACGAAAAGACCATCAACGCCCGCGTCGCCGAGATTGTCACCATCGGCCTCGGCCCTGGCAAGTCGGCGCCCATGCCCGCCTCGGCCTACGTCAACGGCTACGCGTTGCCCAACCTCTTCTTCCACCTGACGACGGCCTACGACATTCTGCGCAAGGAGGGCGTGCCCCTGGGCAAGATGGACTACCTGATGCCGTTTATCGGCAAGCACGTTCCCCAGCAGTAGGGGGGCTGACGACTGTTATGAGATACGACGCGTTTTGGGGCGGGCCATGGAGCTGCCCTGGAGGCTGGCACGAGGCCAAGTGAATAAAAGTTGTTCCCTGTCGCAGTCTTGGACCATGATGACTTGTGGCATGTTGCGTGGCTGGCACAATGCAGTCAATGTATGAGCGCCGTGAGTGCACATGTGAGCAAACAGTGTGCTGGATATGCTTTGCAGAATGACAATGTCATTGAACGTCGCTGTTCGTTGGAGAGGTGCGGAGTTGCGGTGAGCCCAGTTGTCGAACCCTTGCCGCATGCAGGAACCCTGCTGTTCGTGGCTTGCGAGGTTGTTGGCGCGCAACCATCCTGGTGCATGCATCAGCCGGGACGGGCTTGGCCGGCATTGATTCCATTTGCTCATTGCCGTCATGTCCCCAAAGGCTGTCCGCTGCGAACCACCCCGCCAGTCCCAGTGTGAGCGGCCAGGTGTTGGAGATGCGCCATCCGAGGCCGGGCGCCAATATGCGAGCCACAGAATCGACAGTGACAGTGGAACAGGCGGTTCCAGACGGGGTTGTCGATGTAGAGAGTGTAATGAACACGGCCGAGGGAATGAAGAAACCTAGTTGACATGTTTCGAAGTGGGATTGACACTTGGGAGGTGGACTGATGGTCAATACCAGTGGAACTCGAATCCTAGTCTCTCCGTTGAGGCGTGCCCGCCCTAGCTTCGCGATGCATCTACACCAAGATTCAACGCGTTCAGTTCATCCACTGGGTCATATCCAAGACGCCGGCTATTCCCTCTTTGCGAATTACGACACAATTTATTCTTTATTGTTAGAGCAGTTGTGCTGTGCTCCCGAGGGACTGGGACCTCGGGGATCGACAGGCACTGCCGGGGTCCGCTACCAAACTCGTAAGCACCAGCAGTGCAGCGGCCTTGTGTCTCGTTGCTCTTCGGATCGCTGTCGACATCCAAAAGTATGCATCGCCAAGATCTTCATTGTTTTTTCTCCTCTGCCGCCCGGCGCCACGGCGCTTCGATTGCTCGCCCGGACCGACCGCGCACTTGAAGCCCGATTTTCACGGTCTCGGGAACCCGGGTATCCGGGCACCTGCGCTGGGCGGCACTCTCGGCGCCACGGCCGGCTGGTGGCCTCGCAACGACAACAGCTTTGGCTGGACGCCCTCAGTGTCGTTACCCGCGGCGAAAGAGATCCTCAACTCACTCCACGGAGCTCGCGGGGCGGCCCTTTGAAGAACAGAGCACACGCCGTTCAGCGTGTGCCGTGGAAGGCTGTTCGATTCAACGCGGACTCCGGCGACTTGGTGTCGATATGGAAGGCATTTGTCAACCGCCCGTTCCGCAGATAATTCCTCGGAGTGTGATGCGATCATGTGTTGATTTCATTTCGATAGTGGCCGTGGGCGAAACCTCGTCAACGTATTTAAAGCCCTCTGTTGCACCTCACAATGAGGGAAGTGGAAGACGCAGCAGTCAACCATCTAGCCAGTGTCATCCAACGCGTGCTTGACAAACCGCACGGATCGCTTCACAACACCTACCGGACAAGCACCAAACAACTTGAACATGCCGGCCAAGAACCTCCAAGGACAGCTCGCCATCGTCACCGGCGCCGGCAAGCCCAACGGCGTCGGCTTCGCCACAGCCCGACTCCTCGCCGAGCACGGCGCTGATGTGAGTACCAGTCTGATTGCCCAACAAGACAGACACTTACTGGCCGCCAGATCGTCATCCACTACCACAGCAGCAAGGACACCGCCCTCAAAAACGTAGAGGCCATCCAGGCGCTCGGCGTCGCGGCCATCGCGGTCCAGGCCGACGCGAGCGGCGTCACGTACGGCCGGGACATTGTCGACGCGACGCTCGCGGCCTTTCCCGGCCGGACCATCGACATCATCGTCAACAACGCCGGCACCATCGCGGCGAGCCCCGACCTGGCGGGCTTCACGGCCGAGGACTTTGCCTACGCCTTCAACGTCAACGCGCGCAGCGTCTTCCTGCTGCTCCAGGCGGCCGAGAGGCACCTCGCGTCGCCGGGTGGGCGCGTCGTCAACGTCAGCAGCATCGCCGCGCGGGTCGCCGTCGCGCCGGCCAACTTCTACGGCGGCTCCAAGGCGGCGCTCAACTCGATGAGCAGGGGCTGGTCCGAGTACTTTGCGCCGCGCGGCATCACCGTCAACGTCGCCGCGCTGGGTCCCACCGACACCGACCTCGTCTTCCCCGAGGAGGATCCGCACTCGCGCAAGCTGCTGAGCGACCAGCACATCAAGCGCAACGGCACCCCGAGGGAGTGCGCCGAGGCCATTCTCTTTCTCTCCAGCCCGGGCAGCTCGTTTGTGACGGGGCATGTGCTCAACGTTGACGGCGGCCTGGCGTACGCGTGAGAGCAGCTGGTCGGCCTTGACGCGAGCTAGCTCAACATTGAAGGGGGCGCGAAACCCAATAAATGTACTTGTTTAGGCTGTATAGATTACATTAGAAGTATAGATTCATCAACTCCGTCGAACAAACTTTAAGCGGGGGGCGGCTTCGTTCCATATGGGCGGCGTTGGTAGCAGGCTTCCAAGGTTCCAGTCTCACAGGGCCCGGCAGGGGCCGCTTTGGTGGACTCGTCCGAGGATTTTAGGCCCCGGCCCGCCTGGCATGTAATTCCCCGGGTTGCCTCCCGCTGTTCACTTTCGGCAGTGCAGAACCTGGAAGCCGCACGGGCACCGTCCAATTATTAATACAGCGCGCTCCACAGGAGCCGCGCCCGCACCCCGTTGCCTCAAAGAGTCAACACCACCAACTTCCACCTCCGAGCACCCGCTTTCCACAGCACGATCTCGGTGCTCGGCAACCTCATCGGCCGCGATCCTCCTCCTCTCGCAGAGACGCAGACCGCGCCTGGCCATCACCATGGCGCCTCACTGGTGGGCGCTACGCGTCATCCAAGCCTTCGAGGTACGTTTTCGCCCTCGCCTGCCCCTTCGCCATCGCTAACCACCGCCCGACAGGACAGAATCATTGCAGTGGTAGGCTGCCAGCTCCCGCCCCCGCGAGCCGCACATCCTCTGACACCTCACGCGTCTACAGATCCTCCGGCAGCCCGGCTTCCACCGCGCCGTCGGGCGCATCCACCGCACGATCCACGAGAGGCGCTACGGCCGCAACCCCCACGAGCCGCTCGCGCCGGGCGAGGCCACTGCCGAGCCCGGGTCGGCCGGCCGCCACCAGACGTTTCTGCGGCACTTTTGGCAAGAGCTGAAGAATCAGTTTCAGGGAAGACCGACAGACCTGCCGGGGAACAAGCCGCCGAGGTGACGGGCGGGCGGAGACTCTCGACAACGTGACGCGAACCCTGGTGCCGAACAGGTAATCTGTCGATGCTCGCCATGCTTGCTCCAGCAGCCTATTCTCGAGCGACTCGGCCTTACTCCAGGATGCTTGGTGCGGCTTGAACTCGCGGCAAAGCTGTCACTCAGGAGCCGCAGGAGCCGGGTGACCCAGGGTCGCAGCCTGAACGACGGTGTCACGGATTGCTGCAAGAGTTCTGGGGGTATCAATTTGCACTACGACTATGCCTGGGCTACCCCAAGCTCTCGGTACCAGAACACAGGACGCGATCCCAGTCGACACCGACGGCACCCCCTCAACCCCCCAGCACCGACATGACGCCATCGATGATTTCCTCAATCTCGTCGTCGTCCTTGCGCCCGACCCTGCACATCTTGACCTTGCCCTTGGCGGCGTGCTTGCACCGCTTGTCCTTGGACCGCCAGCAGCTGGGGCAAAAGTCGGGGTCCCAGCAGTGGCTGCACTTGAAGCACAGGTCCTTCTTCTTCATCTTGGTCTTGCACTTGATGCACTTGACGCCCATCAGCCAGCTGCCGTCCTTGTCCCGGATGGGCAGGTCGTCCTCCTCGAGCTTGACACGCTTGAGCCCGTGCGTGCAGCTGCCGGCCCTACCGGCCGAGTGGCAACGCTCGCAGTAGCTGAGGCCGTTGTGCTTTTTGTCGCATTCCGCGCAGTGGTAGATGATGTCGTCGGGCAGGATGCCCGCCTCGCAGCCCGCGCAGATCATGGCCTTTTTCATTTTCATGGCCTCGGGCTGCGGCGCAGGCGTTGGCGGGCAACCCGGGTGGGCCGCTGTGTGGTAGCCTGGGACTGCAGTGAAGCCCGTCTGCTGCCACTGGTGTGGAGGAGGTGGCGGCACCGAAAAGGTTTGCGGAGGGGGTGGAGGGACTTGGTACGATGTCGCTTGATATGGCGGAGGACCGGCGATGTGGCTGGATGTCGGCGGCGGCGATGGATAGGGACTCGTTGCACTGTGATATGACGACGGACGGGGCTGAGGTAGCGTCGATGGATGACCCCTTCCCGTTTGAAGCTCAATCAACCACATGGCATGGACAAATTCGTTCATGGTGAAGCGTCCGTCTTGATTCAGGTCGGCCTGCTCCCATATCCTCGAGAGGTCTGCTTTGGTCAAGCCCGTCTGCATAAAGACTGCGGCCGCCTCGATGGCGGTCAGGTATGGTTTGCCGCCGCAATTCTCGTGGAATATCCCCTCGAGACGAGCCTGGACGGCGGGAGGGATGTCGAGGGCGTTGCGTGGGTGAGGTGCCGGCGGAGACGCCCCCATCGCGGAGTACGGCGGCGCGGGCGACTGGGATCCGGCGCTGTGGCTTGTCCAGGGATTGAAGGCCCTCGATGCGGTCTCCTCGAGGTGCTTTGCTGGATGCTTGTCCGTGACGACGCCAGCCATGGAGTCTGAACAGAAACACTAAATGGATAAGTGATGGTATCTCGGGCGTGGTCACACACGAATGTTAAGCTGCGTACGCATCGCCGGGGAGCTCAGCGTCTAATAAATATCTATGCTGTCATGAGCGACAGGCCGTCTTTCGCGCATATGACACGGCACGGCCTGACGGGTGGTCAGCCACAGGGCATTCTGCAAAGAATTATCCTAATTGGGAAACATGACGGCGCCCCACCCGGCACCCGGAGCGCCTCCACCGCCGCCTTCACGGCGTAGCGCCGGCCGTCGCGCCACAGCGTGGCAGCAGCACGTCGTCGTTGTCGCCCCCTCCACTCCACTCGCTCAGCCTCCATTTGCTCGCATCGCTTGCCGTCTCGGCCTGTGCTCGTCAGCGGTGCAGCACGCGTCAGACGAGTGCCGGCGTCCTCATTGAGCTACCGATTCGAGGGTGCGGCGACACGACGTGGCGCGCTGTGCAGGAGGAATGCTTTAGGGCTGATGGGCTGTGCCACCATATGCGAGCCTATCGGCAACTTAATCGACGTTGGCTTTGACGTCGGGCTGCAAGCAGTGCTCCCCTGCGTGTCGTCTGATGGTCGTACCTGATGGCTGGGTTCTGGTGACGCGGAAACTGCGTGGTCTTGTCCTTGGCAACGCGGCCGTACAGGCGAGTTTGAAAACGAGTAGTGCTATTTGTAGAGCAAACTTTTGCTAGTTGTAGAGCCCATAGCAGCAACGACAGCAACGACAGCAATAGGCAGCGCGCCGCTGCTGTCCCATGCCTGCGCTAGTGCGCAGTCAAAACCGCCGGGGTAGCATGGGGTTAGGTAGGGCACTGCTAAGAAAATGTCTGCGGGTAGGACCGGCTCTACAACTAGCAAAATATGGCTCTACGAATAGCACTACTCTTTGAAAATATGGCACCATTCTCAGCGGCGGCGACTTGGCGAGCAAAGAGCATTCAAATGCTCGTCGCTCAGTTCCGGGACAAGGAAATGTGGCGGCATCGAGCATAGGTTAGCTTGCAACACACATATGGCTCGGCAGCCTGCACGCAAGGCAACATGTGCGAACAGAATGGAGATAGGGAATCTAGCGACAAATGAGATAAGTAACAAACAGGGGCTTGGGATGGAATCGTCATGTTCAGGTGTTGCCAGGAAAGAGCCGGACGCTAAAGCCGAAACTGTGTTGCGCAAAAGGAACAGATAGTATACACGCTCATGTCACTCAGAACCCTTCTCCAATGACAGACTGGTGTCTTGACAGCCCGTGATGAGCCATTTGCCCGAGTCCTTGAGAAGCGTAATAGCGGCGACGATCCGTTCTGCCGTCCCGCCGTCGTGTTGAATGACAAACGTGGTCCATGCGAATCCAAACCCTCCACACACCCGAACATCGATATCGGTTATGGCCGTGCTGTCACTTTTGCCAACCGGCGGCTCTTTTGCATTTTCCATCATTTCGGGCCATGTGGAGGAGACGAGTCCCCCTCCGTGGCGTCGAGAACTGGTCTTTCCACCTCCAGTTAGGCAAAATGTTATTGTCGAGTCCCAATGGTGATCTGCCGCCGATTTGCACGTGGCGTATATCCGTTCCAGCATCTCAGGCTCAGGTTCTTTGAGGACTTTGCAGCCCCAAGCCTGCTGGCTGTCTGCAACGCCGCATATCTTCCATCCGGTCGCTGTTTTATGCAGCGAAATAAGCTTGATGCTCTGAGCTACCCGATTGCCGTCGATGAGCGTCTGGTGGCCCGTCCAAACCGCGGCCAAATCCCCGGTTACCCAAATTTCTGGCCCTGGCTGCGTGAGCTCTTCCTTGAACTCTTTGATAGAGCCCATGGCTGCGTGGACCTTTGACTCAATCCTGTCCATAGTCTTGTCGAGCCGGTTGACCCAGAGCTCGTCCAAGTGGGAAAAGACGCAGAATGCATCCGGGATAATCAACTCGCGGGCTGCCACGAATGGGGGGCGCCTGCTTGAGATGCCTGCGAAGAAACTCTCGACGACATTCAAAACGGCTTGCTTCTCCATGGCTGTGTTCATCAAAAGGGGGTTCAAGAGGGGTGGCAGCTGTCACGCTCTTTGTGGTGTGTATCCTACCAAGCGATGAGGGACAGAGGGAAGTGATTATTGATCAGGTGGGAATGCTATCAAGAACTGCAAGAAAAAGGGTGAGATAAGCAAGGCTGGCCCTTTACCTGTTGCTGGGTTTGAGTTTTCTGTTCTTCGATGACATGAGCCTGCCGGCAGCGCATCTCCGTCTCACTCCCGCCGTATCCGTCTCACGCTTACATCCGTCTGGTCGGACATCCATCGGCCCGAGGCGTGCATACGGCGTTGGCGCAATGACAGCAAGCTGTTGGCCTATATGTGCTTCTCTTTGGATTGTCGTACGGTTCATGCTTACCAGCTTCCTTACGATGAGCACTGCATCTACATGCGAAATAGGGTGGGCACAGACACTTTCCAGCCCTCCCAAGGAATACGCATACTTTCTGGTCCCTGCGGTCAGAGAGAAGCAAAAAAGGTCACAAGATTGAATCTGTAGCTGGCTATTGTGCAGACATGGATCTTATCGATGAACCGCATACAACCGTTTCATCAACAATAGCCGACTCACATATGCGCGAAAGTCTGAGCAGCTTTGGCGTCTTGTCCTTGACTACAAATGGGCAACGTATTTCCAGGAGATACGATTGAATTTCTGTCAATGCATTGGTTGCAGTTCGCTCCGTAGACGATCCATAGACCGAGTTTTGTGACCCTTGACACTGATGCAGAAAGGAAACACTTGTGCCAAGAATTCTCAATTCGACCGCAGGTAGCTCTTTGGACCAACTTTAGCGCACTCCAACTCGTTTCATCATGACACACGCCCACATAGCTATTTTTGGGCCCAACCGGTCTGCAGATTGCCCAGGTCAAACACGACCAAGGCAGCCGTAAACGCCACATCGCCAAAGATTGCCTGCCGGGAAAAGCTGTGCTGGATTCCACCGTAGCAGTGCGTCCCGTTCCAGTCGGCATAAGTGAGGTACTTCCCGGGAATGGTAATCTTCGCCCCCTCTATGCCAAAGGTAAAGTCGGGGAGCTTCTGATCGCAGGTGTAGACGTATCCCCAGGGCCCCCATAACCACTCGGCGCCCGGTACTTGATCGTAGTATGCGTGGAGGAGGTCGGGCGGCAGCAAGAGAAGCGAGGTGCCCGTATCGGCAATGCAATTCGTCGTCGTCTTGTTGAACTCTCCGCCGCCAACAGCATAACCCGACGTAGCAAATGTCCAGTACGCGCCGTTGGGGTCGAGGACTGGCGTATACGTAATCGGGCCCTTGTGCTCGCTCTTGTCGATTTTGCCAAACTTGTATGTGCCGTCTGGCAATACCTTTTAGCCACAAACGACGACCTCACGACGACCTCACGGCGGTAGCACTCACTGGCGTGGTAGTTTAGGTTGGCCGTAAACAGCGGCGCGCGCATGTGCGGCCTGGCCGTGTCCATAAAGCTGAGCTGGGGGTCGGGCTTGACGGTGTTGCCCTTGCTGAAGCCCAGGCCGAGGATCCCCGACATTGCCGCGTCGGTGGTGAGCGACTTGCTCGCATTCGTTGCGGTTTCCAGAGCTTGGCCCTTGATCCTCAGGCCTCCGAGACTGACGTTGTCGATCCAGACATTGCCCGAAGACCAGCTGCCGTCCCCGTATCGTATGCTCCAGGTGGCCCCGTCAAGTCTCTTGGCCGAGCGGCTCTTTTCCGGCCTGTAGATTGACTGGCCGTTGAGGATCTCCGGTGGCGTCTCTGAGCTGTACACCCAAAAGTCGCTCGAGCCGGTGTCGATGTTCATCATCACCTTTTGCGCCGGCGTGCCGAGGTGTGCCTCCACAATGTACTCGACATCATACAGCACTGGCGTCGCGACCACAGATCCGGTTCATCGCTTGTCTAGCGCCTTGATGGCAGCCGCAAGGGGGTCTGGGAGTGGCTGGCCATACTTGAGATAGGCTCTGGCGAGCGCGAGCGGTCCGCTGGGCTGGTGGTCCGGATTACGGGACGTGACGATGGAAAAGTCGCCGGACGAGCCCAACGGAAAGGCACCGGCCTTGCCACCGCCGGCCCCAAGGATAGCGAGGAGAGTGCTGCGAATCTTCATCTTGGCAGCAAGGGCAACAGCAAAAGCGTCTCAGAGCTTCTGCCGCTGGACAGAGGGCGGTTGCTCCATTTATGTGTGCATGTACTGCAGTACACTACACATACCTTTAGAGAGGCTCGAGCTTCGCCATGCCCGTGACATCCTCGCGCAGCCAGAGAGAGCCATCCGTGTCAGGTCTCCCATGTCAACGCGCGGCTATCAGTCGTGCTGTTGGACTCCGAGCCGACTCTGCACCCTGGTAACGCAGGGTCAGAACTGAGTGTGTACGCCTGTGGTCCCAGACCGCCGTCGCTGTGCGTATAATACGAAGAGCAGCGCAGCGGGCCACACTAACCGAGTAAGCCATGTGGCCTGACCAGGGACTGGAGCGTCAGTTCGTCCAGCGTGCATGTACTGAGCTTTATATATACATGCTTTTGTGAGTTGTGATGAGGAGCCGTTGAGGCAGACTTGATAGGCGCGTTGCTGCATGTACATACTAGTTGGGTCAAACTATGGCGGAGACACAGCTCTTGATCAGGCAGGTAGAGTGTGCGCTGCTCCGGCCAACAGTCGGATCAGTGATGTCATGGAGTCGGCATAGATGCGCATATGCGCGGTTCGCCCGGCCAACTGCGGCACTGCGGGCGTCAGGGTCGCCTCCCAACCATGTGCTTGAATGGACAGCCAAGGTCCTGACACGAAGAGGAAAGAATATTTGACGGCTGGGCCAGCCATATTTACCCTATGAGCCGTCAGGCAGAAGGCTAGAGAGGGTACCCGACGGGGACTTTTAGAATCAAGGAGAAAAGCTATTTGGACACTGGCATTTGCCTAGAATGTGTGGCCCTTGGCAGGCCAGGGCTGATTTCTAAATACAGAGCGGGCAATGTCTGGTCCAAATAGCGCATCTCTATTGATTTGCCCACCAAGGAAGAGGACACTCCTTGAGGCGCCGTGGCAGCAGCGACGACAACGGCGGATACAGTTCAACCCCATACCATGAAACTAGAGCACCGAAAACAAGGACGGCAGCGGCAGTTGCCAATTGCATGTAGAGAAGAACAGGCGTCTAAACAGATTTCCTTCTGCTGACCGTGAGAGCACGACTATCGACAAGGCCACAAGGGGGGCGATGTCGGTTTATGGGCATGGACGAGGACAACTTCAGCCACACTCTCACATTTGCAACTCTCTGAATGCCAGTTGGCGTGAGTGACGCATTAAGCCGTCGCAATGGCCAAGAGTTTGCATTGACGGACAACGAACCAAGGCCACGAACCACTGCCACGGCCATTCCTGGTGGTGATACATGCCAAGGAGCCATCGCCGCCCACGGCGCCAAAGTCGCGCCAGCGTCGTAGCAAGGTCACAACGCGGTGGAAACCAGGGGAGCCGAGCCTTGGCAGGCTCGTCGATCAACATGAATTGCTTGGCAACTTCGGACTGTCCCTTGGGCACCTTTGCCCCCGTAAAAATCAGTCTTCCGGCATTGGGGAATCAGGGGCAATGCCAAGGCGAGGCCTCAACCGCAGCAAAACATGGCATTCCGAGAACTAAGCAACGAAGCGACTGTTTTACGCCAAAGCTTCATTGATCAGTGGAGGGCAGTCTCGACTTACATGGCATGTCAGCTCACGTTGCGACAACGCAATGTGCTCTCTCCCGTCCAACCCGCCCGACTGCCCCATCGTCCCGCGCAGACAGCGGTTCACCTGCCACCCATTGCGCGTCACCACGGCCGATCATCGACTATCGTCGTCTCGACGATGGGCCCCTTGATTCAGAATTGTCATCCGTGCCGATCGAGCACACGTCCCTGCGCTCTCTGCGCTCCACGGCTGCCAAGGCGGCATGCCTCACTCCGGACTAATGCTCTGCCTCCCTTGCCAACTAGATGGGCTCCAATTTCAAGATTACTTTTAAGCGTAACTCATCTATACTTGGATCGCCGCCTGCTGTGCCGTTTTGACTTCCCTTTACTCGTTTCCATGAGAATGTTGACTCTATTGTAACGGGTTTCCTCCGACACTCCTCTCTTTCTGCTGCCCATAAGAGGGAGTTGGGATTAAGTCCTCTCGAGACCTCTATCGCCCGCTTACAACACGTCGACAAAACGAATCCATCAGGCGGAGACCAGTTTGGACCTTGCAGGACAAGATCTGAACCAAAAGGCTCTGTCGCACCCCTGCACCCTAAAGCAAACACATCCGGACGGGACACGGCCGACTAGCTGCCAGCATGCCAAATCTAGACGTCTCGGAGCTCAACGTTGTGCTGAGCGTGCTGGGTGAGGAGTGCCTCTCCAGCGACATTGCATCTCGGTAGCTGACTGCGTTAGGCGCGTTCATCCTGCTGTATGGCATCATCTCGGTCAAGATCAAATCCCGATGGTATCTCGGTGAAGCCTGTGCGTTGGAGCCTCTCCGTGTAAACAAAACGCAGCAGAAATGGCTGACTCGCAGCCAGTGCCGGCCGTGCTCATGGGCATCGCCCTCGGACCTCTGGCCGCCAGGTTCCTCGACAGCGAGAGATGGGGGTCCGCGGAAAAGGGGCAGACCAACGACATCACTCTGGTGGGCGACCGCAGCATTCATTGACTGTTTCTTCGCCCAGAAGTTCTAACTGACCGCACCCAGGGTGTCACTCGCGTCATGATTGGCGTCCAGCTCGTCATCGCGGGCTACCAGCTCCCAGCCAAGTACAACCTGAAGCGCTGGAAAGAAATGGCGCTCTGCCTGCTCCCCATCATGACCATCATGTGGCTCTGCACCACGCTCTGCGTGCTCACCGCCGTGCCGCGCGTCACGCTCCTCGCGGCCCTCGTCATCGCATCGTGCGTCACATGCACCGACCCCATTCTCTCGCAGGCCATCGCCAAGGGGCCGTTTGCCGACAAGTACGTCGCGCGGCCGCTGCGGGAGATCATCTCCTCCGAGGCCGGAGCCAACGACGGGTTTGGGTTTCCGTTTTTGATGCTCGCTGTGTATCTGATGCGACATGCGGATCTCCCGGAACCGGGCGTGCCGGCGGGTGAGGAGAGGGTGGAAGGGATCCCGGCGAAGATGTTGTTTGCGCGGGAGGACGAGGTTGGTCGTCTTGGCGGGGGCGTGGGAGTAGCCATGAAGGAGTGGTTCCTCGAGACGTGGCTGTACATTGTGCTTCTCTCCGTCGTGTATGGCGCTGTCGTCGGCTACGGATCATGCAGGGCCATCGGGTTCGCTCTGAGAAGGTGTGTTGCCCCCAGCTGCCGCGGCAGATCACGCAACACGCGGAACGAAGTAGCTGATATCAACCCCAGAAAATGGATCGATGGCGAATCCCACTCCCTATTCCCCGCTGCGCTGGGCATGTTCCTGGTGGGCACCTGCGGCGCCATCGGCACCGACGACCTCCTCGCGTGCTTCGTCGCCGGCAACGCCCTCAACTGGGACGGCGAGTACCTCGCAGAGACGGAGCGCCGCCACGACGAGGTCAGCTCGTGCATCGACGTGCTGCTCAACTTTGGCGGGTTCATGTACATTGGCACCATCCTGCCGTGGTCCGAGTTCCACGACCCAGAGGGCGTCGCCACCGGCCTGACGTACGGGCGCCTCATCGGACTGGGCTTCCTCGTCCTCGTCCTGCGCCGCATCCCCGCTATCCTGCTCACCTACAAGCTCATGCCGGGCGTGGTCCGGGACTGGAAAGAGGCGCTCTTCATGGGGTACTTTGGCCCGATCGGCGCGGGCGCCGTCTTCTACCTCGAGCACAGCCGGCACCTGTTTCCGGAGGCCGGGAGGGGCGACGGGGAGGAGACGGAGCTGGCGCGTGCCATTGGGCCCGTCGTGTACTGGCTCGTGCTGTTTTCCATTGTCGTGCACGGGCTGTCCATTCCGGCGCTTAACCTCGCGTACACGCTCATGGGGGTGGAGCCGGTGCAGGACGACGCCAGGGAGATTCGGCGCATGTCGGAGCGCGTGGCGACGCCCGTCAACGCCATCCCCAGCGGAGAGGACACGTTTATTGCGTACAACCGCTTTAGTAGATCGGTGTTTGACCCGCTGGCGCTGCCCGTGTCGCAGACGGCTGGAGGAAACAAGGGGTTCGTGCTTGACGATGACGACGAAAAGGGTCGAGCTCGATGACGCGGGGGTACACAATGCGGTGCTCGTGTTGACGCCGTTGAACCTCGATGCATGTCTTGGTTCAGCGCAACCGCAACCTCGGTCTCCTGCCAAAGACTCTTGCTTCAGGATTCCAATTGTAACAATTGTCTATTCGCCCATTGCCAATGGCAACCCTAGTTTCCAGCTTTTCCGCCCTAAAAGTCACACCCGTGGCCCGTTGACACCGTCTTACATTCTATCGTATATTGCCTCTCATAAAGGAGCACGCTCTGACCCTGATATCGCATTGCCTCGGCGGCAAATATCCTCCCGTCCGCTGCTCTGTCGGGTCCAGCTAATGGCTCGTCGCCAGGTGCGGCTCCGCGTATACCGGGCATCATGTGCGGAGCCTGGGCACGCGCGAAGCCACGTAGCCTCGGACACAAGGGCGCCTGCGAATATGAATGCTCTCGTTGCCACGCAGACAATTCCAAGCCGCTGGTCGCTTCGTGGCTCTCAAACGGCGCTTTACAGGACAGATCCGACATTGCCGACACCGTAGTGAGACGCTGACGTCGCCTGCTGTGCAAGAACAGCCGTGAGCTACTTGATTGGCAATCTCAGCCAGACCGTCAAGTCGCAAACTGCCCCCAGTCGCCCCAGTTCAGAGGCAGCCCAATGTCGAGATTGGCCTCGAGTGCGTCCTCGACGGCGTCGAGGTTAAAGTTGGGGTCAATGTGCCCAAACACGTCCTGCCCCGATATCGCGTCGATGAGGGAAAAATCGACCGTATTGTCCATGGCAACCGCAGAGTTCATGGCGGCGAGGCTGCCACCCATGACCATGCCAGGCTGGCGATTCGACTCATTCTCCGGTCCCTGCGACGGCGTCTTGGTTCCCGCATCGGGCAACGGGCTCGCCTCCCTCGTCAGGGTCGTCGCCGCCCGCTCCATCTCTTTGAGGACGCGCTCGCCGAGCCCGGCGACGACGTTGGCGCTCCAGAAATGGTTGCCAAACTGGCGCAGCATCTCGCAGTTCCGCCGAAAGGCGTTCATCGACCGGGCGCGGAACATGGGCAGCCGGCTGTGGCGCATCTTGCGGTACTCGACGCTCAGCGCGAGCGACACGGCGTACGGGACAAAGGGCATGGGGCTGAGGTGGTCCCGCGGCACGGCACATGCGATGCGCTCGGCGGCGAGCGAGCGGCGCGCGTTTGCCGACGGCGGGGGCAGCGTCGACGCGGCGGGGACCGTTCCCGGCCGGGGGAGGCGACACGACAGGATGATGACGGCGTGGTAGAATGTTTCGATGGTTGCTGCCGAGGGTGAGCGAGGGAAAGCAGACTGGGGCTACCAGACTCACCGATCAGAGGAGACGGCACTTTGAGTGCGTCGGCATTCACAATCATGGCCTCCAAGACGGGCAGGTCAATGTACGCAATCTTTTCCAGACCCGAGGCCTCTGCGCTGGGCCCCGGGCGGTACAGCTCGACGACCTGGTCCAGCCACTGCACGACAGACAGGAACAGCCGGAAACAGGGCGGGCGCTTCCGGATGCACGCCTCCAGGTCCGCACCAATGTCGCGCTCGTGGATGAGGCACGGGCGGCCGTAGACTGCGGCGTTGATGCGGTCCAGCGCCCACACGGCGCAAAAGAGGTTGTTGAGGTCGTCGCAGTTGGGCGCGTCGTACCGGAGGAGGTGCAGGCCCAAGGTTTGGATGTGGTGGATGGCGCGGCCGCCGAGCTGCGCGGGCAGGTCGGCCTCTTCGGGGCACGTCGGCTGCGTATACAGCGACAACATGATGAGGGCCTGGATGTGCAGGACCCGGTCGGTGATGATGCTGGTCTCGAGGATGGCTCGGACCGCCGAGGATATGGACTGGGAGAACTCCTGCGGCGAGAGGAGCGTGGAGCCCTTGTTCTGGAGGTGGAGGTGTTGGGACATTTCGGGGTCGGCGCCGGCGGCCAGACAGATGAGCTGCCGCAGCACAATGTGGCAGGGGTTCTTGAAGCGCCCGTTGAGCACGGCTTCCGGCACGACGGGGAAGATGGGGTGGATTTTCTGCACAAACACGTCCCGGAAGCGCAAAAAGTCGTCCTCGGGCGGCAGGCTGGAGAGGCAGTGCTCGCGGACAAAGGGCAGCAGGAAGCGGTCCATGACGGCGGGCGGGCGCGACGTGATGAACTGGGACGGCTGGCCGGTGATGCCCATGGCGGCCGACGAGAGCCAGATGCCGACGTCGCCCTTTTGCGACTGCTGGGCGGCCGAGGTGGACGCCGTGGCCTCGAGGAACATGCCCTCGGGGTTGAGGTCGCCGACGAAGCGGGACGACTGCGGCGTCGTCGAGTCGCCGTTGCGAGCGGGCTGCTGGGGCCTGGACGCGGCGGCGACGTCGCCATACGTGAGCGAGCCCGGCGGCGGCGCGGCGGCGGCGGCATCGTCACCGGAGGCATGCAGGTTCGCGGCGCGCACCCGGGGCGTCGGGACGGACGGCGCGGTGGCGGGCCTTGGTCGTCAGATGAGACGAGCGGGAGCGGGGAGAAGAGTCACTCACGAGGAATGAGACGGAGATGAGTCGTGGCCCCCGCGATGCTGGTCCTCGTGGGCGACGACCGACTCATCGACGACGGCGCCCTCGGCGTGGATGCAGCGCCTCTGCGACGCGGTCAGCCATGGGGAGCGCGCACGGGCGACAGGACGGCCTCACCTTTTTGCGACGACACGAGGCGCACGCCTGCTGGACCTGCTTGCGCTTCACGGGCAGGCCGCCGCGGGTCGGATCCGACGCCACAAACTTGACCTTGCGGGCCGGAGCCGCGGCGGCGGCGGCGGAGGCGGGCGCAGGCGCGGACATGGCGGCATTCTCTGGCTCGGCCGGGCTCCTCGGGGTCTAGGGGATGATTTGTCTCTGGCCTCGGCAGGCGACCATGGTGGCGCGCGCAGTGCGAGGGCAGGAGAGACGAGGCGGCGCTGCGATGCGGTCGAATGTGGAGCGGGTGAGGTGAGGTCTGCGATGGTCCGAATGCGGTGGCGGCTGGTTCGAGGTGCGGCGGGCTCGCTCGGTTGACGAGCGGCGCCCTGGGGGCATAAGACGACGGGAACTCGCCGGGGCAGCAGCTCGACAGCGGCCAGTTTTTAGGTGGCCGGCGGCACCGCCACGCGCCTGGGCTTGCCTGACAGACGGACGACGGGGGGCGACGGCGGGGGACAAATGCGGCAAAACGGCGAAACCTGCCGGGGCGGCTCGCTGGACCCGAGGCAAGAATTAGTCATCCGGAGTCCACATCCAATTCCACACCACCATTCACCGACGGGCTTTGCGTGTTTGCAGACCTCGCGATGCCCTCAACTCCCAGTCCCTCCCGGGGAGAGGCCGGACCAACCCGTGAGCGGTGGTCCCTGCCCGAACCACCCCCGCCCGTCTTTCATCTTCTCACGCCTCCTCGTTCCTGTCAAGTGACAGCAGCGGCGGGAACGGATCAACGCAGTCAGCCAGTGACCTCCATCACGCACTGTACCTCCCTTGGAGTAGCCAAGGCCGGAAAGCGTCCATGCTCGGACCATCGTCTCCTCGCAAATAGGTCTTCAGCCCCCGCAGAACAAAGACAGTGGCAAACGCCCATCTCAATGCCTCCCCCTCGCCACCAGTGACTGATCCGAGGCCGCACCCCAACCTCGACGTCGTCGACATGGGTACCGACCGCCGTCCCTGCAACCTCGTGCCCCCTGTACGCCGTCGCCGCATTCCAATCGACCCATGTGATTCCCGCCTTCATGTACGAAGCAGAGGATGCGAGCGTCGCCGCTCTCAGAAGGGCTGTCTGCGACGCCATAGCCCGCGGCGCCCTGCTCGACAACCCGGCGCCGCGCGCGGACGATGCACGCATCGACCGGACTCTCTACAGGCGAGCGTCCACGCCGCAGGCTCTCTCGCAGCCGCTCTCGTTCTGGGACCATGACAACTCGGACGAGTCGACCAACGGGGTCGGCCTCCTCGGCGGCCGCAAGAGGGCTTCCTGTGGGTTCTGCTCGCGTGTGCGACAGGCCTTGAAGAGCAAGCTCGTCCTCGCGTGTCTTGCCGCCGCCACGCTCATCGTCGCCGGGGCCGTCGTTGGGGGGATCTTTGGAGTCAAGGCAGCAAGCCAGAAGATTCAGACCCAGGGCGAACCGAATGGAGGAAGCCCGCAGAACCCGCAGCCAGGACGTCCGCAGCCAGGGAACCCACAGACGGGAAACCCGCAGTCCGGGGCCCTGGCGCACAATGCATCGCAGCTCGCCGTGTGGTGCCAGCCGGGCTCCAACGGCACCCCGACCGACCATGTCATAGCTTTCCAGGACACGACAGGGACCATAATCATCACCGAGACGTACAAGGGAGCCACCGAGACGTATCGGCTAGAAAACCAGGTGGCTCGGCTTCCGAAGCCGCTCCTTAGCACGCCGATTCGGATCCAACCGTTTGGCGAGGCACCAGACTTGCACATGTTTTATCTCGACGACCAGCGGCTCGTCAGGCACGTAACCCGCGTCGGCGGCGGCAACGGCAAAGGCAAGTGGGCGTTGGATACCGCATTCTCCACGGACGGCTCCGGCAAGAGCACGCAGATATACCTCGCCGAGGGGCGGGCACTCTCCACCGTGACGACACCGATGATAAAGGACGGAGACCCGTCTGCCCTGGTCGTGCTGTATTACGAAAAGGAAAAGAACAACACGCTGGGCATACTGCGGCGCGAGGCGCCATTCAACCAAACGCAATGGACGTTTCAGAGGGCATATGTCCATGAGCCCGCGGCAAAGAGCCTGCAGGGCACGCCTTCGGTGCACTTTGAGCACGATTCGTCCGGCCTCCAGTCGACGGTTTATCTGCCAACCTATCCCACAAAGTTGGCTGGAAACAGCACTGGCAGCAGCACGGAGGCCACAGACGGCACCTTGGTCGAAGCCGTCGTGCCGACGATCCACATCCTGTGGGACGTGTCGACGCAGGGCAACGCCGGCGGCATCGCGCTTGAACACTGCGTTCCGTCCAGCACCACGTGGGATCAACAGTGCTGGAGCACGACCCTTTCATATCTAGGTAAGGCCGCCCAAGGCGTCCCCCGGCCCAGCATGTCGCTCACCACTCGAGTAGACGAGTACCTGCGAAAAAAGGTCCGAGACGCGCAGAAGCCGCTGCAAATCGCCGACCTCGACCTCGAGAGCGAGCCCGACAAGGTCATCTCCGTCACCGGCTTCCTCGACGGCGGCGGGCGGTACTGGGAAATGTACTGGAAGCAAGAGAACTGCACCGCCGCCATGGACCTCTCGCCCGAGACGGTGCGCGGCCCGCTCGACGGCCTCGAGTTTTCGAGCTTTGCGTTTATGCAGGACCTGATTCTGTTTGCGCTGCGCAACGGCACGCTGCTGCTGCTGCGGAGGGAGTGCTCCTGGTGGACGGGCTTTTGCAAGGACTCCAAGGTGTGGTCGGTCGTTGGGCCGCTGAATACCGCCTTGTCGAATAGCGCACATGTTTAGGCGCAGTTGTTGAATTCGACTTGGTCAATGACGTGATGGCGGTTCTATTCTTGACCGTCCCGTCTTCAACACTCGTGAAGCCTCGTGATGTGGAGCATTCTCATGGCAGCTAAATGCGAGGTCGCTGGCATCAAGATGAAAGGACACAGTCGCACAGCCGTGGCGCCATGAGCCGTGACATGATCCATGACTGTGTTGCTCGCATCACACAGACGCCCTTTGCCACGAGCTGTGGTCATTTGAGATTCAAGTCACAGGATGCACACAAACAGCGACCGGCTCAACACCACAGTCGACACACGGTGATGTGCAGCATCGCGTCCAGTCCGGCCGTGACGCACCTCAACAGTCCAACTCTCCTCGCCTCATTGCCCAATCGACCAGACCCTTCTATAAAGTCAACACAAGCGCGAGATCCGCCTCCACGGTAAATAACCCCCCCTGTCCACGACTGACAACGTCAGGCTTTTCTTACCGATGCAGCGCAAACTCCCTTGGTCGACGAACGCCGAGCGAACCGAGAGCATCCCGCTGTCGCCGCCGCCCAACTACAGGCAGGAGGACCCGATGCCGGACCCGCGCGTCTCCGAGTGCGTCAACCACTACTATTTTTCGGAGCAGCGGGGCCCGCGGTGGTACCAGCGCAGGCGCTGCTTCTGGACGGCCGTCGGCGCGGCGGCGTTTGTGGTGGTGGCCGCGGCGGTGGTGCTGGGGGTCGTGCTGAGCAGGAATCCCGGCGGGAGCGACGGCGCGGGAGGGCAGCATGCTGCGGCGACGACGACGCCGAGCACTGCATCTCCGTCTTTGTCTCTGGCGTCTTCGTCCACGGTGCAGTCAACTTTAACGTTGACATCTACGAGCTCGGAGGCGTCTTCATCAACACACACATCGTCGAGCCAAGATGTAAATGCGCTCATCTCCTCGTTGCTCGCAACGCACACTTCATCGTCACCGTCGACATCATCCTCACCCACCAGCACGACAACCAGCACGTCGACTAGCACGTCGACCAGCACTTCGACCAACACGAGCTCGACCTCAAGCACAGAAGCCGCCAAGCCGACCGAGGCGCCGTACACCCTCTCCAGCCAGTCCAACGTGGCCGCCGTCTTTGTCGACGTCAAGGACGCCAAGCTCCAGCGCCGGGTCGTCCTCTGGCAAGACGACCAGGGCGAGCTCGTCGTCACCGAGTGGGACGCCGGCGGCAAGTCGCAGTACCGCCTGGTCGACAAGCTCGGCCCCTCGGCGCTGCCCCCTCCGAAGCACGGCACGCCCCTCGCCGCCGCGGCCAGCGACAAGGGCATCGTGCACGTCGTCTTCCTCGACGCCGAGCACGTCCTGACGCACGTCTTTGAGGCGAGCCCGGGTGAGTGGACCGAGGGCCGCGTGGACCCGGCGGCCGCGCGCATCGCCGCGTCCATGGGCTCGGCCTTGTCCGCCACCTGGCATCAGAGCAAGCAGGGCGTCAAGTTCCTGGTCGTCGCGTACGTGACGGCCGAGGGGAGGATCCGTCTCGCCCTGGCCAGCGACCCGGACGGCGACGCCAAGTGGGAGACGTTTCCCGCGGCGCCCCTGGCGCACACCGTGACGGGGCAGACCATCTCGACGAGCCTGGCCGTGACGGGAGACTGGACAGACCCGTCCGCCAAGGCCACGCCCATCATCTACATGGCGCTGGAAGACGACACGGGGCTGTCGGGGTACGAGTGCGTCACGGATCACTGGCAGTCCCCGCCGGTCGAGATGCGGTGCTCGCAGACGCAGAGGACGGAGCAAGGTGAGCTTCCATCATGAAGCGAACGAGCAGGGCGTACTGACATCATCTCCAGACGGCATGGACATACCCACGACCCAGTCGCCGCCGCCTCGACAGATTACCTGGATCCGGCTCGGCGGCAAGGCCGGCTACATCCTGCTCGCGCTGAGCACGGACGGCGCCATCCTGGAGAGCCGCATCGCCCCGGGCAAGTCGCGGGAAAAGGGGCGCGGGATCCGCGGGGACGTGGAGTTTCGAGCGATGGGGGCGACGGACGAGGGGTACGTGTTTGCGGCGTCCAAGGAGAATGTGTACATATACAAGCGCGAGCAGAAGTCGGGGGACTGGGTTGCACACGGCCGGTTGCTTTGACGTGAAGCATTTGATGAGATGCGTAGTCTTGCTTGCGCCTGAGTCTGCATGTCGCGGGGTGAGGCCGCGTGTGGTAGTAAAACCGTTACATGAGATGAACATGTGTCCACAATCTCGCTCGCCCAGACAAGAATCGAGAATGCATTCAAAGCCAACAAACATGCTTCTTGGATAACGGCACGCGCCGCCATGGGCTTTTGATCGTTGCCGTGCAAACAGACCCCAGCTTCCCGCCCAAACAAACGCGCGCCGAACCCAGCGTGAACTTGGCCCGCCGATTCACAGCACCGCATTCACGGCCCGGGCAGTGGGGACCAGAGACTGGATCCCCAGGCGCGGGACACGGTCCAGGGTCCAGTCCATGCCATGTCTCGTCTGACCCCCGGTCGCGCGCGACGGTTGGCTGCCGCGTCTCCGACAATCGCGGGCTTCGCGGGGCCGGGACCCGCCCGACGCGGCCCGGCCGCTTTGCCCCGTTAGGCAATAAGTAAACAAGGCCACTGCGCCCGCCTTGATGTCGACAGACGGTGATTGATGTCTGGTGGTGCCGCTGCTCAACACGACGCGCATCGTGACGTCGACCTTGTTTACCTCGTTGATTTGCGATACAAAATTCACTGCGGCCGCGTGTTTGCCATCTCCCGCCTCGCTGACTCTGCATTGGCGCTCTCGCAATCGTGGCACCTCGGTCTGGCTTGGAGGACGACCGCGGATTCAACACAATGGCTGACCTGGACGTCCCAATTGCGCTGCGGCGGCCCCGTCGCAGCGTCGGCGTCAAGACAGAGGCCGAAGCAACGCCTGCCCCGGAGCCTGTCCCCAAAACCCCCAGCCGACGACGCAAGGCCGTTCGCTTCTCCGACCCGGGACCGTCGCTGGCAAACGCCGCCGGGGCAGCATCGTCAAGTGGCCTCACGCCCTTTATCCGGCGCACCTCGCTCGCCACGCCGAAGCGTCGCCGCGTCTCTACACCCGCCAGGACATCCCGCAGTGGCACCCCGTCCGCGGCGCCAGCCCCGGCCATATCCTACGCCGCAAAGCCTCCGCCCGCCGCGCAGGCCCTCCACCAAACGGCCGACGGCCGCGTCGAGCGCCGCATCCGCCGCGGCAACCTCCGCGACCTGCTCAACAGGCTCGAGCAGCAAAAGAAGCACGGCGAGAAGCTCGCGCAGTCGCAGATCAGCACCCTCCGCGCAGAGGTGAAAGCCCGCGACCGCGAAATCTACGAGCTGCAGAACGCGACCGTCGTCATCGACACGGAGCGCATCTGGGGGCTCGAGCAGCAGATTGAGGACCTCCGAGATGAGCTCCGCAAGCGCGAGGCCGCGGCGACGGTCATGACGCCGAGGGACCACACGCGCAGCTACGACTGGACCATGGCCGCCAGGGATCCCTTTGCGGACGACTTCATGGACATGATGCCCGACGACGACGACCACTTTGGGGACGCGACCATGGCACACTTTGTGGCCTGTCTCTTATACACATCTAGATGTGTATAAGAGACAGGACCATGGCCGCCAGGGATCCCTTTGCGGACGACTTCATGGACATGATGCCCGACGACGACGACCACTTTGGGGACGCGACCATGGCACACTTTGTGGCGAGCACACCCTCCAGGGCGCGGTCTTCGTTTCCCACGCCGCCGGCTACGAGCCCCAACGCCCCGGCGACGCCCTGCTCCCGTCCTTTTGCGCCGACGCCCACGTCTCACACCGGGGTGCAGGCCAGCCTGCCTGACCCGGCCAAGCAGGAGCTGGAAGAGGAGCTCGCGTCGCTCAACCTCGAAGTGTCCAAGCTGATGGCGACGCTGGACTCGTACCGGGGCCTGCACGCGCGCATCTCCGAGCACGTCGCCTCCGCCATCACGCCAGCCGCCGAGGACATGGCCGCTGCATCGGCCCTCGAGGCCCTCGAGCGCCGCGTCGAGCTCCTCGTGCAGGCCATGTCGGACCGCACCGCCGCCCTCACGCAGCTCAGCTCCTCCATCAACGACCTCGGCTTCCCAGGCTCCGACGCCGGCGAGATGCTCACCACCCTCGCGTCCGGCTTCCGCGCCGCCCGCCTCGAGCTCGAGTACCTCACCCCCGGCGAGATTGCCCTCCCGCTGACCTCCCACGGCGCCGAGGTCCTCGACCTGCTACTCACGCGGCTGCGCGTCCTCGCGAAAAAGGCCCAAGAAGACGAGGCCTCCATCGACGAGTACCACGAGATTGAGCAGTCGCTGCGCAAGCAGCTCGACGCGCGCGTCTCTGTCATAGACGGCCTCAAGGCGGAAATGTCCAAGGCGGAGCGGCTCATGAACGAAAAGAACCTGCGCATCCAGGAGCTGCAGATCGGCAACGACCGCCTCAAGGGCGCCGTGGACGGCTACGTCCGCGACATGGCGGAGCTGGAGCGCCTCGTGGAGCGCATGGAGCAGGAGGGCAAGGACGCGGCGGCGGCGCACGCGGCGCGGCAAGTCTCCGACGCGGAGGCCCTGGCGTCGAAGCAGGCCAGCATCGCGGCGCTGGAGCAGCGGCTCGAGGACGCGGTGCGCCAGACGGGCAGCCTGAGGCGCGAGCTGAGCGACCTGCAGGACCTGTCTCTTATACACATCTAGATGTGTATAAGAGACAGGGCCAGCATCGCGGCGCTGGAGCAGCGGCTCGAGGACGCGGTGCGCCAGACGGGCAGCCTGAGGCGCGAGCTGAGCGACCTGCAGGACAGCTCGACGCGGCACGTCGTCTCGCTCAACAAGCGCCACGGCGCGTCGCTCGCCCTGAGGGACGCGCGCGTGCTGGAGCTCCGCGGCGAGGTGGACCGCGTCAACGAGGCGCTGCGGGCCGCGCACGAGACGATCCGCGTGCTGAGGGTCGACAAGGGCGGGCTGGAGGCGCGGATGCTGGACGAGAGGGTCAAGGCCAAGGAGGCCATGGACGCCATGAAGGAGGAGCTGCAGCGCATGCTGCAGATGAGCCAAGAGTTTCTCGCCAGCCCCAAGCGAGCCGCCCGTGACGGAGAGGATCGCCCAGAGGATGCCAGTTCGCCCGTTCGTGTCGTCGCGCGGCCGGGCGGGTTCCTCGCCGGAGGGCTGGCGCGGCGGTCGAGCAAGAAGATGAAGCGGGGACACGACAGCGGCATGGGCCTCTTGGAGGAGGACGAGGTTGACTTTTGACGAGTCTTTGTCTGTTGTGCATATCCCTGGACGTGGCGAGCACATTGGCGTTGGAGGGTGCATCTGGTTACATTCACTCGTGGTTTCATTTGTCTGCATGTACGGAATAGAGTCTCGATGTGTCTAGCGACACTTGTAATACCAATCACTGAGCACAACCGCGAACGCGTCCTCGTCTCACTCACTTGAAACTGTAGAACCGCCACTTGGCGTCGTAGTCCGCCTCGAGCTCCGTCTCCATCACCACCGCCCGTACCAGCTCCTGCGGGATGGCACCGCACCGCAGCACCAGGTCGTTGAACGCGCGCTCTGTCATCTTGCCCTGCTCCAGCACCGCCTCCCGGCGCAGCGCAAACAGCTGCAGCGCGCCGACAAAGTAGCCGCACTGGTACAGCGGCGAGTAGTCGCCGTTGAGCCAGCGGCGCACCTCGCCCTCGGCCGTCGACCGCTCGTGCCCGACCCACGCGACCAGGTTGTCGATGCACTCCTGCGGCTGCATGTCGCCCAGGTGGAAGCCCAGCGAGAGGATGATGCGCGCGCACCGGTGCATCCGCCAGAACAGCGTGCCGATGCGGTCCTCGGCCGACGTGAAGAAGTCGCCGCGCTCCCAAAACACCAGCTCCCAGTACATGGCCCAGCCCTCGACGAAAAAGGGCGTCTGGAACAGCTGTCGGTGGCTGCGGTGCCGCTCCCCCATAAACAGCTGCAGCCGGTGGCCCGGGATCAGCTCGTGGAACGCCGTCGCCTTGCTAAAGTGGCGGTTGTTGCCGCGCATCACCATCTGCTTCAGCCCGTACTCCATCTCGGCCGTCGGGTACGAGACGATGATGGCCGGCCCGCCGAGGAAGAACGGATTCACCTTTTGCGCCGCGGGGCTCATCATGAACATGCGGTACGTCTCCTCGGCAATGGGCGGCACCGTGACGAGGTCGTGCTCGCGCACAAAGTTGGCGCCCTCGCGCGCGAGCTCCAGCACCAGCTGCGTCTGCTCGCCCGGCGGCACCGACTTGGTTTTGACGTACTCCATGGCGCGCTTCCAGTCGTCGCCGTAGCCGAGCTCGCGCGAGGCGCGCCTCATCTCGGCCTCGCACCACCGGAACTGCTCGTTGGCGATGCGCACCAGCTCCTCGGGCGAGTACGCCAGCACCTCGGCCTCGAGCTCGTGCAGCAGCGCTTTACGTCCGATGGGCTCGCCGATGATGTCGCCCGTGCCGTCGGAGCGCAGTCCCGCGAGCTTGTCCTCGACCAGCGGCAGGTAGGCGTCAAGGGCGGCGTCGGCGGCGCGCCACTGCGCCGCGCACCACCAGTCGAAGAGGGGGTCGTACGACGAGTAGAAGCCATAGAATTCTTTGAGGTGGCCGCGCAGCTCCTTGATGACCTTGGAGGCACGGTAGGCGTTGGTCTTGCTAATCTTCACCTTGCCGTCCTGCACTTGCTTGGTGATGGCTGCGACGGAGGTGGTGATGCCGTCGAGCTGCTTGGCCGTCTTTTCCGCCTCCATGGGCTTGACATTTTCCCTGCGCTCGCAGAGGGACACGATGGCGTCGGCGAACGGGAGCAGCACCTTGAAGTCGCCGAACGCTTCCTTTTCCGACTGGAGCTGGCGTGAGATGCGCTGCAGGTGTTTCTTCAAGAGAATGTAGTCGATCCTGTCCTGCTGGTTCAATGCGCCAAAGTCGACGGCGGCCAGCGACTCGAGCTCATCGTCGTAGAATTGCTGCAGGCGCGCGTGTCGCGACGGAGCAATGGAGATGTGGTAGAACTCGTTCAGGTCGCCCAGGTCGGCCTGCACTCGGCGGATGCGGTCCGCGAGAGACTCGGCTCCATCGTCGCTGGGCTTGGGGAGCGACACCCAGACGCTGTCCATATGTGCGAGCGGCGAGTCCCTACGATGCGCCATGGTCAGAAACGTTGCAGGTGAAGTGAAAGTGAAGTGAGGGGTGTCAATTGCCAACAGCGTCGAGTGAGACGGCCCCTCGCTGTCATTCAATCGTCCGCAGTCCGATGGCGGGGCGCTGTCGCGGGTAAAGGCCTTCTGACGTTCAGGGATGCGACTGGGTACGGTATCCGGATGGCATCCGACGGCAGAAATGCATCTCACAAAGTTCGCCGACGCCATGTCATTACCCCAACTTACCCCAGGGGCGATCATGCAGGCGGCCACCGCCTTAGCGTAACATGGAAAGGAAGAAAAGACTCTTGAAATTAAGACCCGTATTTTAATCGTGAATATGAACTTTATAGACTGTCCATGTCCCAACTTGAGGACCCCCATCCAATCGATACCCAAATATGTGCGATTGACTTTCTGATCTCGCGGTTCGAAAGAGCGGGCGACGACGGCATACGTAGGCTTACTTTAATGTTACGTATGCATCAGGCTGGAGCCATCAATGATTGTCCGCTGCGAATACAAGAGTTTATACATGCAAGTTCCTACACTGACTGGCTAGATAGGTACGTCCATCTCCGAAACCAGTCCTGTCTACCGCATCGCCGATCATAGTCATCGTGGAGGACGCGGAGCGTGTGAGTGTCCCCAGTGTGTTGTTCGCGGTCCCCGTCCATGTCCATATCCTTGCCCACCCCGCTGGCCTCTGCCTCGGCCACGTCCCCGAGCAGGCGGCTGAGGTTGCGCATCCGCCTGTCCACGCCCCAATGCCGGTGAAAACGACCAGGTCGGCCCATGTCCACGTCCCGTGGCTGGTGGCTGCGCGTGCCCCCTTCCGATTGATTGCTGCGGATAGTGGACGGCGCCTTGCATGGCAGCGTCTTGCCCATAAATCCGGCCTGATGCCGGCCAAGACGGCGGCGCGAACTGTGCTTGGTGGCCAAGATTGGATTGACCACGGGACATGATGGGTCCTGCTGGTGTCGGCAGTGATGGTCGCTTTCGAGGCGGCGATCCGGACGGTGGGCGAGCTGGAGGACCGAACAAAGGTGCGGCAGACGCGTCGGGCTCGGGGGGGAACGTCTGCGCAGATGTAGACGCAGACGCGGGCGGGTCTGTCGATGGCGAAGAACCTGGAAGCGAGCTGTCCTTCGATGCGCCGGCACGTTTGCCGCGTCTCGTGCGGCGCGTCCCGTCCGGACGCCTAGACGACGAGGCGGTTCTAAGAATGCGGCTTGCTGGGGCCGCGACGCCAAACTCGGAAGGGACCAAGCCAGGCAGCGGCGCTCGCTTCAGGTACACGAGCGTGTACGTGACGCCAGGGACGTCATCTTCGACGCTCCAGGTGTCGTTGACGATCGACGAGGGCTTCCAGTGCATGTCCACTTTGGTTCCGCTGTGGTTGTACGTCCTGATGTAGTCTGGTCCTTGAGGGCGGAAAAGGGACACTGGGCTCTGTCGGATGACAGCAAAGAGTCGGTAGTGAACGCGCCAGCGGACAGGGACAGTACCGGTGGCGTTGGCCATCGCCTCGGCGAGATCGGGAACACCTAGCGGCAGATCGAACTCGTACAGGTGGCCAAACGGCAACGAGTGACCAGAGCTGGGCCTGTAGAACACTCGCGCAACCTCGGCGCCTGCCGCCAGCCATATCTCCGGTAGACCGTCAGAGCCCGTGTGCGGCCCGAACGAGGAGTTGACGGCGCCCTGCAGAGTTTGACTCGAATTCAAGGTCCTGTCGAGGTGTATGACGGCGCATGCGAAGTCGTAGCGGGTCCGCTCCCTCGCCCGCCAACGCCCCGAAGTCCTCTCCTGGTATATTACCTTGGCGAAGAGCGATGTCTCGGGCCTTGACCAGTACGTCTCCCACATGATGTCGCTGCCGCTGAGGCCTAAAAAGAAATAGGCAACCTCGCGTGGCTCGGGGCCCTCCACCATCTCCTTGATCACCTCCATCTTCTGGGCGACAGCAGCCGCCATCTGCTCCTTGTCGGGCCACGGTTGGTTTCGCTCAAAGGGCTGCCAAGCGTAGGCAAGGACTGGGTTGCTCTTTCCAGCCACCATCACCTCCTCGATGTAGCCATGAATGTCGTTGGCGTGGCTCGCGAGGTGTCGAAGGAGCTGGGCCAGGCAGTCGATGCCGCTCGTGAGTCGGACGAGCTTTGGGTCCACGGATGAGTCGGTTTCGATTGGCGGCACGTACTGCATGTGACGGGCAATGTCGATGGGGCCAACTTGACGCCAGTGGTCCAACACCTGTCGGATCTTCATGTCTGGGGTTGTGGGATCCATTGCTGCTAGTTGGGGTTGAGAATACAAACTGCCTGGTTTCTGGTCGAATGGTGCGAGAAAACGAACGGGAAAACTGCGCAGGTCGGGGATGTGCTCAACATGGCCAGCAAGGCCTGGAGAATCCTCGGAATAAGTGCTGCACAAACATTCAGTCTCATGTATTGTATGCCTTGTCTCTCAGGTGGCCAAGCCTTGCCCTCGGGGTGCAGATTCACAGCTCGCTTGAGCCGGCGCGTCATCATTTGCCAGCCTAGAGGCAGCAAGGACCAGACCACGGCACATTCGCCGTCCCCCCTGTTTCCAATCTCAGAACGATGAGTTGAGGACTGATTTTCTGTAGGCCAGAAGACGAGGACATGTAGCTGCGAGGTCGGGCAGGCGCCCGTAGCCAAAGGGCGACAAGCTGTAGGCTTGCATAGCTGCCGATGCACATGTGGTATGGGCCATAGATCCAGACAGTCACATTACTCAAGAATTCAAGGCGCAATACGCCGAGACGACGCACATCGATTCTGTTAGCCGGCTCACTTCACCTTCCATGAAAGGCGCCGATATTCTCAGGCAGTGAGACAGTCCAAAACGCTCCATGATTGTAAAGAACAACAACTTCAAAACAAGCCAGCCAGACCCATCCTAAAAACCACTCTCCATCTCCTTGGAAGGAACCAAAAACAAAATGTCCACCTCCCGTCTTATCCTTCTAAATGATAGCCTGCAGGCGGAGTTCTTCGGGGGTCAAGGGCATTGCGGAGGTCATATACTGCACCACGATCTCCCGGTGGCGGGCTGGATCCACGGGCGCCTCGGGCCCAGCCTCCGTCGTGGCAAGATCGTCGCCATCCCCATGCTGCGTCTGCAGCTCCGCCGACGAGGGGCTGTCAGGCGAGCTTGGTTCCTGAGACTCGGCGTCGTTGCTGTCTCTCAGGCTGCGCTCAACCTCCAAGCTGAACTCATCGAGGTTGGGGTGGTCGGCGTCTTGGTCCACGAACATGCCGTTGTCATCGCCATTCAAGTCCTCATCATCCGCAGTGCTCCAGTCGTCGTCATAAGCTAGGTTTTCGGGTTCAGAATGAGCCTGTGGCTGGACGCCTGTGAGAGTCGGTGACTCAAAAGTGTCGGAGTCGCTCGTGCTGGAGACGTCAATCCTGTTGACGCCAGAGGCTGCAGGTGGCTCAGGGGCCACGACCGGCGCAGAAAGAGAGGCTGAGGCCGAAGTAGGTGCTGCAGAAAATGACATGGCACTCTGGCCCGATCGTTGCTCCCTCTTGGCCTGTCGCATCTCGTGGAACCATGCTCTCTTGTAAAACTTCTTGAGCTCCTCGTCGCCATAGGGCATGGATCGCCCTTCGCGAGCGGCGTGGACCGTGGTCGCAGTGAGTCCGACACTTGGAAAGTAAGGGTGGCCGCCCTTGACGATGAGGGTGTCGATAGCTTTGATGAGGCTCCTGAGGTCCTCTGTGCGAATCCAGTATGCAACGGTGGGCCGAGGCTCGCCCTCGTTCTCGTCGTCTTCGTTCTCGCAATTGACCCCATCCTCACTCCTGTCCTCATCCTCGGCCATCCTCTCGACTTGGGCGCCGGTCGAGTCGGCAATGTGGCGCAAGAGACGGAAAAACGGGCTCACTTTCCGATTCTGCTGCTGACAGGCAAGAATCGCCTCCGCCATGGCGGCGCGAACAGGGAGCTCAAACGGGCTCTGCGATGCTCTTGCCATAAACTGCTCCATGGCAGAACATGTGGGGAGGCAGCGAATGATCCACGGGCGCCTGTCGTCGGTGCGATGGATCACGGTAGCTTGGAGGGCGGTCGCCAGCATAGACGACTCGCCCTCCCACACCGGATGCGACACGAGGTCGTTGAGATCCAGGCAAAAGTGCTTCGACCACAGCTTTTCAGCAGGAGCCGTTGTCTGGGTCGGCGTACGCCTACCCCGCGTTACGCTTTGAAAGGACATGCCGTAGCGAGGCGAGACAATGGCCAACGGGGAGCAGCGCATCTCCCAGCAGGAAGTCTTCCATAGCTGCCGCATGTGCGAATGGGCACCGCGAATGGAGCGAACTTCCTGGGCGAGGCCGGAGGAAGTGTATCTGTTCTGAAGCCTCCATTCGTCGGCGTGGGTCCAGAAGCGATCGAATTCCGGTGAGGCAGAACCAATGATGGTACTCAAAACGGTGTCGGAGTCGCCGTCTGGAGCCGGGTTGGACTTGAAATACTCTCGAGCCAGGCTCATCTGGGCCTCGACCGTTTCCTGGGCTAGCTCATGCGCTCTCTGAGCACGCGTCCCCTTTGTAGACGCCTGAGGCGCAGGGTTCTGTCGAGGGGGCATCGTATGGATGAGTATTGTCGTGCTGATGGGATTGTCGCAGACGGGGAAAGCGATGGCGTTTGAAGCGGGCAAAAATGGGTGCTATGGTGTGCCGTAGAGACAGCGGCCAGGGCTGCCAGCGACGAGCTGCATCGGACCAAGTGTGCGGGAGAGGCTGCCTCAGGCCTCCCGCAGCCATTGATATCAGACGGCACCCGGGTCCCTCGAGGTGAAGGCGTGAATTGAGGTTGGCCCACAAGGAACGGGCCGAGCGAAATTGCCTACTTCGGCATGTGGAGCTGTGTGTGCGCCACGGTGATTCGTCGGGAATGGCTACGAGACAGTTGAGTCCCGCCCTCGACTCCAAATGGACATCAACATCACAGCTTCATGTTCACGTTATAAACCACCTGAAATATCTACACTCTGCCGCGTATACCTGGCTGTCGATGGCTCGTGCAGCAAAGCATGAAGGCATCCCGTTATAGCCCCGCTAAGCCCTGAGCGGTCAAGCCGGTGTTTCTCATAGCGAATTCCAGTGCGCTACCCTTCCGTCCGAGTGCATGTGGCGCGGCACAGGCACATCAGACGACGGAACCATGGGCAGTGACTCGAAGGCTGACCCACGGAAGAAGCCTGAGGTCCTTCATGGAACCTACCTTGGCGACTCCGAACAATCTGGCAAGGGAACTTGGACAAAGCCCGCGCCCACTGCCGCACGGTGGCACCGGACTGGGCCCAACCGAACTGAGGGCTCAGGAGTCTGCAAACGCACATCACTTGTTCAGGCTACTCACAGCTGTCTACCAGCTATCGTGGCAAGCCTGAGGCCGCAAGACCCTCCAGACGCAAGGCAGTCATACAACTGGCTTGTCCACCCGAGCCAAGTCTTGCCTCCAACTCTCCTCACACACATCTCGCACGCCCACGCACGCACGCACACGCGGCCACACACATACACAAACTCATACACCAAACTGCCGACCTCTACTCTAGCACATCGACAATGAACCGAGGCCGCATCAACAACAACAACAACGACGAGAGGGGTCGTCGTGGTCGTAGAGGCCATGGTCCTAGCCATCGCCAGAGCCAGAGAGACGAACGCAGTGGCAGCGCTGCCGCGACCCCCGACCAGCGACAACGTTCTGCATCGCCTCGTCCCGCCAGCCAAGCCCAACCTCGACAGGGTGGCCGAGAGTACATCGTCGAGATCTTTGACAGAATCAATGACGTATCCGCTGGCCGTGTCAGCGTCGGTCAGATGGACATCCGCGAGCAGATTGCGGGTATCTATGGTGCTGTGGACGTCCGCGCCCGAGACGCGGGCGACATCAGGAGAACGGCGGAGCAGGTCATGAGGGAGACAGGCACCTCCTCCGTGCGTATCATTCTCCTCCCCGTCGACGAGAACGACCGACCTGGCAATGTGGTCAGAACCTCCGTTTCGGATGCCGGACAAATCCAGCCGGCTAGACGTCCAACCCTCTCTGCCTCTGGTGCCGAGCCCATGGAAACACGCAACACCGAGGCCCATGACGACGACGACGACGACGACGACGATGACATGGTTCCTGAGAACGTCGCGGATAGTCGCAACGGCAGAGCGTAAGCCCGTCACCAGATGTCGCTGTCGTCGTGATGGAGACTTGGGCAAACTTACAAGACGAGTGCAATGGGAAGGTGGGCTGGGCTTGGGGGGCTGTCTTGTGGCACAGCGGGCAAGGACAATGGGGACATTCTGTTTTTGTGTTGGTAGTCTTTGGTCTCGGCCCATTCGGGCTCTACAGGTGGTGAGAATGCAAGCCTTTTTTCTCTCCCAGTGATGCAGCAAGCATTCTGTGCCTTGATCTGACACATGTGGAGCGAAACTGTCTGGTATCTGTGTCGGTGGCCTGGTCAGTTAGGCCCTACCCCCGTCCTCTGCATCAACTCCAACGACGCCAATATCGCATCCTCCACATCCTCCGCCGGAACCACATTCTGCTCCCCTTCCCCCAATTCTTCTTCCTCTCCCTCCTCCTCTCCTAGATGAACACCGCTCATACCAACGCAAATCGCACTCGCCGACCCTCCCTCGCCCTGCACGTCGCCCATCGACGGCGCACTCGGCCCCGCCACGCACGCAAACCCCGCCCTCCGCTCCTGCAGCTCGCGGCTCTTGCTCCCGCACAGAATATCCAGGAACCGGCACCACTCTTTAAACGTCACCGAGTGTTTCGTCTCCCGCGCCCCTCCTCCCCGCCTCGTGATCGTGAGCTCGACCGTCCAGGGCTGCGAGTGCCAGCGCGCGGAGGAGTTCGACCTGAGGCCCACAGTTTTGTCGGGCTCGCGATCCTTGTCGGGAGGACTCGGCGGTACTTTGACCCTAGACCCGAGTATTGCGATCCGCCGGGCCGTGGATTCTTCATCGGACTCTTCGTCAGAGTCATTGACGGCCGTGGACGATGGAGCGACCGACGACCGTCGACTCGTCCGCGGCGTCGAGTCTTCGTCTTCAATGTCCTCTGCCCTCAGGTCCGTCCATCTGGTGCCCCGAAATCGCAACGGCGGTTTTCTGAATACATTCGCGGGTGCGAGGGTCGGCCTTGATGCATACCCAGGCCACTGCAACGTGACGGCAATGTTTGGGCTACCGCTCCTCGATGCCGCAAAGAAGATGCACCCGAGTAGAATGGCATCAAAGGGATGCTTCACCTCGTTCAGCGCCAGCCAATCCAGCGACAGCAGGTTGCGCACCGCCGTGACGAGGCCCTCCTTGCATGCATGGTAAAAGAGACGCCCGAGGCTGAGCGTCTCGGCCGTCGTCTGCGGATTGTCCCAGTTCCCGGCGACCTTGAGGTATCCCTCGATGGCGCTGACGAGGAGCTCCTCTTCGCCACCCCCGGGCGCGGGCTCGAGGATCCAATTGCCAATCAGCCCGCGCATCGTCTTGCCCGGTCCGCTGTTCGCCTCGACCGACTTGAGGGCAAGCTGCAGCAGGCGCTGCTCGCTGAGGCGCCCGACCATCTCCTCTGGCTGCTGCGGGCCGCGCTCCAAGTTGCGCTCATTGTCTCGCGCCACGAGCGCCAGGTAGTGAGACAGGCTGCGCTCCACCATGCACACGGCCTCTTGCCATGAAAAGTGCAGGGCTCCCGCGGCGTGGCTACCGCAGAGGAAGTCGCGCACCGACTGGTGCATCAGCTGCACGATCGAGCCGGCCTTGTACTGCGTCGTCCGCGACTCGTCCGCCGACAGGCCCGGCGTGTAGACTTCGATGAAGGGCCCGCACATGCTGTAAATCTTTCTCCAGAGCTCGTCGAAGGTGCTTATGAAAATCTGTCTCTGCCACACCCCATCGAGGGTGTTGGAGCGGCAATCGTCTTTCAGTAGTGCCAGCGCTTCCCACAGGCTGTCGAGCGTCACGTCGCCGAGCTCTCCAGCGGCGCCGATCCACATCAGCGCCTTTCGAATGTCCTCGATTGTGTCTGCAGATTTCCCCTCCACCAGCTTGGCAAGCATTTGGCGGTAAAACTCCTCGAGTTCTCTGGGAATCTTGTTGACGAGCGCCTCCATGTCGTCAAGGGACGCTCCCCCGCCCTCCTGCGACGCCTGGTTGAGCTGGTCCAGGACAAGCTTGACCCAGAGAATTGAACCCTGGGCTTTGGACGAGAGCGTCTTGCGGACCCGTTCGATGGCCTCCTGCTCTCGGGCCTGGCTCATGGCGATGGATCCGAAGCGCGACCTCCGTACCCGCACGGCCGAGCGAGGCGCAACGGATCCAGGCCGGTCAAAGTTGAGCGAGTGGATTGATCGCTTGAGCGAATCGAGGCCAATGTTGATGATTCGTTGAATGTCCCTTTCGTTTTCGCGCTCCAGGATCAGTACGGGTGCAGAGTAGACGCGTCTCTCGATGCCAATGTGCGGCCGGCTCAAGACGATGAAGCTCGCGTTCGATCCCGGTCTGCCTCCAACAATCTCCATGAGCATGTCGAGTATCGATTCGTTTTCCGCTTCGTCCATGGCATCGATGACGCAGATGACATGGAGCGGCCCGCAGCAGATTCTCTTGAAGATGTCCGACAGTGTCTCGTCCATCCACTCGAACGCATTCATCGGATCCTGCTCACGGTAGGCATCGAGAAAGTACTCGGAAAAGAGCGACAGGTTCTGTTCGAGGAATTGGTACAGCACCGATCTCAGAAACGACCTGTGGCGGATGTAGTGGGCGCCTCGTCGGCCGTGGTAGAACCAGTCTCCGACGAGGGTGCGGCGGGGATTCGAGCCGATGAGCATGCGCTGGATGCACTTTGCCAGCACCGACTTGCCGCTGCCCGGCTTGCCCCTGATCCAGAGCAGCCCATTCTTCTCGGATGAGAATTCGCGGAACACGGGGTGTTCCCAGATCCACTCGGCCGTGCCGGCCGCGGCGGGTGCGATCTGGGACTTGCGGACGTTGAACTCGTCAAACTTGAGGGATGCGCGGCATTCTGCGTAGTTTCAGTCAGGACTTCCGGTGTTCCGTAGGGCTGTTGCATCCACTCACCCACTGCCTCCGTCATGTCCGTCACGACGGCGACGTGTGCGCCGCCACCGACCTTGACCATCTGCGAGGCGCCGCAAAAGAGCAGCTTCGCATGCGTCTCGTCCTGGGCCAAGTCGGCCAGCTGAACCATCATTGCTGTTCTGTCGCTCTCGGGTAGATAGTCAATGCTGTCTACAGCCACCAGAATGTGCGATTTGCTGGCTGCAACGAGACACTTGATGAGTGGCACCAGCTCTCGTCCGGGTGGCATGCCACTCTGCACCATCTGATCCCGAAACGCCGCCACGCTGTCCTCGGGTAGCAAAGCCGCGTACCGCTCCAGCACTGTACCTAGATTTTCTGTTTGCTGAAGCAGCTGATAGAGCAGCGTCTCGAGCACAATCTCGACTGGGGTCTTGTCGCCGGGGATCTGGTTCGTCCGCTTCAGGTGCTCTTCGACCAGCGCGCGCGGGCGGAAGCCCTTGGGTCTGTCCAGGATCCAGAAGCAATTCACATACAGCGCGGTGTGGCCCTTGAGCTCGTCCACGCAAAGGTGCTTGCTCAGCCTCTCGCCTAGGGGAAACGCAGGATGGAACATAAAGTTGTGTGAGCTTATCGTACTGGACGTAATGCAGATTAGCGATCGAGACGTGCCCTGCAGCCAGTCCTGGAACGGCCGACAGTGAATGAAGCTGAAGAGATCTACGGGATCCGTCTTTTGGATCTCGTCCTTGGCAAACGGCAAGCAAGGCTGGGGAACCGACAGCTGAGTGCATCGGATGGCAGCTTGTTGAGCCCCTAGAAACAGTGAGCGGCAGCCCAGCCCGAACGATGGCTTGAAACTCACAGCCCGAGATCTCCTCGCTTCTCGCTCCCGCAAGCTTACAAGCACATGCCTTCATCTTTTGCGTCACCGTTGCCGATGCGCAGTAGCTGCCAGTCAGGGCCTCGATCTCGCTCAGTCGATCCGACGCCTCGAGACCGACACCCTGCAGCCCGTTGGTGACGTTGAATCGGAAATACACGCAATTGTTGACCAGGTGCGGATGCTGTCGCTCGAATGTCTGTGCGACAGACTCTGCGCTCGTCGCAATCGCGCGCAACGCCGTGGCGACGTCTTGCAGCTCGGGGCCAAACGGTTTGCGCGACGGCGTACCTGTGCCTATGGACACGAGGCAGTACAGGTGATCCTCGAGCTTCCACGTGCTGCTTGCGCCATCTTCACCGTACACGCACGAAGCCTCTGCCCAGAGCTGGTGGATTGGATTGTTTGCTCCAGTCCCGCCGTCGACAAAGCACTTGGCGTCGATGACGCAAGGGTCAAAGAACGATGGAGCGGCAGAGGTTGCGCGCGCAGCTTCCCAGATTCGCACGCTGTCGAGCATGGACGCCCCCCAGGTTGGAGAGTAGTAGCTCGTCAAGTTGACAATCTCGGAGATTTCCTGCCTCATGGTCGAGACGAAGCTGCGATCTGTAAGCACTTGGGCAGCTTGGGCGATACACGGAGCCGTCTTACACCTTGCACTCGGGCTGCCCGCCTGCCTCTTTGAGCAGCTCATTCTCCGGGACCTGGCGCCTCTGGAGTATTGCCTTGATTCCCTCTTCCAGCGCCTCATGATCGAAGCGCCCCTGGATCTGTCCTTTCCAGTTGAGCCTGTGGCGGCGCTTGGTGAAGACGGACGAGGACAGCTGCTCATACTCGCGGATACACTGCGCGACAGTCATCCGCAGCCTGCCCAGCATGATGGCGATCAAGCCTCCCGTCGAGGTGCCGCATATCATGTCAAAGTAGTCGCACGGCTTCGGGGGGTCCCGCGGATCAATCTGCTCCATGAGCCGCTGGAGGATATACAGCGACGACAGCCCGCGAACGCCGCCGCCGTCGAGACAGAGCAGGCTCAGCCGCCGTCCGCCGCCATCGGTGCCGTCGCCATCATGCTGGTTCGGCGGGGGGCTCATGGTTCCGCACGGCGTCGTCGTCATGAGCTACAAGCAATCGTAGGAGAGCCGCCCTCGCAAGCATCAGCGGCGTCGTGCCCGCCGCGTCGCGCGAGTCGCTGGATCCTTGAACACATCCACGAAGCCCACGGTGGCCGTCCATCGGACGAGGCAGATTGGCGGGCCATGGCCTCATGCAGGAGGTGATGCGGCTGGCGGTCTGTACCTCCACGTGACGAGGCGCGCCGAGACCGCCAGGGTGTGAGATCCTGGAGAGTGAGGATCTGCTAGCTGCTGTGTTTCACGGCAGACGGTGACAAAATGCTCGTCGTGTCGGCGGCGGAATCGCAACTTGGGTGAATCGCAACGACGACTGCGCGACTTACACGATGCATCTTGGTCAGGCAATGAATTGCGAGTGGAGTTCCGCACGGATCAAGTGCAAATGCAAGGCTGCTGCCAACAAAGGCAAACAAGCAGATCGGCGACGATCCGACGTCGCGTAGGCGACGCTGGACGATTTAAGCAGACTGCGTCATCCAACGCGCATAGGGTCAAGATGCATTATACAGGTCCAGGCATCAGGTCGAGGAAGCATGCCGGCAGGATAGCAAAGCAAAATAGAGTCGAAGGAATAAAGGGTATATAGCAGGAAAGGGTACATGGATTTTAGGGTACATGGGCACTAAACAGGCAGTAAAGATAGGGTACACGCATTTTAGGGTACACGGGCGCTATACCCATAGTAAAAATAGGGTACACGGATTTTAGGGTATACGGGCGCTGAATGCATAGTAAAGATAGGGTACACGAGTTTTAGGGTACACGGGCGGTATACCCATAGTAAACATAGGGTACACGAATTTTAGGGTATACGGGCGCTGAACTACATAGTAAAGATAGGGTACACGAAATTTAGGGTACACGGACGCTGAACCACATAGTAAAGATAGGGTACACGGAATTTAAGGTACAGGCCGGCAAATAATTTAGTAGAATAAAGTTGAGAAAGCAAGGGGTCAAGGGTATTAGAGCATGCATCGCTTCGGTGATGGCATTGACGTGCCAGGGCGCGCCGAGCAGAGGCATACGCTGCTTAGCGCTCGGTCTCTCACCAGGCCATGATGCACGCGTTGGAACGACGCGACGGTGAGATAGATACGGGGGGCAGTCGAGCTTGGCGGGACGAGCATATGGCAATGGCAGCAGACTGAACGCAGGGCGGCGGATTGAGCACACGACGTGGACCGATTTCACGGCACGGATCAAGCGCAACGCCTCAACCAAGGCCCATCCAGCGGGTCGGCTCGAACGGAGGCACGACGAGCGCGGCGAGAGAGGACTGGACATGAGCAAGACCATGATCCGCGAGCTCACGCGGCAGCAAGGTTGTGGCAACTCGGAATACGGCCATGAAGGTTTGCGGTCTACCGACGAAGTTGAAAAACTGAGACACACGTGAGAATCGCTGAGGTCGCTGACAAGATGTGACGAGTCGCATTCCTAAGTCCACGTCGTCGACGGCATGGGCACGCAGTCAGTCACCCATCAGACGAAACAAGAGCCGCTGTCCTGAATCAATCTTGCATCAATCTGGTACGAGAAGCCGGCAGCAATATCTGGCTCCAGGCGCCCAGCACCCGAATCTGAGATTCTCCGTCCCCGGCAAGGAAATGCCGAGCCCGAGCCCAGGAGCCCCCGCCCATCCCGCGGCTCCCGCCCCTGGACCCCTGGAATTGGGGGGGGACATTGTGGAGGGGGGGCCGCCGTTGCGTGGGTAAGCAGTGAAGAAGCGGCATGCCCGATCCCGACATCAGCCGGACCTCCGGTCTAACGCCGACTGACGGAGACGCGGCGGCGCCCTCTCTGACACATCCGTCCATCCATCCAACACGCCCTTGTTCATAATGCCCAACGACCCTGCGCGGCCACCTGCCCAGGGCAGCCCGACTCGGTGACGACGCACAAACACCACAGCGGCAGAACGAACTCGCAATGTCGCCGCTTCCCCTGGTGCGCGCCGCCGCCGCCCGGGCGCCCATCCGGGTTGCGCTGCGCCCGCGGACGCTTCAGTTCCGCATGCAAACATCCTCGGTATCATCATCCTCATCATCATCGACCGCCGCCGCAGCCAAGGCCCCGACGCCGCCGCCCGTCCCCGGACCCGGCTCCGGCCCCGCCAGCGCGCCGACCGCCGCCGCGAAACCGATCCCGACCGCGTCCGCGACGGCCGCCGCGACCGGCACAACAGCTTCTTCTGCGGCTACGACGACTGCTGGCTCGGCAGCGGCCAAGGCGACGACTCCGCCCCTCTGGCGGCGCCTCGGCCTCGTCACACGCGCCGTCGACGGCTACGCCAACTCGCAGCGCAAGCGGCCCTACACGACGCAGCTCATCGGCGCCTTTGTCATATACCTCCTCGCGGACCTGAGCGCGCAGCGCATCGGCGGGCGCGAGCACGACCCCGTGCGGACGGGCCGGACGGTCCTCATCGGGCTGGTCGCGGCGATCCCGCACTTCAAGTGGTAGGCCCTGCTCTCCCCCTGCAGTTCCCCCAGGAAGCACGAAGAGGATGCAGCTGACATCCCCCCAGGTTCGTCTTCCTCTCGCGCAACTTCAACTACGCCTCCCGCACGGGCTCCATCGCCACCAAGGTGCTCGTCAACCAGGCCGTCTTCGCGCCCACCTTCAACACCTACTTCTTCGGCGCGCAGGCGCTGCTCTCGGGCGAGGACCTGGCCGCCACGGGCCAGCGCCTGCGCGACACCCTGCCGCCGAGCCTCGTCAACTCGTTCAAGGTCTGGCCCGCGACCATGGCCGTCGCCTTTGCGTTCCTGCCGTTTGAGTTTCGCGCCATCTTCTCCGGCTGCGTCGCCGTCGGCTGGCAGACGTACCTGAGCTACCTCAACCGGCAGGCGGAGCTCAAGGAACACGCGAGGGCGTTGACGACGGTGGCTGATGGCCAGGGTCCTGTCGCCGAGGTGGCGATTGCGTGATGCGATGACATGTTTTACGGCGTTTCGGACGATAGACTTGCATATGATTCAAGATGTAGATGGAACGGGGCCAGCCGGTTAGACGTCGCCCCGGTAGATGGATACTAGACTAACAAACAACATCAACTCCAAACCAATGCTCTATGCCTTTTATGCGTTGTCTCATCAAGCGTAACTCCGACCGCTCAGCCAAGCCCTACGCCTTGCTCAGCTTGACGTAGCAGTGCTTGGGCAGGTTGACCAGTCTCTCTTGAATCTCCCAGCCACCGAGTGATCCCTCGACGGGCTCAAACTGAAACTCCCACAGCAGCAGCGACACCGTCGTCTTGATCTGCAGAAGCGCCTGCTTCTTGCCAAAGCACTGCCTCGGTCCAGTTGAAAAGGCGAGGTTCGGCCCGGCTTGTGCATCGAACACGACGACTGTCTGGCCGAGGGCATCCGTCTCGGTTCGCAGCCACCGCTCCGGCTTGTACTGTTCAATGTCATCGTCCGACCACGCAGAAACTCTGGCGCTCCCTTCGGCTTTTTCTCGCGACGAGTGTGAGACTTCAAGCGCCGGCTCGGTCAGCGACGGCCCCGTCAGGGGAATGACCACATCCGTGCCCTTGGGGATGTGGTAGCCGTGAATCTCGGTGTCGCACGTCGCCTTGCGCACAATCAGCGTCGCGACCGAGGCGCAGCGCAGCGTCTCCTCCAGCACGGCATCGAGGTACGGAACCGAGGCGGATGAGATTTCGGACATGGTCGGGGGGCGGCCCTCGAGCGAGGCATTCGGGTGAGCCTCCCTCAGGGCCTGACGGAGGCGGGCTTGCACGTCTTGATATCGCATCATGTACTTTGTCCACCACGCGAGGAGCGTGGCGGTCGTGTCGTGGCCACCAAGGAGATATCCCAGGACCTGCGCACGCATCAGCATCTCCCGTACACTCGAGCCAAGGGACCTACCTCGTCGCGAATGGCTGGCGAGTAAAAGTCCGGCCGTCTGCCGGCCCGACTCGCAGCCATCTTTTCCCTCCAGAGCAGCTGGTGCAGCGCGCTATCCGGCGCATTCTTGTCTCCCAGCAGCGCAAGGCTATAAAGACACCGTTCCGTCTGCCTTTTCAGCAAGGCCCGCCTATGCCAGTGCGCACGCGCATGCTTTGGCTTGAGCAGCGCCAGCCACTGCGCCAGTGCCGGAAACGGGCTCGCCTGCGCGACGGCAATCATGTCCGGAATGTCCATCAGGGCCTCCATCTCCGGGTCCTCGGGCGCCGGCGGGAAGCAGACGGGCTCGGTCTCGACCTCGAATGCGCTCGGGTTGAAGCTGCGCGCGGCGTAGAGCTCGCCCTTGAGCGCGGATTTGGACTCTTCCATGCCAAAGGCGACGCTCGAAATCATGTCCAGGGTTGCCAGGTACAGGTCGTGGCCGGCAGCAAACGGGCGGTCATGCGCCTTGCTCTGTTTTGTTCGCCAAAGGTCGACGAGGAGAGCTGCCTTGTCGTAGACCCGTGGTGCAGCGACCTGCGATGTTTAGCATAGTCATCGATACGCATTCCGACTGGACCAACCTCGTTCAAGAACCACGGCGACATGAGGTCCCGCAAGATCTCGCGGTGCATCCGAAACCGCGGGTCCCGCGACTCCATGGTAAAGTGAAAGTTGGGCGCCGTGACGCCCACGCACTCCCTGTTTCTTGTGCCGCGGTCAAACTCCTTGATTCTGCGCGAGCAAATGTCAACGGCGGTGCGGTAATCCGACACGATGACGGTCGGCCTCCTAAACGGAAACAAAAAGGCTTGCGAGAGGGGCGCGCCGTGTTGTCGCGGCTGGCTCCAGATCCACTGACGCCGGTATTTCGCCTTGCGCATGTCCTTGAGGTCGCCAAAGATGCGCCCTACCGACTCTTGGTTGTACGGGATGCCAGGTAGAGGCTTTGGCAGCGCCGCACGGTACAGCACCGCCAACAGCGCGACGATGATCCATGACCCCAGCACGTATGGCAGGAGGCAAGGCAGAGCCTCGCTCCCAAAGAGTCTTGTTGTTCCGGCCATGGTTGCAGACGACGCTTCGTGAGCAAGAAGCCAACGGACAGCGGGGAAGATCCGACGTTTTCAACGGATGCCGTCAGGACATGTCCTCCGTCGCACCCGTCCTCGGCCGTGGTGCCACGAGCCGATGGCACCTGCGAGGCTGCATCACCGAGCCAAACCGGAGCAGGCACGTTCCGAAGTCAGTCAGTTTTGCCCCCGGCTGTGAACCACCGCCCAGGCCGTGGTCGGGAGGGTCCGTCTCCGCCGTCTGTCTGCCTGGCCTCCCTCCCCCCAACGGCCGCGTGTGATATGCCGCATCGTGGGGCTTGTGCGCGACGGATAGAGGTTGGAGCCCGGGACGTGGCCTTGCAGACTGTCACGTCGTCCTGGGGCACGCGTCGCCCGGGCCGCCGTCCGGCCACTGCTCCTCGAGGCTTCGTCCGCGCCGAGTCGCCCGCCCGTGGCGTGCGGTCGTGTGCTGAGCACATAGCCACATACAATACGGGCCGGCCTTTCTCTCTGCGGCAACACCGAGCTGCTGGGCTGGTTGTCAGTCGGCGTCGGCCTCTCGGCTCGTCGGCTGGCGCTGCGATTTGAGTTGATGCGAGCTCCAGTGAAGAGGCAACGGCGCCACGAGTCTAGGTCACGTCAGTGTGCTCCGAACAGTCCCAAGACTCCCAACCAACTAGCCTTTTCGGTCAGCTTGCGAATGCGGCTCGCTTTCGGTTGCATCCCATCACAGACTAACTTGGTCTACAGACCACCTGCAGATAGCATACGACGACACGCCTCGCTCCGCTGTCAACGAGATCCCGTATCTGTCCTCAGCTCAGCAGGCGTCATTGATTGTCCATCGGCAGCAACCTCATGTGTCCTGCACCGCACAAACTGAGAGCCCGCCGAGAGAGCAGACATTTCTTGCGAACCAAGCCAACCCTTGGTCTGTGCGCCTCCGTAGATCGCAGGGCCATGTTCGGACCCTGAAGCGCCCGCATCTTGTGCCCCGTCACGGAATCACTGTTCTGCAGGCTTGCGACATGGCGCCCGGAAATACGATGGCATGGTCGGCCGGCCGCCTGCGTCGCCGCCCCATTGTCTCCGACCCCGGTCCCCGCGGGTCTGACCTCGCTGCAATTACCACGAGGCAGAGTGAATCAGCGACCGCAAGCAGATGTGGCCGACTTTGAGGGCACGCGCGACCAGGCCGTTTTGATCTAATCCGAGCGGTCCGGTCCGTGAATAGCAGGCCAGATCAAGCCTCCGTGATGCGATGGCGCAGCTGGTCCGTGTGCGGCGGTTGGCTGCTCGGCAGGCACCATGTGAGGGCCTGTTCGCATTGTTGGTTCCGTCCTATGTGCAACTTTGTGTACCGAGACAACGGCGCGGTGAAACGGCGACCACTTTGCTCGCCAACCAACAGTGCTGTCGCCACATGCAGCAAACTGAGATTTCCAGTTGACTCGCAGTCAATAGTCACGCAGGTCGCATTGTCTGGGTCTCTGATCGGCCGCAGCGGCTCTATCGCCGATGGCGAGGTCCTCGTGGCACGGTGCCTTCAGGGCGCGACCGACACGGACATGGGCCGCTGTTGGTACTTGCTTTGAGCCGCGGACTCTACCGTGCTTCACTCGGCCTTGTTAGAGGGTCCGTTCCAGTGCCGTACAATAGTCATCTACGACGGCTAACAGCATGACATGCATTCCGACATGGCGTGCGTCGTCGCTTGACACAGTCCATGCCCGTAACCAACGGCCCCCAAATCACCACTGCCAGATCACGTCAGCATAGGAACGAAGTATGTTGAGTCTTGCTGGATTCGAGTACAATGTACCTTGGGTGATCTTTGTCGATGCGGATAAGGTTTGACGATTTCGTCTGATCGAGTCTTTGATCCGACATGGCCGGTGCCGAACGCCGCCGGACGGTCAAGACGGGCTCGGCTCCGAACAAACGAGCGATCGCCGCCTTGCAGGAGCGCAAGCAACAGACAGGGCAACTCGTCAATCTCTGCGCTGAGATCGCACCGGGATCTGCGGACGGCCGGCCAGTGGCAGCCCGTCTGTGCTCAGATTTCACAAACGACCTCGCGGCCGCCGGTTTGGCCAGCCCAATGAAGACTGTAGCCAGCGTTGCAGCACGGCGCTTTTCATCATGCTGGGCTCGAATAATGTCAGGTGCACAAAGCGTTGGAGACTGCCACCTGAAGGCTGCTAGAAGATTTGTCACCCAAGATGGTCGGCTCCCTCGGCTCCGTCCTCGTCTGACTTCAGTTGGCGCCCTGCTGATCCGGCCGAGTCTGGTACAGTCCTCCGATGGATCAAGAGAATGACGCGAGGGTGTTTCCGCTGCGACAACGAGGACTGCTGGCGACATGCGTCTTGCTTGCGGCCACCACGACCAACATCTAGCAAGTCGAGATCACATGGGTGCATAGATCACGCAGCATCATGAAACTCTGGGCCCCGCCGTAATGGCAGGTGACGCTCATACACTGGAGAGGTTAACGTCACGCCGTACACTTTATGGCTGAGGCAGCATGGGCCAAGTGTGTCGGGGCAGATTCGTGGTGCTGTCGTTGCTGTCGTTGCTGTCGTTGCTGTCGTTGCTGTCGTTGCTGTCGTTGCTGTCGTTGCTGTCGTTGCTGTCGTTGCTGTCGTTGCTGNTGTCGTTGCTGTCGTTGCTGTCGTTGCTGTCGTTGCTGTCGTTGCTGTCGTTGCTGTCGTTGCTGTCGTTGCTGTCGTTGCTGTCGTTGCTGTCGCTGCTGTCGCTGCTGTCGCTGCTGTCGTTGCTGTCGCTGCTGTCGCTGCTTTTCCATAGACAATGACGGAAATCACTCTTGGACACTCTGTACGGAGAAACTGGGATCTAGTGCTCCACGTATCCTCGGAAAGGAATATAGCGTGGGTTACTGGGTGTACTAGACCCAATCTCCGCGAAAATATGGCTCGAGTTGCAAAGACGCCTAGCCACAGCCTGTTCACATGTAGGGATGCGTGCACCCATCAATGGCCATGGAGGCCGCCTGTCACGGCGTCCAACCCTGTGCATGGGACATGTCCTCTCAAGCCAAGGAAAGTCAAGCCGCGCGAGATGGGGGTATGCTGAACCGTTCGCCAATGCCACATGGCTGAGAAACATGTCTCTCCATCCAAGAGAAACTCAGTCCACATGGCACACTGTCGAATCGATAGCGTCCTTGCGAGCAGAGGGAACACTGTGCCACGCTCGCCATTTCGCCATGCCAATGTACCGCCAGAGCGAGAAGCTGACAATCCACGGGGGCAGGCGAGACCACTTCGTAGTTCGTACGTACGTGATGATGGCCCCGTGGCCGCAAGTGTCGATTCTAGCAAGGCGGTATGGCAGCGACGGTCAACATGAGCGCGCAATCGCAGAAACTGCGGTGGGGGTCCAGGTAAATTCGTTCATCACTTTGGGGCCATCTCCTACCTGGGCAGTGATGCCCATCTTGATGCGCGACAGTGAGTCGCAGTGTGGTGTGGATGGAGGGCTTTTGGAGGGGCGGGACGGGATGGAGATGGATGGATGGCGGGGACAGGGGGAGGCCACTAGAAAGTCATGAGCCACAGCGCCCACATCCACTGGATCTGACCGAAAGCCAATCCGCGGACCCATATTGGTCGAGCTGGCGCATCCATGGCGCCCCCAACTCAGGCCTCCAGGCCCAGGGGAGCCGCTGCCACGACGTCACTCGCGACTCCGGGCGCCGTCGAATCTCATCTCACCTCACCTCACCTCACACCCGCGGCCACGCTGGGACATGTGCAGCTTGCCTCCGGATCCCCATCAGCGCCCGCGGATGCCTGGCTAAAGCCTCACCGCGCTGCCGTGTTACGCTCCCACGCCCACACGGCGGCGGACCGACCTGCAGAGCCAAACCTTGACACTGACAGCCATGGACGCCGCCATATCTCGACTCAAGGGCGTCTTCGCGACGCTGTCCGGGGGCGCCTCCTCCTCGTACCAGCCATTGACGCAGGACGAGGCACCCGAGCGAGCCCGAGGCGACGGCACGAGACCATCACACGAAAGCAGCGACACGATGGAGTCGGAAACGCACCGCGATGCCGCGGCCATGATGCTCATCAAGCTGGGGCGCTCCCCGGACGAGCACATCACCGTCTCGCCCGCCGACGACGCCCGCATCCTCCGCCGGATTGACATGGCGCTGCTCCCGCTCATGCTGGCCGTCTACTTTCTTCAGGCGCTCGACAAGGCGACGCTGTCGTACGCGTCCATCTTTGGCCTCATCGACGACACGCACCTCGTGGGCGACCAGTTCTCTTGGCTCGGCAGCATCGTCTCCGTCGCGCAGCTCGTCATGCAGCTGCCCATCTCGCTCGCCCTCGTCAAGCTGCCGATCGGCAAGTTTACGAGCGCCATGGTCCTGCTCTGGGGCCTCACGCTGACGGGCATGACGTGGGCGCACAACTTTCCGCAGCTCATGGCCGCGCGCTTCTTCCTCGGGGCGTTTGAGGCGAGCGTTGGGCCGAGCTTCGTCGCCATCACGCAGATGTGGTGGCGCAGGAGGTGAGCCGCCCGCGTCCGTCACATGTCGCAGGGCTGATCGATCGCGCAGGGAGCAGACAATGAGAATCGGCTCGTGGTACTGCATGAATGGGCTTACCTGGGTGGTAAGTCTGGTCGCACCGCAGCCGCCACACGACTGCTGACAAGCCCAGTTTGGCAGCCTCTTGACGTACGGGCTCGCGAGCATCGACTCTCACATGAGGCCGTACCAGGTGCGTACGTGATCGCCGAAGCATCGTCATCCATTAACCACAGCAGATCATATTCCTCTTCTTTGGCGTCATCACCGTCGCCGTGGCGGGGGCCATGTTCTTTTGGATGCCCGACTCGCCCACGGAGGCCAAGTTCCTCAGCGACGACGACAAGGTGCTCGCGATCGAGCGCCTCCGCAACAACCAGATGGGCGTCATGTCGCGGGAGTGGCGCCGCACGCACTTTTCCGAGGCGCTGCGCGACGTCAAGACGTGGCTGTGGTTCGTCATGATCTTTTGCATATCGGTGCCGTCCAACGGCATCTCGACGTTTGGCCCGCTCATCATCCAGTCGTTTGTGTCGGACCCGTTCCGCACCATGCTGTTCAACGTCCCCGTGGGCATATCGCACGTCATTGCCGTGTCGACGAGCGCCTACGTGTCGATGAAGTGGAAGCTCAAGGGGCCCGTCATTGCGTTGCTCTGCGTGCCGCCCATGATTGGGCTGTCGATTCTGCTGCACTACCCCCACGACGCGGCGCACCGAGGCGTCTTGCTGGCCGGGTACTTTTGCCTTTCCACGTTTACGGGAATCAGTAAGTCTTCAGCCACATCGCGCCCGGCTTCTGCTCACCGGCCTAGCGCCCTTGATATACTCGTGGTCTGCCCAAAACACGGCCGGCGATACAAAGCGCAAGACCACCTCGGCGCTCGTCTTTATCGGCTCGTCGGCGGGCAATGTCATCGGCCCGCTCCTCTTTACCCCCGACGAGGCGCCCGGGTACTCGAGGGGTATCCGCGCCAACCTCGCCCTCTTTGCCACCGTCATTGTGCTGGTCGGCCTCACGTCGTTTCACCTGCGGTGGCTGAATCGCGGACACAGCCGGCGGAGGGTCGCACTAGGCAAGAGCGCAGTCATTGCGGACCTGAGCCTCGAGACGGCCGAGGAGGTGGAGCGGATGGAGGGCCTGGAGCGCGCCATGCGTCAGGGCGACGGGCGTCCGTCAAACGCTTTGGGGGGCGGGCTGGCCGAGATGGGCGAAAACGGGCACGTCAGGCAAAAAAGCGGCAGGGGGACCAAGGCGTTTGCGGACGCGACCGACTTGGAGAATGAAGACTTTGTCTTTGTGTATTAGCTGGTAGGGGCCGGTATAGCCGTCGCCAGGGCCTAGGAGCATGTAGAAGTTGTAGCACCATGCCTTCAGCCCGGAAGTACGTGCGAGTCCACGGAGATCAATTGCAGAAAACACCACCTCGGCTCAAGGTTTCGAGGCTTGTCGAGTGAGGAGGCGGCAGTGACATTGTTTAGGAGCAGCATTGACAGAGGGATCTGGCTGATGCAACACGGGCATCACAGGTGATGGCGGCGATGGCGCTGGCCGCAGGGGCAACGGGCACTAGCAGCACAGCCCAACGGTGCCTGAAAGCCAAACCTTGGGCTCTTCAGCGGATGCAGGCTCCATCGCAACGGAGATCCATGGCTCGCGCTACACCGGGAGTTGCCGCCAGTCCTCCAAGAATCGCTTTCAGGTTCGATTAAGCGCAATGTCACGTCGCTCGTATCAGTCCACCCTCGGCATGTCAATTGGATGCCTCGACCTCGCGCAGAACGAGATCCGAGTTGCAGACGCCAGAATGGTATTCAGCACGGTACATCGATGGCCAGCACAAGGGGCAGCGCTTGACTGGAAGCTCGGGTTAGGAAACCCCGCCGCACGCTGCATTCGCATTCGCCGATCAACGCCTCCTTGCACCGCCTCCTGTGGGCTCGGGGCCTGTCAGTGGGCACCCGTACCCAAACTACCAGCGGGATGACGACGCCGGACAGCTCACGCGCTTGAACCTTTCATCGTCACATCCTCTGCGCCCCTTGCTTTAACTCGGATTCAAACTCGGCTGAGGCCTGTGTTTGAAGAGACACCTCAATAGGCTTTCAGCCCTCGGGTCCGTATGCCACCTCGAGCCCTGCGCTGGATATAAAGCTCAGGCTCCGTCTCTAGCCTCCTCGTTACGACAGGGCAGCTATTCCAGGCTTCGTTCAAGACGGATTCTCAACGACACGCACATCCTAGGCTACCCCCTCAGCGCTCTAGCATCAGCTTCCGCTCGCTCGCCGGCATCGCGGCACTTGTCATTCTCCTGTTGTCTCTGCTTCTCCGTGACAACACCAAAACTCGCATCATGGGCGGGGGACCTGACCAAGGCTACCGATCGGTCGCCTACTTTGTCAACTGGTAAGCCGCCTCGCCACTTGCATGCGGACATACCCGCTGACTCCTCAGGGCCATCTATGCTCGCAAGCACCGTCCCCAAGACCTCCCCCTCGAGAACCTCACCCACGTTCTCTATGCCTTTGCCAACGTCCGCACCGACAGCGGTGAGGTGTAAGAGCCCTCAGCCCTAAGCCACTCGCATGCACGCCTGCTCACATACCTGCAGCCACTTGACCGACGGATGGGCCGACACCGACATCCATTGGGAGGGCGACTCGTGGAACGACACGGGCACCAACCTGTACGGGTGCCTCAAGCAGCTCAACCTGCTCAAGCGGCGCAACCGCAACCTCAAGGTGCTCCTCTCCATTGGCGGCTGGACCTACAGCTCCAACTTCAAGAACCCCGCCAGCACCGCCCAGGGCCGCGCCACCTTCGCCAGGACCAGCCTCGAGCTGCTCAAGAACCTCGGCTTCGACGGCCTCGACATCGACTGGGAGTACCCGCAAAACGCCGACGAGGCGCGCAACTTTGTCGAGCTGCTCGCCGCCGTCCGCGGGGAGCTCGACGCCTACGCGGGACAGCTGGGCGGCGACACCCGCTTCGAGCTCACCGTCGCCTGTCCCGCGGGCCCGCAAAACTACGAGCGGCTCGACGTGCCCGGCATGGACCAGCACCTCGACTTTTGGAACCTCATGGCCTACGACTACGCCGGCTCGTGGGACCAGGTCAGCGGCCACCAGGCGAACCTGTACCCCAACCCAAGCAACCCCAGCAGCACGCCGTTCTCGACCGCCGCCGCCGTCGACTTTTACACCGGCCGCGGCGTCGCTGCCAACAAGATTGTCCTCGGCATGCCGCTGTACGGGCGCGCGTTTGAAAACACCGACGGCCCGGGCAAGCCGTACCAGGGCGTCGGCGACGGCACCTGGGAGCGCGGCGTGTACGACTACAAGAAGCTGCCGCTCGAGGGCGCGCAGGACTCGTACGACGACGCGGCCGCGGCGAGCTACTGCTACAACGCGCAGAGCCGGACGCTCGTCAGCTACGACACGCCGCAGATGACGAGGGTCAAGGCCGACTTTGTCAAGGACAAGGGGCTCGGCGGGGCCATGTGGTGGGAGAGCAGCGCGGACAAGGCGGCGGGGGACAGCCTCATCGGCACGGCGGTGCAGTGCCTGGGGGGGCCGGACGGGCTGCTCCAGCAGGACAACTGCCTCACGTATCCGGACACCAAGTACGACAACCTGCGGGCCGGGTTCCCTAACAACTGAGCGCATGGGCCGTCGCCGGGCGCGAGGCCAACTCAAAAGCAAGCCATAGCAGCATTGACATGAATACTTTTCCATCAATGATAGCACCGCGTGTCCAAGTACGTGCTTCAAATCCCTCTGGGTCTGATTGTGCGCGGGCGCCGCTCTGCGCCGATCACGGCCATGTCTGATGAATGCGACTCGGCGTGACTGTGCCTCTGAGTGGATTTGTCTTTGCGTGACTTTGTCTTCGACTGAGCTGGTATGGCGCTCCTGCAAGGCATGGGCGTGACAGCCTGTCGTATGAGACGCAGCGTCGTCCTCGATGCGAGGTCTGCGAGTGCTCGCTGGCCCCGCCAGGAATGCATGTCACCGCAGGGTGCCGCAGGGTCGCGCACCCCACCACCGACAATGCACGTGACCTCCCACACATTCGCCGCGCAGCGCAGAGGATTCGCCAATTGGTTGGTCCGTGCACGCAGCTCAAAGCTACCCGCTAAGAAAAAAAAATCTCGAGCCCGTGGAAAAAAGTGAGGCCGGCAATCGTGAGAATTCCGTCCACGCCTCGTCTCGTCTCGCCTCGCCTCGACCGACCGACTGTCGCACTCAATCCCGCCAGCCCAATCGACGACGCACCACGGCCTGGGGACGAGATCAACATGTCGCACATCGACTACGCCCTCTTCGAGGCGCCCGTCGGCTATGCCGTCTTCAAGGTCGTGCATCAGGCCGACGCGGTCGGCCTCAAGATGAAGGAGGTCCAGGAGGCGGCCACAGACCTGGCCAAGTTTGGCAAGATGCTCAAGCTGGTCAACTTTACTCCCTTTGAGTGAGTGGTCCTGAAATTCAATGTGCCGGCCGTGTACTGACCTGCCACAGCGGCCAAGCCGAGGCCATCAACAACATCAACGAAGTCTCCGAGGGCATCTGCACCGACTTTCTCAAGTCCGTCCTCGAGCTCAACCTGCCCAAGACGAGCGGCAAAAAGTCCAAGGTCGTCCTGGGCGTCACCGACAAGAACCTGGCGGGCGCCATCAAGGCCGAGTTCCCGGGGCTCGAGTGCGAGACGGGCGACACCAACCAGGTGGTCGCCGACGTGATCCGCGGCATCCGCCTGCACGCCGAGAAGCTCATCGAGGGCCTCAACGCCGGCGACATCGAAAAGGCGTGCCTGGGCATGGCCCACGCCTACTCGCGCGCCAAGGTCAAGTTCAGCGCCACCCGCAACGACAACCACATCATCCAGGCGAGCGCTATCATCGACACGCAGGATAAGAGTCTCAACCAGTTCCTCATGCGCGTCCGGGAGTGGTACGGCTGGCACTTCCCCGAGCTCGTCAAGATTGTCTCGGACAACCTGACGTACGCCAAGCTGGTGCTCGCCATCGGCAACAAGAAGACGCTGACCGACGAGCGGCTGCACGACATTGCCGCCATTGTCGGCGAGGACGGCAACAAGGCGCAGGCCATCATCGACGCCGCCAAGGTGTCCATGGGCACCGACGTCTCGGACGAGGACATGCAAATCATGCTGGGCCTGACGCAAAACGTGGTCAAGCAGGCCGAGAACCGCGGCCAGACGTCCAACTACCTGCAGCAAAAGATGAACTCTGTCGCGCCCAACCTGCAGGCCCTCATCGGCACCACCGTCGGCGCCCGCCTCATCTCCCAGGCCGGCTCCCTCAACAACCTCGCAAAGGCGCCCGCCTCGACGCTGCAGATCATGGGCGCCGAAAAGGCCCTGTTCCGCGCCCTCAAGAGCAAGAGCAACACGCCCAAGTACGGCATCATCTACCACAGCAGCTTCATCGGCAAGGCCTCGTCCCGCGACAAGGGCCGCATCTCGCGCTACGTCGCCAACAAGTGCAGCATGGCCTGCCGCATCGACAACTTTTCCATGGAGCCCTCGACCCGCTTCGGCGAGGCGTTCAAGGAGCAGGTCAACGACCGCCTCGAGTTTTACGCCACCGGCAAGAAGCCGCTGAAGAATGCGGACGTCATGGTACGTTTTCCTCTGAGGCCCCGAGACCCAGTTGCTAACTCCCGTGTAGAAGGCCACCATTGCGTCCCTGGGCGATGCCGTCGGCAAGGACAGCGACGACGAAATGGCCGACGCCCCTGAGCCGTCATCCGCCAAAAAGGCCAAGAAGGAGAAGAAGGAAAAGAAGGACAAGAAGGAAAAGTCCAAGGACAAGAAGCGCAAGAGGGACGAGGAAGAGGCCGCGCCGTCGCCCGTCAAGGACGATGCCGAGAAGAAGAAGAAGAAGAAGCGAAAGTCCAAGGCCGCGGACGAGGAGTAGAGTTCCCGTCCTCGCGTCAAGGAGTCCAAGTCGGAGCCGGCTGCGCGTGCCCCGAAGCCGCGAGGCAAGGGCCGCGAGGAGGCTGGAACGGCATCCGCGAAGCACGCCGCGACGCCCTCCCGCCGCGAATCCAGCGGTCGGAGCAAGCGGGTCGGGTCGGCCAAGGCCAAACCCCGATCCGCTGAGAAGGCGAAGCGGTCGTTGCGTGTTGTGATGCGCGGCGGACGCGGTGATTAGGCGTTATGGCGTGGGCACTTTTGCTGTGGGTAAACACTTGGTCGTTGGTAGCATAGGCAGTGGCATTGGGAAAGATGATTTTGCTCAGTTAGTCTCTGCGAAGCTGTGAGAACGAACTAACCAAACATTTCTCGCCGTCTGGCGTAACATGTAAACAGGTCCTGGATATCCTGCTTCCCGCCGTTGTATATCATGCTCCAACTGTCTTTGTGGAAGATTTGCGCTGCTCGATATTCGCCGCAGGGGCCGTCCTTGGTCAGCGCCAGTCGCTGGATGGCTGCTAGGATCTCGTGTCAAGTCTCGAAATTCTTGGGTTTTGTTACGATTACCCGTCATCTCCAGTCGAGACTTGGTTGTGGTGGGATGGTCAGACGTTTTTTGGGTCGCTGATGCGTGCTTTGCTCGAGAGGAGTGTGCATTTCAGGCTGGTGTTGATTGGCAAAAAGCTTGCTGTTGTCGCTCCACGCACAGCGAGGCCCAGGGCACAATCTAGAGGCACCATGCCGTGAACAATTTCCTCCACTGCAGCTTCGCAGGACTTGGTGATCCTGGAGCAAGACATGCGGCTGGGGTGAAACTAGTTGTCTGTGCAATGGTCCGGTGGCGCTCGCCTACCCGGTGCCCATTAAATGCTCCAACAACAGACACCGGGAGTGGCAACAAACTAGGCAAACGACTTCACCGAGCACGGTTTACGTCACGCAAGGAACATGTAGGTGGCCTCAGTCAAGCATTCATTATGAAGAAGCCGGATGTGCTCTATGCTACATCAACGCCTTTTGTTGCAGTCCATGGTACCCAGCCCTTCACCGCCCATCCCAAAGCAGAATTCCCATGTCGTGCACTTATTGCTTGTCAAAGACGTAGGTGAGGTGGCACCGGCCGCAGTACTGGCGGTCGGGCATAGAGGCCATGAAGACACCGGCGCCGCACTGACTCGGTTAGCATGGCTCGGCACAAGGTCCGGGGACAACAACTCACGGTATCGCTGGGGCACTCGCGGCGCAGACGCTCAATGTTGCCGTCCTTGTCGACCTTGTAGTACTTGAGGACGGCCAGCTTGGTCTTCTTCCGCTTGTGCTTGATCTTCTTGGGCGTGGTGTAGACCTTCTTCTTGCGCTTCTTGCCACCACCACGCAGGCGCAGCACCAGGTGGAGGGTGCTCTCCTTCTGGATGTTGTAGTCGCTCAGGGTGCGGCCATCCTCGAGCTGCTTGCCGGCGAAGATGAGGCGCTGCTGGTCCGGGGGGATGCCCTCCTTGTCCTGGATCTTGGACTTGACGTTGTCGATGGTGTCGGAAGACTCCACCTCGAGGGTGATCGTCTTCCCCGTGAGGGTCTTGACGAAAATCTGCATCTTGCCTGTTCTATGCGTGTTAGGATCTGTCAGGCAGGGGGCAAAAGACGCTCGTGGGAGAAATTTTGAGGGCAGCCATGCCGCGACGGCGGCGTCGTCCGGAGCGCGGACAACGACCGCCGCCGGGAGACGCAGGCCGGGAATCTCATGGCGGGTGCATCGACGATGCTCCCGTCACGAGAGGGCAAAACGAATGCGACATCTTTCAGACATACCTCGACAATAGACCTATTGCCGTCCTAAGCAATCCTCAGATGTTGCGGTTGATGAGAGAGGTTCTGGGCTGGTGGAGTGGCGCCGACCTTAGAAATTTCCGCTGGCGTGCACGCGGGACTGGCGGGTGGCGTCACATGACCTAGGGTTTCCCGCCGGACTCTGCCCTGCCCTCTGCGAAATTCCCGTGCAGTGGGGCAACGTCGCTACGGCGGCCAACGAGCGCCCGGCGCACCGCTCCACACTCTGTGCATCTTTTTGAGTGTCCTCGGATTTTGAGCACTCGACCTCTCTCTTTTCCCTCCTCGTCCGACCCGTGTCTTTGTATTAACGACTACAGCAGACACCGCCAAAATGGTCAAGAAGAGAAAGAACAAGTACGACTCGCCCCTCCCCGCCGTCCGCCGCGCCGCTCGACGTTGCTGCTCTGCGATGCCGTTCATCGCCTCGACCAGAGCGACGCCGCGGACATGCACGTCGTCCAACATTTGCTGACCCAATTCGCAGCGGCCGCAACAAGAAGGGCCGCGGCCACGTCAAGCCCATCCGCTGCAGCAACTGCTCGCGATGCACGCCCAAGGACAAGGCCATCAAGCGCTTCACCATCCGCAACATGGTCGAGTCTGCTGCCATTCGTACGTTTTCCATGGTCGACTCTCGGCACGAAGCGAGCGTCAGACACTAACCGTCTGCAGGTGACATCTCGGATGCCTCCGTCTTCTCGGAGTACACCGTACCCAAGATGTACCTGAAGCTGCAGTACTGCGTCTCTTGCGCCATCCACGGCAAGATTGTCCGGTACGTTGTCCTCCCTGGGAGTGTGACAACTGCGCCCCCGCGGCGTATGTGCTTCGGATGAGCCTTGGTCGTACTATGGAGACACTCCCATATTACAATCTCGATCGTCGAAGCGGTACGTCCCAACGAAACGTGTACTGACCCGTGACCCTGCAGTGTCCGCTCGCGCGTTGGCCGCCGCAACCGCGCCCCCCCTCCTCGCGTCCGCTACAACAAGGACGGCAAGAAGATCACTCCCACTGTTGCCAAGGCCTAAGCGGGTATGATTTGGGATGGAGTCTGGTCGGGTTTACGTCTGCATTCAAAATGGATTAGATGAACGCTGGGTATTGGGAATCCAAAACATCCAATGAACCGGACTACGTCCTTGTCGACGCGACTACTGTCCCATATTTCGTGGCGTGATGTCGTGATGCCGAGTGACTTGGCGACGCGAAACACCCGTGACCTAACGGCGTGGCTCAGGTCAAGAGACGTCAGCCTTGTAGGATGCAAGACGCCATTTGCCAGTCAAACACTTGCGGTTGCCAGGGATCAGAAGACGCCGCTCTGCTTCGTATTCTATGCCCACCACTTGGTTGGATCACGGCGTCACCCCTACCCTCAGTCTCATCACGGCCCCGGCTTCACCAACATGATGCCATCCTGCGCACACGCATACGGATCAACGCACACCCCTCCGCCGCAGCAGCAGCCCACCAAGCAGGCAAATCCACCGTGTCCATTCTCGTCACAATCGGCGTCCGTCTCGCACCGGCTCACAAAGTTGTCGCACTCTGTATACTCAAACGCCAGCGCCGCCCCTGAAGCCGTCACGCCGCACACGCACCCCGTGCCCGCAATCAACGCAGTATCCGGATACGCACACGTGCCATTGTGCCCATCGTAGCTGGACCTGCTCCCGCCGGCGCAGCACGCCACGCTGTCCGGGTCCTGGACCGTGACGTTGTACGCCTTGGGCTCCGTGGGCGCCCAGTTGAGCCTCGCCACGGCGTCGACGAGCGACACGCCCGCGCGCAGGCTCATCTTGAGCGGCAGGTCCGCCGCGTGCAGGTCCTCGCAGACGTCCTCCTCAAAGTTGCGCAGCTCGTCGTACGTCGCAATGTACTGCTCCACGGCGCTCAGCGTCGCCGGCGGCCGCGCCCTGCTCTTCGACAGCGCCTGCTTGAGAATCTCCCACAGCTGCTCGTAGTACATGACCGTCAGGTCGACCTCGCGCCGCTGCGCGTCGGTAAGGCCCTGGTTGTACAGCTCCGCCCGCAGCGACTCGGCGTTGAGAAAGTCCTGGCTCGTGGCCTCGAGCGTGGTGATGACGGTGGAGAGGTCCGGGCACGCGCCGCCAAAGGGGTCGACGAAGAGAAACTTGAAGATGTCGCTGCGGACGGCGCGCTGGCAGCGGAGCGTGCCCGAGTCTGAGCCGGGAAACGTGCAGTCAAAGACCCATTTCCCGAGAGACTCGTCGACGGCAATGTCGTTGCACTCTGTGCCGCCGACTTTGAGCAGCGGGTACTTGCGGATGGATTGCTTGACTGCGTGGCCGCACTGGTCGTGAAGATACAGCGTCTGGTTAAACTTCAAGTCGTGCATGCGCTCGACCAGGCCGCCCTTGGAGCACGCCTCCCCCGACAGGGCGGCAAGCTGCTTGTACAGGCTGTCCACTTTTAGGGACACATCGTAGCGACAGCTGTTTGTCGAAAAGTGAATTCCCTGTCCGTTCAGGAGAACCGCGTTGCCGAGGGAGTCCACGAGAGAGACGTAGCTCCTGTTGGAGACATCCAAGTAGTGCGTCCCCTGGGCGGCATCGCGCAGCGTCACAAACAGCGGATCGACGCCATCGACCGCAAAGTCGACCGACTCCACGTACGGAAACGGAATCGTCTTGTTGTGTTCCCTCAGGTCCGCGTTGTGCAGCATTGCGCGGCGGCTTTGGCCGTGCAGAGGGTCTTGCGGCAGGTGGTAGCATGTTTCCTTGACCAGATCGCCGGTGCGGGTGACTTGGGTGAAGTTGGCGGCGGGCAGCGTCGGGACAGAGGTCAACGTGGCGTTGGGGTTGAAGCTGGACGTAGGGACTGCGCTGCCCGTCGGAGTGATGAAGGCCGGCGTCGTTGGTGTGGTGGACGTGTTGCTCGAGGTACTGGTGAAGGAGAAGGAACTGGGTATGAGCTCGCTAGACGCTGGGAGAGGCGTCCCGGGAAGCTCAGTGCTTCTGTTGGCAGGGATCCTCGTCGCAAGGACGGTCGACATGGACAGGTTCCCAGGTACGCTTACAGCCGTGGTGGAGAGCCGCACGCTGGACATTGTCGGTGACGTCGACAATATTTGCGTCACATTCGCTGCAGAAGTCCAAGTTTGAGTACCAGAGCCCGTCATGGATCCGGAAACCGTAGAGATGCTGCTCCCGCGGCCATCACCTGCAGACGTCGTGTTCCATCGCCCAGTGGTGTGGCTGGTCCAGATCGAGCCGGTTCCGATAGACAGCAGTCCGCTCCGGCTAGGAAACCACACCGACGAGATGGTGAACGTTGCTGAAGAGCTGACAGAGGGCACGCCAGACGTTTCCCGGGAGCTCCTCGTGGCGTTGTCACGGACGGTAGTTGGCTTCAACTCTACAGAGCTGCTTCCTGGCCCTGTGCCGATAAAGGTGGCACTTGTGCTGTTTCCGTACGGCGCTGTGGAAGTCGCAGGAGCAGGGGAAGTGGACGTGCTGTTCCAACCGTTGCTGGTTGGAGTCGTTGCAGTATAGTATACCGAATGCGAAGACGTCGTCAGCCATGTTGATGACGTTCTTGAAGCTCCCGTCCCGGTGTTTGTAAACGTCGCCGACGACTGTGTCCCAGAAAGCGCAGAAGTCGACACGGGCACCGTCTCAGTCGCATTCACAGACACAAGCGAAACCGTCGTCGTCCTCGGCCTGCAAGTCTCTCTCAGCACGCAGCTGCACTATCCCCAGCGTCAGCTCTGACCAAGCCTGTCCCAGACAGAACATGTCCATGCTCAGACTTACATGCGAGGACAGCACGTCGGGGTCGTACGTCGCAAACTGCGTCGGCGTGCTCCCCTTGCCGCAGCGGTCGCTGACGACGCTGGCGCAAAAGTGCCGGCCGTCCCTGAAGAGGGAGGTAAAGAGCGCATCGCGCGTGCATGCGAGCAGTGAGCTGGCTTGGGTTGCGGGCAGGGCGCGCGCGCTATAACGAGCGATGAGCAGGAAGAAAAGGGCGCGCATCGTGACGCGCGCCAGGAGGCTGGTTGAAAGAGTGTATGGAGGGACCGAGTGGACTTGAGGACCGAGCCTGCGTAAGGAGTGTAAGCGAGGCGAGCGCGTGCTGGGTTTTATACATCGACTGCAGCTGCGTCTTGTTCGACTCGCTCGGCTAGGGGCCATCTTGTGAGCCGGATGCGACACACGCATGGATATCGTCCAGGAGGCATCGCCGAGGATGTCCAGCTCCAACGTCGTACCATCGCCCTACCCATCTCGCCGGCACGATTCTACCTTGCCCTATAGCCTCCACGGGGACATGACACAGGAAAGGGGCCGTGATACCAAGGCGTAGATACTGCGCTCGCCAGTTCACACTCTGCGACTGCACCACAGCACCGGCAGGCGAAATCTCGACACCGAGCCAATGGTGCACCCGCAGCACAGCTCAACTGGCCATCATCTGTCTCGGCTCGAGTCGAGACCCTGCACCGCTGAGCCTCCCGTCGAGCCATGCACCTCGCTCGTGGCTCGCAGATGGCTCATCGGCTTGGCGAGGGTTGCACGCGATCCCGCAAACCCTGGGCGTGGAACGTCACCTCGCAGCTGCGCCCGTCAGCCGAGGGCGTGAAGCGGACAACCAGCCGTGCTCGACATTCTCAGCTGCTGCATCAAGCGTCGTCGTGCATCACGTTGTGGCATCAATTGCCGACATTAACAAGTACACACGAACAACCTCCATACACATCCAAACGTCTGCCATCGTACATGCAATGCCCAGATTCCAGTCATAATCATAAGTCCTGCGAAGCCCTGCCCGGCCAGTCATGTGCAAATGCGTCTCAAACTCCAGTGCTGAATCCCATCACCTCAATGCCAACGTCGTCGTATGTCCCGGGCCCAGTTGCCGCGGCGGCGGCTGGGGGCGCTCGATGAAATCCCTGTTCTCAATCGTCACGCTCTTGGTCATGTGGTTGACCTTGTACACGCCGACGAGGCGCGCCGCGAGCTCAAACATGTTGTTTCGGAGCGAGATGACGATGAACTGGGCGTTCTTTGTCCGCTCCTTGATGTAGTTGGCGACAATCGAGACCTGCAGCATGTCAGTAGCCGAATGCGCGCGCGGGGGCCATGGGGACTTACGTTTCGGAAATCGAGGGCGGCGTCAATCTCGTCCATGACGTACAGCGGCGTCGGCTTGTAGTGGTGCAGGGCAAAGACGAGCGCCAGACTGCTCAGCGTCTTCTCGCCACCAGACAGGTTGCCAATGTTCTTCCAGCTCTTCTTGGGCGGCATGACGCTGAACAGGATGCCCTCGCTGAACGGGTCGAGGCTGTCCACGAGCTCGAGCTCGGCGTTGCCGCCCATGGTAATCATCTGATACATCTCCTTGAGCCGCAGCGAGATGGCGCTGAAGCCCTCCATGAAGCCCTCGAGCCGCAGGCGGCGCAGGTCGTCGCACCTCTTCTTGGCCGCGTCGCGCTGTCCGATGGCAGACTGGAGGTCCAAGGACCGGGCCGCGTGCTCCTCGACTCTGCGTCGGTACTCGGCCAGCACGCCCAGGTCGACGCTCACGTTTTGCGTCTTTTCCTCGAGCGCGGCAATCTCGCCCTTGAGCGTCTCCTTGCTCATGTCGGCGAGCTCGTCTGGCGTGTACCTGGGGAATTCCCGCAGCTCGTCGCCCGAGTCGCCGTCCTCTTCTTCCGTCCCTTCTTGCGAGCCGTCCGGGTCTGATGGGGCGTCGGCCATTTCTGCGTCTTCGGGTTCCGCCTGGCCATCTGCGTCGCCAGAGTTGGAGCCATCGGCCATTTCCGCATCGTCGCTCTCCTCGGACGCGGACTCCTTCTGGGCCTTGGCCGGCTTCGGGGCGGGCTCGCCGATGAGATCCTCAATGTTCTGCAGGACGAGCTTTGACAGCTTCTCGTCCCAGTACCGGAGGCGCTTCATGTTTTCGGCGAGCGCCTTTTGGTTCTCCTCCAGCTTGTTGCGCATCTCGATTTCGACGGCGCGGCTCTCGTTCAGCTCCGACGCCTTCTCGTCCAGTTCCTTCTTAAAGGCCGCGAGCTCCTTCTTCTTGGCGGCAAGGCCCTCCTCGGCTTCTTGCACGCGCGCTTGAAGCTCCTCGGCCTTTTCGCCCTGGTTGTTGATGTCGTCCTCGAGCTTCTCGAGGTCGCGGACGGCCGCGTCGCGCTCCTTGGTGGCCTTGGCCAGGTCCTTGACGAGCTTGACCTTTTGCTTCTCCGCCTTGACCCGCCGCACTTCTGCGCTTGACATTTCTTCGTTGTGCGATGCGATTTCCTCCTTCAGCCCGTCCACCTTGGCCCGCTGCGCCCTCAGCTTCTCGCCGCCGGCCTCCATGATCTTGTCCTGCAGCACCTTGATCTCCTCCTCGACGCTGGCGGTCTCGCCGTGAATGTCCTCGATCTGGGCGTTGAGCTTGGCAATCTCCTTTTGCAGCGCGGAGATGCGGTTGTTGTCTGACGCCGAGGGCTGGTGCTCCTTGCTGACCTCCTTGATGCGCCGCTGGACGTCGGCCAGGTTTCGAGTGGCGCTCTCAATCTCGAGGCCAATCTTTTGCATCTTGGTGTCGAGCTGCGGGATCTTGACGTTGAGCTCCTTGAGCTTGCCCTCGCACTCGCGCTGGTACTCTTGAAACTCTTGAAACTTGGTCTCCCACGCGTCGCGGTCTTCCTCGAGCTTGGCCACGTGCTCCTTGGTGGTGTCGGCGACGAGCTTGGCCGACATGAGGCCCTTCTTGACCGTCGTGCCGCCACCGGACATGGTGCCAGACTTGTCGATGAGCTCGCCGTCGAGGGTCACGACGCGCCATCGCTTCGCGCCGTAGGCAATGCGGTTCGCCTGCGCGAGGTCGGCGGCGACCAGCGTGTCCTGCATGGCGTGGTAAAAGGCCGGCCGGAACTTGTCCTCTTTGGCCTTGACCAGGTCAAAGAGTCGAGGGGCATTCTCCGGGGTCTGAATCGGCGCCAGGTCGCGGGACCTCAGCTTGTCCAGGCAGATAAAGTTGCCGCGGCCGAGGTTGTTCTTCCGGAGGTACTCGATGCACTGCTGGCCTGCGTCCACCGTCTCGGTGACAAAGTTGTCCAGGGCGGCGCATGCCGTCGACACAGCCACGTCGTACTTTTGGTCGATGGTGCCGAGGTTGCCCAGCCGCCCGTGGAAGCCGTCGATGCGGCCGGATTCTCGCATGCGCATGAGGGCGGTCAAGACGTTGCCGCGTGTCTGGGTGTTAGCCAGACTCGAGCGGGCCTCGTCGGCCTTTTGTCTGGCGTTGGAGATTTTCGATCGGAACTTGGGTTCTTGCCCGGCCAGCACGGCCAGCTCCTCGTCCATCTTGCCGGCCTCCTCGACGAGCGCCTGCTTCTCGGCCTCGCAGGCCTTGAGCTCCTTTGTCTTGGCGGCCTTGCCTTGTTCGATGGACGCGACCTTGCCCTGGAGCTCCTCGAGAGCGACGGCGCCCGCGTTCGCCTTTTCTTGGAGAATGTTCATCTCGCTCTCGGCGACGGCAATGGCGGACTGCTTCTGGTTAATCTTTTCCATCCAGGGCTCGAGGGACTTTTGCTTGGCGGAGATTTGGTCGGAAAACGCCTGCGTCTTCCCCTTGAGGCCTTCGCGGATCTTGGTGAGCTCCGCCTCTTCCTCCTTGACCTGCTCCTCGAGTTCGGCCACCTGCTGGACCCGCGTCTCAATGTCGCGAGTGCACTCTTCGACAGTCTCGTCGGCCTCGGTCGTCGAGCTTTCCGCGTTGCCAATCGTCTTTTCGAGCTTCTTGCGCTTGTCGTCCAAGAACTTGCGCTTCTCGTCAAACTTGACGCGCTCCTGCTCAAACTTGGCCATCTCCTTGACGAGCGCCTGCGTCTGCTTCTCCTGCGACTCGAATTCCTTGCTGCCCTTGGAGTACTGCCGCTCGAGATCCTTGATGATTTGCTCGCTGCCGTGGTGCTTCTCGAGCTCCTCGTCCAGCTGCGCCTGCATCTGGTTGATGGCCTCTTCCGTCACCGCGACGTTGCCGTTGCACTCGTGGATGAAGAGCTGGTAGAGGGCGGACTGCTTCATGGCCAGTTCGTTTTCGTCTCGGACGTAGGCCAGCGCCTTGTCCTTTTTGTCTTCGAGGCTGTGCTTTTCCTTTTCGACGTGCTGGACGCGGCCGCTCTTTTCGACGCAGACGTCGTTGAGTGTTTCGACTTCGGCAGCGGCCTCCTCAATGGGAGTCTTGTACTTGGAGGTGCCAATGATGTCCTCGAGATACTCCAGCAGGCCGTCTTCGTGCTCGTTGCCGGCCTTGGCCTTCATCTGAGCAATCGACTCGACCTCGCCTTGCAGAATCAGGAATCTCTTGTGGTCCAAGTCGACGCCGCGTTCGCGCAGGAGGGTCGTGACCGTGGTAAAGTTGGACTCCTTGGCGTTGATGTAGTACTTGCTCGAGTTGTTGCGGAACGCCTTGCGGGAGATGACGAGCGCCGAGTCGGGGACGACCTCGTGGCCACCGCCGGGCTGGGGCTGTCAGCGGGTCGTGCACGTGTAGATGGGGAGTCTGACATACCAGATCAATCACTTCCTGAAAGTGAACCTCGACCTCGCAAAACTCTAGGTTCGGGTGCTGGGCCGAGTTGTGAATGAGCGCAGAAATCTTGCCCTGCCGCATCTTGCTTGCTCGGAAACCAAACACAAACAGCAGCGAGTCGATGACATTGGACTTGCCAGAGCCGTTGGGGCCAACGACCGACGAGAACGAAGCATGAAACGGGCCGACTTCTTGGCGGCCTGCGTAACTCTTGAAGTTGTTGAGGATGAGGTAGGTGAGCACGATTCGGGACTTGGGCGTCGTCGTCTCCTCCACCATCGGGATGGTGATTGTCCTCTGCTTGAGCACAATGTCCAGCGGCTTGTCCATGATGGTGTCAAACGGCTTGATCGGCTTGATGGTGTCGTCGGCTTCGGTGTTCTGGGTATTCACACTGGAGGCGGTAATGTCCGCCAGGGGCGAGCCGTGCAGCTGCGTGGCGTCGGGCGACGCGGGGGCCTTGGGAGTCGGCGGCGGCGGCATGTCCAGGGTCGTCGCGATGGACGCCCGAGACGCCGTGCTCTGGCGCTTTCGCGCAGAGGCCCTCTTTGGCGGATCGCCCTGCTCGAGCTGCTGCGTCTGATCCGCGTCGAAAATCTCACTGGGTTCTGTGGCGGCCGCGGGGGCAGGGGCCGGCGTTGGTGTCTTCTTTGGCCGTCCGCGAGCCCTCGGCGCTGGGGCGGGAGCAGCTGCGGGAGCGATCGAGCGCCGACTCCTCGTCTGCCGCCGAGGACTCCTGGTGGGCTCTGGAGTAAAGTCTTCTTCGTCGTCGACCGGAATCTTGGTGGTGTTGGCGAGGTCGTCCTCGTCGTCAGAGTCGACAATGGCCTTGCGCCTCGTCGCGGCGCGTCGCGAAGGCCGCGGGGGTGTTGTCGCCGACATGGCGGCTGTTTGTGGGAGTTCTCGGGCACAATAAGGAAGAATTAAAGTATGGAAAGATCGCGATAGGGTAATCTGATGGCGATGAGTCTCGCCGCGACGGGTCGCGTTGATTGCGTTGGCTGCAGATTGAATGCACTCGCGTCGCCGGGGCAGGTCTTGGATTGTTTGGAAATGTCCCAAACCGTGGTTTGTAAACAAGCGACCCCACGCTGGGGTGGGTGTGCCGCCACTAACGCCGCACGTGACAGCGCGACGGCACTCGAGCCAAGCTCGCACCTCAGCTCGCGGTACGTACTATTTCCAGACCAACATCAGGAGCTTCAATTGCGACAGCTGGCCGGCGACCACCTGCGATTGCGCCATTGCCGTCGAGACCCACCGCCATGCTTGACTACACCAAGTTTCAGGACGTCTTTCCGGCGGACCTGCAGATTCCCTACGACCGCAAGCTGCAGCATGAGATTGACGACCACCGGAAGAGCTTGGACGGCACTCTCTTCATCGACCGCGTCATGAAGGCGCTCGGCATTGCCAAATGTGAGTAGGTCGATGTTGACCATGGATCCATGCTGACTCGTGACTTCAGCGAAGATCTACCCCCCAAAGTCCGACAGCGCCTTGCGACAGCTCCATCAGCAAATATGCGACGCCGGCATGTCGATGCACCACAAGCAGTCTCTGCTCTACTACATCCTGCTCGACTTTGATGTCGCAACCAGCCGCGACTCCATCTCCGAGGCTTTCGCCATGGACACGGGCATGCCCAGCACCTACCAGGTCTTTATGAAGGGCCTGTGGTACATGGACCGGCAAGACCATGAGGTGAGCCTGACGCCCTCGAGCAAGAGACGAGCTGACGATGAGGTATAGCACGCGCTCGAGTACGTGGCGCATCCATCCTTGACGCCCGATTTCGCAGACGACATTGTTGTCGCCCTCGTCCGACACGCGGAAGGAAACGACTACAGCCTCGCGCTGTCTTACTATTACACCGTGCAGCCGATTCTGAAGACGTCTCTGGCCCTGGAGCTGCTCTTCGACGCCATGGTACGGACAAACGCGACTGAGGCGCTGCTGTTCTCCCGCACGCATCCAGAGCACACGCGCGAGCAGCTGTTCAGGAGATGGATCGGCGGTGTGCTCGACGGCGGCAAGGGTGACAAGTCAGGTCAAGTCTCGCAGCTCGCCTTCATGCCGTTCGACGCGACGGAGGAGGCGTGGTTCGAAGAGTACCTCACCAAGGGCGAAGGGAGGAGCCTGCGACGGGCCAAGGACACGCTGCTGGTTCGCATGATTGCGTGCGATCGATTTGCGGACGTGAGCAGAGTAAAAGGCGCTGGCCAGTGGAGCGGCGTGATTGACGGCATCAGGAAAGGAATCGATGGCCTCTCGGAGTGAATATACGTGCACGCGCGCGGATGATTGCATGGCACGGCGTTGGGCGTCTTGATACGACAAGTAGACTCGGAATGGACCTGTTGAATTCACTGTTTGCATTGCCTGCTTGTATCGCCCGTGTCGTCGCAGATCCAGTGAGTGAAGAGCATGTCCTGACTTCACCGCTGCGAAGGCGCCCTTCTAGTGAGTAACAGCAACGGGTACCAGACTTGAAGCAGTCCGTACGTATTGGCGAGTTTCTGCTCTGATATTCTGTCACAGGCAGCATCTTGATGGACCGGTCAGCGACGCTCCAACACAGTGGATGGGTGACGCGGGCGAGTGTGTGTGGGCCGGGACGGCAGTGGGCGGTTCGGAGCGCCACCCACTAGTGGAGGTGTCTAGGTATATAAGCTAGAGTAGTGCTCAAACTGTTTGCCTTCGGGCATTTGGTCAATTTGAAACGATGTCAGTAAGCCCCTACGTCGCTTCTACGAACCGCGCGAGTTCGAATCCTAACCCGTACTACAGACAGAGAAGATTAGCATGGCCCCTGCACTAAGGATGACACGCTCAATCAAAGAGAAGCTACCTATTTTTTTTTTTTTGTTAATGTTTTTGTAATTGCAGACGCGTCTGATGGTTCCGTTTCTTGCTAGTGCTCCAAAGCGATCGATGGGCGACGTCTGGGTGCGATGCGTGGCGACAGGGCTGCCTGCAGGTCGTTCTATGCGGGACCTTTGTCGCCCGCCGTAGATCGCCTCGATGTGCCGACTGGCGTTGACGTAGAGAGTGTTCCTGACGGCCAGCATGTGCTGCAGATGGACATCTGTCTTCCTGACGAGCAATGCGATTTATTCGACACATGACTGAATGACCATGGACGCTGATTGCGACAGCACCGTATCCGAGCCGTTGCGCCTTTACATGTATTCACGCGCGGAGAACAGGGTAGGTTGGCAGCCGCTGCTGTATCACCAGCAAGCACATCCACCAGTCTTGATCGTAACCTAGCCTTGCAATTCCACCCGTCTTGGATTTTGTAGCGACAAGACTGGCAAGTTGTCGATTTTGGTGCATCAGTCGCGGAAATCACCAGACACTGCGTCGTAAGGCACATTGGGTAGTCTTGTTTTGTGCATGCCGTCTATCATGTACCGTCTCGTGTTTCGCACAACACTGTCTGATGCTCTCGCCGTGTAAATCTATGATGCCACTGCTCACGCCGGTTTATACGACACACATGTACAAGTAGAATCCACCCGCTTGCAAACACGCCGCGCGACACCTGCACTCACCAGACTCCCTACTGCGACTTCTTGACCGCCCCGTTGGCCTTGTGGCCCCTAGAAAACGCGGCCGAAATCTCCCTCACGCTCTGGGCCATGAGGATGAGCGGGATGACGATCCAAAAGGCGTTGCACAGCACAAAGTAGGCCCAGTAGTAGAAGCGCTCCGGGCGCGAGTAGGCCAGGCCGTTGAGCAGCTCGTTGAACCAGCAGATGCAGTAGTAGAGGACGTCGCCGTAGAGCTGGCCCAGGCTCACGATGAGCTGGACCGGGTGGCGCATCGGGCTGCGCGCGAGCACGGCGTAGGCGCAGAAGAAGGACAGCGGGCCCCAGAAGACGGCCGTGATGGTCTCCATGCACACGACAAAGGGGTCCTGCGTCATGTAGCGCGAGTCGGAGAGCGAGTACTCCTTCCACAGCTGGCCGAAGAGGTCCATGCGGCTGGCCATGTCGAGGAAGTTGTACGCAAAGTAGCCTGGCGCGCCGGTGGTCAGTCTGGGTCTCAACCCACGAGAGAAGGATGTCGTGGGAGGCAGGCATACCCTCGAAAAACAGGTGGATGCACCCGCACAGCACAAACCAAAAGGCGACGAGCAGCTCGCCAAACGGCAGGCCGGGGCGCACGCGCGCGGCGACGAGCGCCGTCGGCACGAAGAGAGCGCCGCAGGCGGCCGCGAAGATGGCGACGAGGGTGACGGGGCCCATGGTGTTGGCGACGTAGTTCTTGACGGGCGCGCCGAGCGGGTAGAAGGGGTGGTCGCCGTGGGCGCCCATGGCGGCGAGGGGGCCGTCCATTGCGCTGATGCCTCGAGACGAGCGAATTGACTCGGCGATGGAGTTTCGAGGCTGGGCAGTCTCGGGCGTCGCGCGTGCTTGCTGGCCTTGTGGTTCGTGATGGATGGGAATTTTCACATTCTAGAAAAGGGGTGGTTCGGCGTTGGTTGGGCAGCCGGTGCAGTTGGCGCGGGATTCAGCCGCTCTGGGGCCCTGACGGCGGGGGCTTGGCGCGTGCGCCGGCACTTGGCAGCGACCAGGTTGTGCTGCCAGATGAGGCGGGAACGAGCATCTTGCAGGCGTCGTTGCCGCTAGGCTGCAGCATTTGAAGGTGGTTGCGCTGTGATGTCTACGGACGTGCATTTCTCAGGCGCTGCGACAGCAGCACAGGAGGAGGAGTCAACATTCCACGGTTTGGTCTCCAGCAACTACACGGGCCACTGCACTGCCACAAGTCCATCAACTTGGCCGCCTCTCTGCGCCGACAACAGCGAACTACACCCTGCGAAACCAACAGAACAGAGCGCATCACTTGGAGAAATCGACGTAGCCCTTTCCCCCGACAAACGTCGCCTCCCACGGAACGCGCTCATCGCCCTCTGCAAGCCGCGTATAAAACGCGGCGTGCGCCGGCCCGCTAATGTTCTGGTACACGGGCGACCCGTCCGCCTGGCGCTCATCAGCGTAGTAGAACCTTCTCAGGCTGTCAGCACGGGGTCTCTTCACAGGCGACAATGAACCGCCGCCTTGGCACTCACCTGTAGCCCTTGGCCTTGTAGACCTGCGACGCCGAAGCGATGAGGTGCGCCGTCGCCGATTTGCCGATGCCGAGACTGAGGAGCGGCGCAATGGTCGTCTTGTTGAGTATGTTGCCCGTGTAGATGAACGTGCGCGGCGCCGACGCGGGCAGCGTCGCGAACAGCGCCGTGGCTTCACGCGCCGCGACGAGCACGCTGGCCGTGTTGATTTGAAAGTCGCGGTTCAGGTCCTCGAGCGACAGGGCCAGCGGATCCTCTGGGGCGTTGCGCGTCGCAGCGGCAGCTGTTTCGACACTCCGTTAGCATTTCAAGCTCGACCTGGCTGCAGCAAGAGGGCATGGACAGGGTCACTCAGTGCTGACCGTTGTAGACGACCACGCTGGGCGGGCCGAGCGCCTGCACCACTTTTTGGAAGATGGACGGCACCGAGGCCGGGTCCGAGAGGTCGCCCTGGACGTGCAGGTCGACGCCGGCCTCGCCCTGCGGCCGCGGCGACCGCGACGTGACGGCGACCTTGTAGCCGTTGTCCGCAAAGGCGCGGGCGACGCTGGAGCCGACGTTGGCGCCGCCGCCGAGGATGAGGAGGACGCGGGAAGCTGCCATGGCAAGGCGAGAGCACTTTTTGCTTGTTGGTCTTGGTGGATGGGGGTCAGATTGATAAGATGCCGGTGCGGATCATATCGAGATCGGATCGGATCAGATCGTACGGGGTATAAGTACTCGAGCATCTACGCGCGCGTTTACGATGGAATCGGAGAACCATGATCACCATGGAGCATCATCACAGGGCCTGCTTTGAAATCTGGTTGCGATCGCTGGATCCCGTCCACGGAGCGCCGTGGCTCGATGCAAGCTTCCAGCGGCCCGGCAGCGAGGGGTTGATCGATGGTGTGCTTGTTGGGGCGCAACCCAAATTGAATGCTGCCAGACGGTGGTGCCTTGCAGCAGTCGAGTCGACGCATGAGCTCATCAACCGCGCGGCTGCACGGCTGGCTGGCGGACTGACTAATTGGGCAGCGCTGCCCACCATCACGCCTGATATAGCCAATGTTGACGACTTGGACGCCCATTTGTCATCTGCTGCGAGACACATGGTGGAAGGCGCCTGCTCTCCGATTGAGTTGCTTGCGCGCGCGACGACGCAAGTGATGGATGGGGATTCTGCGTGACGGCAGTCGGCAAGGTTGCGAGGGTTCCGTTGGACGCTTCAGGTTATTTGATGCATCCGAAGCGGGAGAGCTCTAGCATCACATTGGTAAGCTGAGATGCTGTTGCTCATGGCTTTGACGTATTCGATGGACGCAGAGTCGGAGCAATGGGCTGGCCTTTTGGTCCGTGGGCTTTGCGAAAGCAATCGTCGTCGTGGTTCACAGCTCTCTGCAATTGAGGCTTTCGGGAGTTGTTCTCGGGGGGGCTTCGTCGCGGGCGCGTTACGGGGCTTGTCGTCTGCCTGTGCTCAGCCATTGGCGTTGGCCACGATTCTCATTTGAGGAACACACACAGCGGGCACCTGACGGGCGCAGCACAATGTATTCACGTCGATAGGGCGCGCTCGATCGCGTGGTGTGCGTCGTTGGTCGAGAGATGCAATGCTATCCCAGAAACACGTACGGCATCGACGGATGGGCGAAGTATAGGTCCAACCAGCGCCGAAACTTGCCAACATGAGCAGCGGTGAGCCGGCGAACAAGGCAGCCAAACGTCCGTCCGGCATCTCCCCATGCAAAGTAAATTAGAGTGCCCGCCGAGTCGATGCAGATTCGTGCGTCATGGTTTGCATTCTTTCGAGATTGAGTTGGGCAAACGTCCCGATGAGCCTGGATCTCCAAAACCCGCTCAACCACAAAACGCTGACCACGTGCCCCAGCGCCGGCAAGTGTCATGTTCACCACCCCTGAGGGGAGCCAATTTCTGCGTCTTGGCGGATGTGCCGTCATTACGTAGCTACGTGCCACGACAGGGAGCCAAGACCAGCCGCGTCGGCTCTGTTTTGTTTGTTTCAGAAATGACGTTGCGGTCCAGGCCGTTGGCGGTGTCGTTGCATCGCGGGTCCATCC